CCAAATAGAAACACTGTACCCATTAAATGCTAACTGCCCACTCTCCTCCTGCAATGGATGCTCTATTATTTAATAACACAGCAACCTTGAGGCACAGGCACAATTCCTGTTCTAGAGGTGAGGAAATGAAGCTCAGAACTTGTCCAAGGTCATGTAGTTAGCAAGTGGCTAAGATTCAAGTGCAGGTCTTTCTGGTTCTAAAGCAGAGTTCACATGGTTCAGAGGCCAGTGTGGGGTCTGCATGGTGTTCTCAAATAATGTAAGTGGCTGACATCTAAAATTGGGAGATATCACATACAAATCTGGACGGTTGGCTCCTTTGGAGGACTTAGATGGTCTGATAGCATGGGCTGCACTCTCTCCCGGGGGGCACTGTCTCCATGGTAGCCAGCTGAGGAGCGGTGATGCAACAGAATGGCATTGTGTTGCTCTAGATTCCACTGTGGCCCTCTCCTTGCATTTACTATATTGGCGCTAAAGCCTGTGCTCTTCCCTCTCCACTGACTCACCTGTGCTAGTAGCTGTCTCCTGAGGAGTGAATTAGCATTGGGTCACATGTACCTCTTTTCCTGGCAGTACTACATCTGTGTCTTTTTATGTCTCAGCTGGATTTTCATGTTCAATTTTAGGATCACTATCACAAAGGACTAAGAAGACCTTAGGGCAGAAACTGTTGGGTATGCTCCCTTCAGAAAACAATTCTAAGAAGACTGAAGACCAGGATAATCCTCAGGAAGTCTTTAAGATGCTAATAGATCTGGTTAGTATCTTTGCTTTCTTTTTGTTTATTAATTCAACTCTTCTTTACACTTAAACCTTATGTCCTTTCTTCTCCTTATACTCTCTACATAAGCTCCACCTCTGAGAAAAAGGGCACTCCATAGTTAACTCCGGGCATCTGTCATCTGCACTGAATGTAGTTTATGACAAGACCTTGTACTTACCCAATTCCTCAGAGATCCTCTAATCATTGCCACATGCTTGAAACCAGTCCTGTTATCCCCATTTCAGATGACCAGAGACTCACAGAATACAAACATGCTTATCTATAGAAGAGTGTTATTTGCATACAAATGTAAAAACAATTTTATATTTAACTTCACCTTCTTTTACAGTGATAAGCACATGTTGATTTTACATACATATATACTTCCATTTGTATTTCCTCCTCCCTTCTGATGACTTACAATTTTTAGCAGAAAGAATAGTTTTCTTCCTTGAAAAAATATCAATAACTTGTAGCATGAAGCTTGGGAATGAGTGGATACCTAATTAATTCATACTGATTGACTTGACAGATTGAACTTTTTTTTTTTTTTAAAGTTTGGCAATTTTTTTTTAAAATGTACTTTTGATTTCAGAGAGGGAGAGGGAGAGAAACAATAATAAAAATCATTGATTGGCTGCCTCCTGCACACCACATACTAGGGATTGAGCCTGAAACCCAGGCATGTGCCCTTGACCAGAATCAAACCCAGGACTCTTAAAGTCCGTAGGCCAACACTCTGTCCACTGAGCCAAACTGTCTAGGGCTAGATTGAACATTTTGATAAAATATTTCTGACTATAGTTCTATACTGTTACTTGTTGACTAACTGGCATATGTTTAATTCCTGTGAATGCAGCTGAATGATAAAGAAGAAGCTTTGGCTCATCAGAGAAAAGTTAGCTACATGCTTGCCCGGGCACTGGAAGACAAAGACATAGGCTCAAGAGAGAATAAAGAAAAAAATCCCATGAAAAACAATTTTCCATTAAAACACCCCAAGCAGAAAACTTCAGAATTCTCTGTTTTGCATGATCCTCTACATTCAAGTGTTCACATTTTTAATTCTGTGGGCTGTGTTTGTTCAATCCAGCATCTTCATACAGATCAAAACTATAGAACTCTGAAAAGATCTCATTCTTTGCCACGAAATATCATCTTTTGAAGATAAAGCAGTTGAAATTGGAACCGAGAACTGTTTATGTCAAGGGACTTTTGAAAAAGGATTGTGTAAACACTGCCACATCTTCAGGACTGTATGTTTTTTGGGATTTCTAAATGCTAGGAGGCAGATTACATACTCAAATGTTTTCTATAAGAAATTTGTTAGCATTCCGTGGTGACATATTTATAAATTACATTACTATATTTTTAAAATCTTACTTGCCAACATCTTAAAAACAAAATAATTATTTTGAGAGAAAAAAAAATTATTTAATTAGTTAGAATGACTATGGCATCTTTGACCGGCTCAAGCAAGAATATAATGTAAATTAAGGCTCTAAGAAACAACAACAATGCCTAGGAGTGGTGGAGTGTTAATTTTTAAAATACATTTATCATATTTTATTTGTTGTGTTTTTTCAGTATTTTTCATTTGCCATGTAATATTTTGTAAAACTTCCTTAAATTAATCTCAATTAAAAGTTAGTATGGTGGAACTTTGTCAGAATTATATTCAAAGTCACAGCTAGTAACCTTCCTCGTTTCTGTTGTTGATGTAATGACATTCTGTAGCCAAATCTACACAGAATTCTAGTATTCAGACCAGTCTGAGAACTTGTTGGTTTTGATGCTAAATTTTAGGCCACTTAATTTTCTATTTCTATAAATATTACATAGTAATAATCTTTAATATCTTTTGGGAATGTTGCTATATTAGAAGCATCACAATTATGTCAAAGGAAATGTATTACATTACCAGCAATTATAATAAAATTTATCTAATTATGATCTCTAGTGAAAAGATATATGGCTTCACTGAATACTACTTAAATAGGTAACAACAGAGTATAAGGTAATAATATAAATCATTTATAGTCGTGTTAAGGGAAGAGTATTTAATTGGCATTAGTAAATAATAATAAAAGTTGAAAACTTGGCAAATGAACTGAAAAAAAGGATGATGAAGAACTATAATTATCAGATATTAAGATATGTTATCCTAATAATATAAAGCTACTTAATGCAATGTAGTACCAGCAGGTCAATGGAATAGAAAAAAGACCATAAACAGATCTAGTATATATAAGAATTTCATATAACAGAAAAGGTTAAGGAGCCCTAGCTGGTTTGGCTTGGTGGATAGAGCATTAGCCTGGGGACGGAAGGGTTCCAGGATCAATTCCGATGAAGGGCACATGCTCTGGTTGCAGGCTCGGTCCCCAGTAGGAGATATGCAGGAGGCCGCCAATGATTCTCTCTCATCACTGATATTTTTCTCTCTCCCTATCTGAAATTTCAAAATAAAAAAATAGAAAAAAATAAAAATGCATATGCATATAAATGCTCTATTTTTAAAATAATTGTGAACCCCTAACTGGTTCGGCTCAGTGGATAGAGCGTCGGCCTGCTGACTGAAAGATCCCAGGTTCGATTCGTCAAGGCATGTACCTTGTTTGCAGGCACATCCCCAGTAGGAGGTGTGCAAGAGGCAGCTGATCGATGATTCTCTTTCATTGATGTTTCTAGCTCTCCCTCTCCCTTCCTTTCTGTAAAAAAATCAATAAAATATATTGAAAAACTGAAAATAACCTAAATACCCACGTGGTAGAATTCTAAAGACAACCCTTCCCCCTCATGATTCCCATCTAGGGACGGTGTAGGTAACTGCCACGAAGAGATTTTTTAAGATGTATTTACAATCCAAGTGAGATGACCTTAATATATGAATAATCCAATTAGGTGAGCAGCTCCCCCACCCATTTTGTTTAAGCAGAGATTTCTTAGTAGCTGATGAGGAAGACAGACAACCTGAAGCACTGTTGCTGGCTTGCAGATGGAAAATGCCATATGTCAAGGCACGTGCATTGCCTTGAGAAGCCGAGAGGCCCCTGACAGCTGGCAAGGACAGATGGCATTCGCATTAAAGCATCATAAATGAGCTTGAAAACAGATTCTTTCTTAGAGCTTCAGATAAGCACCCAGTCTCACTGATACCTTGATTTTGGCCTATTTTATCTCAAAACTGTGACCTAATAAATTTTTGTTAATTTGTTATATTTATGTTATATTTATGGCAAAATAAAAAGTCCATAAATAGAGCATATGTAAGTAGTATTGTACACATATCAGATATAATCCTCCAATATAATAAAAAAAGCAATATGCAAATTGACCAAATAGCAGAGCGACTGGTCACTACAATGCTCAGTGCCCACCAGGGGGCAGACACTCAACACAGGAGCTGCCCTCTGGTGGTCAGTGTGCTCCCACAGGGGGAGTGCCACTCAGCCAGAAGTCAGGCTCACAGCCAGAGCAGAGGTGGTGGCCAGAGCCTTTCCCACCTCAGCAGCAGCACTAAGGCTCCCAGACTGTGAGGGGGTGCAGGCTGGGCTGAGGGAACCCCCCACTGCCCGAGTGCATGAATGTTGTGCACTGGGCCTTTAGTATGCTATATGATATGACACTTAAAGTAGATGTATATATATTAGAATGAATGAAAAAGTTTTGAGTAAAAATTTGCAGGATGAGGTGTACAATCTATCACTCACATAAAAATCTGAGACCCAAAGCAATGCTGTGTATTACTACATGTAATTTTATAAAATAGCAGTATAAAATCAAGGAGGACACTCTCATCTCCTGAGTCATTTTCCTTTGGGTAGGGTGAAAAGGAGAAACTGAATAGAATGACATATTAAAGACTTCAATTTTATCTGTAATGATTTTTCTTTTTTTTCCTACTTAGCGTATTAGCTAAAGTATTTGCTACATTACTACTATATTGTCCTTATTACTACAACTTTGTGATGTTATAGGAGCCAGATCATCAAAATAACTAGAAATTATTTCCTTAATGCATTTCAGAGAACTGAACTTATTTGTGCACTCTAATCAGAAAAATCAAAATTGTTTGTTTTAAAATACATTTAATAAAAATAATTGTTTTACATATTTTACAAGTGTAGAATATTTACAATTCCTTCTATAGCATTTACTTAATACTTTTTTTTTTCTTTTCCTTTTTTACTATTTCCTTCAGTAGTGAAATACTGTCCAGTGTTATCTGTAACTAAAAAATTAGCTTCTTGGGTAATCCTCCTAGGTGAAAAAAAAAGAAAAAGAGGTTGTTCACATTTAAGTTTATGGCAATTTTAAGCAGTCATTGCATTCCCATTACATTTATTTTACTTGCTTTAATTTTTCCAATAACATTTGTTAAACATTAAGCATACAGGGTAACAGTAGGAATTCATGAAGGAAAGGTACACGTTGATAGTTCTGGTTACTCAGAAGTACACTCAAAAGTGTTCTTGTCCTTTTAAAATAGCATGATGTAAGTATTCTCAATGGAATTTCAACAAATGCAGCTAAAAACACCACATTCTATCTGAATTCACAGCATTTCTTATAAAAATGAGAGTTTTTACCTTGTTCCAAGTTTTCGGTTCTCTTCCGTTTCGTAGCCAGAGATGGATTAGCCTGCTCCTTTAAAGTTTCCACTGGACAGTTTGGTCTAGGCAGTTGACATCCAGGTGTTGGCCCTGGCCGATTACTGAAATACTTAGTTTTCAATGCCTTTTAAAGGAATAGATAGCAAAGAAAGTAAACTTTTAAACGAGTATCTGGATTGTGTTTAAGGAAATCTAACCTTAAAATTGTTGGGATATTAGAAGTGCTATGTGAAGCCCCCTGCTTCCAAAAAATGAAATTAATGTCAAGTATTTAGACAAGCAAATTATTACCAAAAAAAACATCTAGGAGCCCAAGATTGACTGATAATTCTATTGCTGTAAGAAAGACTACCTTTTAATTTTCCACAATTACAGTCTATACTAAATATGAAATATCCTTAATAAGATATTATGTAATTCAGCTCTCTATGCATTATGGGCTCTATAGTTAAAAACACAACAATTTTACTATTAATGAAAACAACTTTCTAGATAATTTGACCTGAAGTTTCTTATGATGGGAGATAATATGCATCTACATATGGGTGAAAAGGTAGTTTTATGTATTAATGTAGCATTTACATAAAAAGAGGCGGCTTATAGAAGTAAATGCACTTAAAAGTGACTCGGTAATCTGCAATAAACAAGTGAAAGAAAAGTCCACTTTTTATCCTTGATATATTGTGCATTAACAAGTGTTGTTAGATTGGAAGACTTGACATTTCATTTTAATCAGTCTCATCCTTTATGAAGCCAAATCATTGCGCTGTTACAGTTTTACATATGCCTGCCCCGATTTTAAGTGTTTGTGATTCTACCCTTTCTGTTTGTGTGCTTGTTTTTAGATATATTTTGTTGATTCTTTACAGAGAGGAAGGGAGATGAGTAGAGTTAGAAACATTGATGAGAGAGAAACATCCATCAGCTGCTGCTGGCAAACTCCCCACTGGGTATGTGCCTCAATCAAGGTACATGCCCTTGACCAGAATCGAACCTGGGACCCTTGATTCCGCAGGCCAACACTCTATCCACTGATCCAAACCAGTTAGGGCTGTGTGCTTGTTTTTAAAAAAGGAAAACGTATTTTGTTTTTCTCACATCTATAGTTCTTATATTTTTGTGTTGTGTAACATTTCTCTCTTCTTTTATAAGAGCAGATATACTTGGTCTTTCAAGTTTTTCTTGAGTTTGATCCTTTATTTTTTATGCTTCAAGGTTTATTTGGGTGGTGGCATGTATTGGTGCCTCATTCCTTTAAAAAAAAAATGTTTTTATTGGTTTCAGAGAGGAAGGGTGAGGGGGAGAGAGAAATATCAATGATGTAGAAATATCAATGATGTGAGAGAATCATCTATTGGTTGTCTCCTGCATGTTCCCTACTGAGATCAAGCCCACAACCAGGGCATGTATCCTTGACTGGAATCAAACCTGGGACCCTTCAGTTTGCAGGCCGATGCTCTATCCACTGAGTCAAACTAACTAGGATGAGTTTGATTCTTATTTTCTTTAAATAACTGTCAGTTTCAGTGTTTGTTCTATTTGGAGTATTTTCCAATCCCTTGTAAGCATAGTTTACTGAACTATACCATTTTCTCCCCATTATCACTTTCTGACTGTAATAATGGCCAGTGTGCATATCTGAACTGTATTTTATGGGAAACAACAAAAAGCTTTAGGCATTAGGGTTGGCAGATTTCTATTATACATCAAACGTCTCATTGAAATATACCAGTGTCTTGCTCAGCTGGATGTGGCTCAGTGGATGAACATCAACCTATAAACCAGAACTCACAGTTCAATTCCTAGTCAGAGCTCATGCCTTGGTTGTGAGCTTGATCCCTTGTTAGGGGGCTTCCAGGAGGCAGCCTGTCAGTAATTCTCTCTCATCATTAATGTTTCTGTGTTTTTTTTTCCTCTCCCTTTTCTCTCTGAAATAAAAACATATTTTAAAAAAGAAAAATACCAGTGTCTTAACACAAACCTTGTTACTTTTTCTTCTCTAGGAAGACTACTTGAATGCCAATTAATTATGAAATTGATATGTATATATGTTCCAAATAAACTGTCCAGTAGTTGTGCATACATAATTTAATACCAATCTAAATAAAGCTTGTAGCTTGAAGATAAAATGTTATTCCTTAAAACAAAAACACATCTTTCCAGTTTAGTAAAGAATGTTAGACAATCTTATGAAATCCTATTTTTATCTTATCAGTGCTACAGTTAAGACGACCCTCATATTTCCCAATACAAGAAAGATATGCTAAAATACCTGTGTGGCTGTAATTCGAGTACACGGATTAAATAAGAATAAGCCTTGTATGAGAGCTAGCAAGTCGTCTCCTGCTGCACTGAAGATGTGTTGTAATGGGATTCCAGGGAAACTCTTAAATGTCACGAAATCTGGAAGACTACACATGTCCTGTAAAAATATTTTGTAATATTTAACTTAAAGAATTAAAAGGCATATAGATAGATCTCAAATGAAGAAATAAAACTGTCATAGATGATATCATAATCTATGCAGAAAATCCCAAGAAATACATATAAAAACTCCTAGATTAACTGAGTAAAATTGCACAATATAAATGTACAAAAATCAATTGTAGTTCTATATATTAGCAATGAGATTTTAAAAATGCCATTTAGAATCACTCAGAAAGAACAATGAAAAACTTAGGTAAAAATCTAAAAAGCACGTGTAGAACTATACAGAAAACTACACAACATTGATGAAATAGATCAAAGCTCTAAATAAATGGTGAGACTTATCATGTTCATGGATTGAAAGATTCATAATCATAAAGATATTATTCCTCCTCTAATTATAGATAGGTTTAATGCAATTCTTACCAACATTCTCCCAAAATTATTATATGAGACTGTGTCCTGGTGCATGAATCATGCACATTGAAAGGAAATTAATTAGAAGAAATATTTTAATAGCACTATTCACATTTCCCTAATGAAAAGAAAACAGGATTCTACCGAGTCTCCTATCCACTTATTCAAGGACTTATGTGAGGATCAAATGAGACAGAGGAAAACACTTCACAAACATTTGGTTAAACTGTAAAATGTTTGCACTTGGCTATAAAGCAAGCAGGTTTCTAGGCTGAAGAAACGCCAAGGATACTAGTACTAGGGAGAGGAAGCTGGGTGCTGTACGTGACATCATTACCTGGACCCCACAGTCACCGTTTTCAGGCTGGGCTGGGCTGGGCTGTGAGCCACATTTTGTGCCATGGCAGCGTTGTCTGCGATTTGGTGGGGTGTCATTCTGGGGTGGTGGTGGGGCCTGTGTCCCACTTGGGAAAAGGCGAGTGTTGGTTTATTGGCACCAGGTCTGTGGTGTCGTTTATTTTTAAACTAGAGTCCCAGCACACAAATTGGCCTGGCTGGTGATTGGGCCATGGGAGGTTGGCAAGCCAGGGAGGGGGGGGGATTGCGGAAGGTTGGCTGTAGGAGCACAGTGACCACAAGGAGGCAGCTCCTGAGTTGGGTGTCTGTCCTCTGGTGGTCATTGTGCATCATAGCGACTAGTCAACCAGTTGCTTAGGCTTTTGTATATATAGACTAAAGGCATGGTGCACAAAATATGTGCACTGGAAAGGGGTTCCCGCTTGGCCTGGCCTATGCACTCTCAGTGTAGGACCCCTCACTCCTTACTGCCCACCTGCTTGCTGCTTCTTAGTGTTGCTGTGGAGGCGGGAGAGGGCCTGGCTTCTGGCCAAACGGTGCTACCTCTGTGGGAGCTCATTGACCACCGGTGGGCAGCTCCTGCATTAAGTGTCTGGCCCCTGATGATCAGTGTGCATCGTAGCGACTGGCCAGACAGATGGATGCTTAGCCCTTTATATATATAGATTATTCTAAAATTTATGTAGGAGCCAAAGGAACTAAAATAGATAAAATAAGTATAGAAAAAAGAAAAAGTGCCGAAACCGGTCTGGCTCAGTGGTAGAGCGTTGGTCTGTGGACTGAAAGGTCCCGGGTTCGGTTCTGGTCAAGGGCAGGTACCTTGGTTGCGAGCACATCCCTGGTAGGGGGTGTGCAAGAGGCAGCTGGTCGATGTTTCTCTCTCATCGACATTTCTAGCTCTCTATCCCTCTCTCTTCCTCTCTGTAAAAAATCAATAAAATAAAAAAAATTTTAAAAAAGAAGAAGAGCCGAAGCCGGTTTGGCTCAGTGGTAGAGCGTCGGCCTGCGGACTGAAAGGTCCCAGGTACGATTCCGGTCAGGGGCATGTACGTTGGTTGCGGGCACATCCCCGGTAGGGGGTGTGCAAGAGGCAGCTGGTCGGTGTTTCTCTCTCATTGACGTTTCTAGCTCTCTATCTCTCTCCCTTCCTCTCTGTAAAAAATCAATAAAAATATATTTTAAAAAATAAATAAAAAATCAAAAAAGAAGAAAAAGTGAGCAGAATCATGCTATCTGATTTCAAGACTTAAAAACTGACCCTGACCTAAGTCTCACATCTTATACAAAAACTACCTCAAAGTATTACTTTCAACATAAAAAACAAAAAACAAACAAAAACCCATACAAAAAACTAACTGAAAAAGGATCACATCTATTAATAAATTTTATCAATAAATGATAATAGGGCAGGTCTTATAATTTGAACACATAGCAAACTTTCAATTAGAAAGTTGAAATAATAGCAGAAAATAAACTTATTTGACCTAAATCCAGCTTTAGTTAATTTCATTGCAGAAGGTAACAGTATAATTAAAATTTCCCTTTTTTAGTATTTATTTCCCAGGAGATGGGGCTATAACAAGGAAAATAAAAAGATCTATAATTTTAATTTATGAATAAACAAGTGAGGATATTTTAATGAACTGTACATATAACATTTAGCAACTTAAATTACTAAATTAATCACCAGTAAAGTAAAAGACAATGAACACATTTCTTTAAGGAATATTTACATGACAGCATTATATATAATCCTAACCAAATTTCAAAGAAAATGTATGAACGCTTACAGGCCACTGTTCTTCAGTTGGTGTGCCCAATGTTTCAAATATTCTTGTTAGTTGATCAAGGTCTGAATCTCCGGGCAAAAATGGAACCTGAAAGAGAGAGGCAAATATTTCAAAGTGGTTTATAATAGTCATTATGCAAATGAAACTATACATTTAATAAGAAAACAAAATTATAACAAAAATTAAAACGAAGTCTAGGTATACTGGATGTGGCATTAGGTCCTGTCATTGCTAACACAGTAAACAGGACCATTTTATTCATTCCACCAATCTTTTATTTTTTCCCATGAATGCAGTCCCCCATACCATAAATTATACCATTGAGTTCCCACATTTGGGGAAATCACAGGGGTGAAATGGATAAGTCTTGCCCTGCCAAGTTAAGTATCACTCCACAAACAGTTATCATTGGTATAAATATTTCTATTTTTTTTTTTTCATTTAACAATAACAGAGGAGGTTCAGAATACAGACCAATTTTCTTCTAAAATGATTTGAATTACATTGATTACTTTGGTAGAATATAGGCTTATTTATTGATCCTCTATTTTCTAGATTAAGTAGCTTTTTAAATAAAAGTCAAACAAAACTTTAAGAAGAGTTGAAAGCTTATAATAGCGAATCTATTAACTATTCTGCATTCAATATTATATAATTATCAATATTATACAATATAGCATAATTATATAGTTAAAATATGTAATTTGTAATTATCTTCTCCCCCCCCCCCTCTCTCTTTCTCTCTCTCTCTCTCTCTCTCTCTATATATATATATATATATATGGCTAATATATATATTAGCCTTCAGGAAATCGATCAGGAGACTGGGAGTTCAATCACTTGCTATGATGTGCACAGAACACCAGGGGCAGCGCAGAATGAAGGCAGGCCTTGGTCATTAGCCAGAAGGCCCTAATCAGCCCTGATCAATGGCCACGCCTAGGGACCCAACCCATGCACGAATTTCATGCACAGGGACTCTAGTATACAATGTAACAATATTATGTAATGATTCTATTTTCAATTATTATGTTTGGACTACAGATCTCACCACAGATCTAGAACTGTATGGAAAGCATTTCCATAGATGATATTTTCAAAGAGCAAAGGGACAGCTTAAAATATGAAACACTGCCCAACCAGTGAGGTTCAGTGGTTGAGTACCGACCTATGAACCAGGAGGTCATGGTTCGATTTCTGGTCTGGGTAAATGCCCAGGATTGTGGGTTTCATACCCAGGTTGTGGGCTCCATCCCTAGTATGGTCTCACTCAGAAAATGGTATAGGATCACCGTGTCTGCTTTGCTTGAAGAGAACTAAAAACAATCCTCTCACACAAGGTTTAAGTTAGTAACACAGAGTTGTAGCTGCTGTGGTTGGTATTACATAGCTCTTAAAGTGTACATTTAAACATCCCAAAGTCCCATGAGTACAAAAGTTCATCCTGATACATTTAGTTACTGCAAAGACATTACCATGTTACAATCCAATGAGGGTTTTATTATAGTTATATTTCAGAACATAGGAATGATCAATAATAAAACCTTTATTATCCTATCTCACATTAGCATTAATAAAAAGGTTGTATTAGGGGATGGGGATTTTGTTTTAATTGGTTTATTGGCTTTTTGTTTTAAGGATGGTGCTACACTCTGGAAATTATCTCTAAGAAGATAATTCCTCCATAAATAATAAAAACAAGTACCTATAACAATATTGAGGTGTGTACAGCATCTCAAGACTTACCCTAAGAAGCAACTCTGCTAATATACAGCCAACAGCCCACATGTCCACACCTACACCATACATTCTAGCACCAAATAGTAACTCAGGGGCCCGATACCATCTAAAAAACAAAAAGAAATATTATCATTTTACAATGAAAGTATTAAAGTACCGGTATTTTTCTTTAAAAAAACGAAAACATTTTATTAATTTTTTTACAGAGAGAAAGGGAGAGACATAGAGAATTAGAAACATTGATCAGCTGCCTCCTGCACCGCCCCCCACAGTGGATGTGCCCACAACCAAAGTGCATGCCCTTGACCGGAATCGAACCAGGAACCTTTCAGTCCGCAGGCCAACGCTCTATCCACTGAGCCAAACCAGTTTTAGCTAAAGTATTTCTTAAGAAAAAACTCAGCAAAACATTACCCTACTGATGAAATTCACTTTTTTCCATGGACTCACCTAGTCATTTGTATTACTCAATCTGCTGTCCCATCTATAACTATCCTTGAGGGGAAGGGGAAGGGAGAAGGGGAAAGGAGAAGAGAAAGGGGAGAGGGAGAAAGAAGCATGTATGACAGAGAATCACACTAGCCAGGGTTATCCTTGACTGTTTTCAAAGCCAATCTATCAACCTGGGCACTAGATACCATCCTCTCTTGCCTATTTTCAAGGGTATTGCTCTTGTAATTCTCTTCTCTTTCTCCTACATCAACTTTTTGCTCTTTTATTACCATCAATATACAAACATACTGTTATTTCTTTGGCTTTAAAAGATAAACTAAAAATCAAAGAAACAGCCTGGCCAGTGTGGATCAGTGGTTGAACGATGACCCGTGAATCATGGTTTGATTCCTGGCCAGGGTACATGCCTGAGTTTCTGGTTTACTTCCCAGTGTGGAGTGTGCAGAAAGGAGCCGATCAATGATTCTCTCTCATCACTAATGCTTCTCTCTTTCCCTATCCCTTCCTCTCTCTGAAATTAATAAAAATTAAAAAAAAAAAGAAAAAAGAAATAAACAACACAAACTTCTTTAGACCCTATTTCCCCTAGTAGCTACTTCTTCATTCTCTGGTAGTCTGAAGAGTTGTCTGCTCTTATTGTCTGCAATTCCTCTTTTCTTACTCTCTTAAATTCTTTTAAATTAGGCTTTTATCCTACTACTCCACTAAGATGGCTCTTGTCAAGGTTAACAATGATATCCACATCATTAACCTGTCTCAATTCTCAGTCCTCATTTTACCTCACCCATTAGTAGCATTTGAGTTGCATGAAAATATGAGAAATAAAATGAAAAACACTGTGTACAGTGCTCTTATGTGGGTCCCTATTTGCCCAAGTTCCTGAATGATAGTCTTAATCTTTAGAGCAGTTACATTAATAACTATTTATATCCATTTACATCTTTCTCAGACTTTAGGTGACTGACAATGAGATATGGAAGGTGACAAAGTAATTTAAAGGAACAGATAAAAGAAAATGAAGATCTTCTCAGATTGTTAAAAAAATCTTGGGTAAAGCCGAGACTGGTTTGGCTCAGTGGATAGAGCATTGGCCTGCGGACTGAAAGGTCCCAGGTTAGATTCTGGTCAAGGGCATGTACCTTGGTTGTGGGCACATCCCCAGTGGGGGGTGTGCAGAAGGCAGCTGATCGATGTTTCTCTCTCATCGATGTTTCTATCTCTATCCCTCTCTCTTCCTCTCTGTAAAAAATCAATAAAAATATATTAAAAAAAAAAATCTTGGGTATGTCTAGTGTGGTTCAGTGGTTGAGCATCAACCTATGAAATAGGTCATGGTTTGATTCCCAGTTAGGGCAAATCCCCTGGACAGGGTTAGATCCCCAAAGGGGGCATGTAGGATGCAGCCAATCAATGAGTCTCTCTCTCATTGATGCTTCTATCTCTCACAACTTTTCCCTCTCTGAAATGAATAAAAATATATTTTTTAAAAAGTCTTGGAAATTAACAAATGCTACCCTGGTGAAAATTATAAAATCTACTATCTCCATCTATTTAATGTGATTTTTAATTATTTACAAAAAGTAAAAACAGCCCTCCCCAGTTTGGCTCAGTGGATAGAGCGTCGGCCTGCAGACTGAAGGGTCCCAGGTTCGATTCTGGTCAAGGGCATGTACTTTGGTTATGGGCACATCCCCAGTAGGAGGTGTGTAGGAGGCAGCTGATCAATGTTTTTCTCTCTCATTGATGTTTCTAGCTTTGTATCCCTCTCCCTCCCTCTCTGTAAAAAGTCAATAAAATATTAAAAAAAGAAAAAAAAGTAAAAACATAAAATACAAGTATAATAACATGAAAAATCCAAATATCATTGCACTGTTCTGTTTAGAGAATTTTCACTCACACTGAATGATATAAAATATGGAATCAGGACTAACCAATAAAGTAAACATATGTCCCCTCTAAATCAGCTGATTATGTAAAACTAGAAGCCCGATGCACGAAGATTCGTGCTAGCATGGGCTTTCCTTTCCCTGGACGCTGGCACTGCCTTTCCACTCCAGCCCAGCCCCTTTCTGCTCAGGCCCCACAGCCACCCCTTTCAGCTCTGGGAGCTGCCTCTTTCGGCTCCAGCCCCGCCTTCCCATGCTATCCAGAGGCCCTGATAGACTGGGGTGGGGCATAACATCTGCGTTGTCACCTGGCCTGCCCACATCCCTCAGTGCCTGTGTATGCAAATTAACATATTTGTTGGGTTAATTTGCATATCACTCCTGATTGGCTGATGGCATGGCGGAGGTATGGTCAATTTACAAGTTTGTCTATTATTAGGTAAGATAGCCATTAAACTTCAAAAACTATGTAACTGAAATGTAAAAGTATAAATTAGTTTCAAAAGTTACTAGCCCATCCTGGCAGGTATCTGTGTTTAGAGTATTGGGTTTGATTTTGTCAAGAGCCCGTATCTGGGTTGTGGATTTGTTCGCCTCCCTACCCACAGTGGAGTGCGTGCAGGAGGCAACCAGTCTATGTGTCTCACTCTGATGTTTTTTTCTCTCTCTACCACTCCTCTCTTCCTTCCACTCTCTGAAAAGCAATGTAAAAAATTATCCTCTTGTGAGGATTAACAAAACAAAACAAAAAGTTACTAGCCCTAGTCAGGTAGCTCAGTTGGTTAGAGTGCTGTCCCCATACACCTGTGGTTCTCAACCTTTCTAATGCCTCGGCCCTTTAATATAGTTCCTCATGTTGTGGTGACCCCCAACCATAAAATTATTTTTGTTGTTATTTCATAATTGTAACTTTGCTACTGTTAATGAATCGTAATATAAATATCTGTGTTTTCTGATGGTCCTAAGGGGTCCGGCTAGTAGTTCTCAACCTGTAGGTCGCGAAAATAATTTTATGGTTGGGGGTCATCACAACATGAGGAACTGTATTAAAGGGTCGAGGCATTATGCCGAGACTGGTTTGGCTCAGTGGTAGAGTGTCGGTCTGTGGACTGAAAGGTCCCGGGTTCGATTCCGGTCAAGGGCATGTACCTGGGTTGCGGGCACATCCCCAGTGGGGGGTGTGCAAGAGGCAGCTGATAGATGATTCTTTCTCATCGATGTTTCTAACTCTCTATTCCTCTCTCTTCCTCTCTGTAAAAAAATTAATAAAATATATGGTGGGGGGGGAAGGGTCGAGGCATTAGAAAGGTTGAGAACCACTGCCATATACCAAGGTTGCAAGTTCCAATCAGGGCACAAATATGAAGCAACCAACGAATGGATAACTAAGTGGAACAACAAATCAATGTTTCTCTACCTCCCCCCCAACCTTTCTAAAAATCAATGTTAAAAAAACAATTAGATATATTGAAAAACTACTACATAAATGTTTGAGGATCGACTAATTCAATTCTTGTTTAAATGAAGGACTGTAGTAAGATATACATAACATAAAAACAGATGTATTTTCATCAAAACACCAACAATGATGCCAAGAGAAGCCAAATGATGCTCACTTGTGGTTAATATCCTGCACAACATAAATTTCAGTTATTTCAGGGATTCTTACCTGGTTACAACCTGATGTGTATAAGCTCTATTGGGGCTCCCAAATGATTTGGCCAGGCCAAAATCTGCCAGCTTTAGAACTCCATTTTCATCTAGCAACAAGTTGTTTGGTTTCAGATCCTATGTTATGGAAGTTTTAAACAAACATGTAAGCCGGATGGGGGAGACTACCATAACAAGGCATTTAGTTGGCTCAACTTTAAACTTAGCAAAAACAGAGTAACACTCGAAATTAAACAACAATCAGTATTTTTTCATTGACCAGGGATCAAGGTACCTAATTTCACTGAACTTAAGTTTTCCTACTTTACAGTTGCTGTGAGGATTATATTTAATATTTTCTGTTAAGAGCCTAGTGTAATGACTGGCAATAGTAAGCACTCAATAAATGGCTACTGCCATTAATTCAATAACAGTAATATATATGAATTTTAGTAAATAAAAACATACATTTAGAAAGGATGAGGAACAGTCTCAAAATCTATATTAAAAAGATATTAGCAATAACCTAAAAGGGATTCTAAATTTAAGATATGAGAGTTACCAACCATAAACTATATATTCTTAACTATTCACCTAAATAGGGTACCTAAGAACATTTACCTACCTAAATTATCAGTCTTGTTCTTTTGGAACAATGACCTGACCATTTCAGAAATTTTATTTTATTACTTCATAGAACTTTACAGTACTAGAGTTATCTTCCTAAAGGTATTTTAGCATTGTATAATTAATCCAGATTCTCACTGTATTCACTCCCTGTCCCCTGACACACACACACTCTCACTAACAATGGTATAGCACAAAGAACACTGGACTTAAGGCCAAAAAGTCTAGGTTCTAATACTGTCCGTTATCAGCTACTGACCTTGAAAAAAATAATATAACCATGGTCAGGACACTCAGGATTTTAATTTTTTTTAATTCTTAATTTTTGAAAAAATATTAAGGACTCTTCCATTTTTAAATTTCACATAGTAATTTACAGTCCTCACAGCACCACCTGGTGGAACAATGGAGGGAAAACACTAAGAAAGAAGGATAAAATAGTCCAGCTACATCTTTAACAATCTACATGTTTATTTTTTTATAACAATTTATTTATATATTTATTTTTTATATATATTTTACTGATTTTTTTTTTTTTTTACAGAGAGGAAGGGAGAAGGATAGAGAGCCAGAAACGTCGATGAGAGAGAAACATCAACCAGCTGCCTACTGCACACCCCCCACCGGGGATGTGCCCGCAACCAATGTACATGCCCTTGACTGGAATCGAACCCGGGACCTTTCAGCCCGTAGAGTGATGCTCTACCACTGAGCCAAACCGGTTTCGGCAACAATCCACATGTTTAGATCATTTATGTAATAAACTAGTTAAATAAAACTTAACAAAATAAAGAAGTTATCACACTTGGTTAAAAACCTTACCCTATGTAGAATCCAATGTTGATGTAAATATTCTAACCCTTGAAGTGTCATCAACATGTAGGCTTTGATGTGTGATGGTGTTAGGACAAGACTACTATCTTTTATTATAACCTGTAAAACAGGTAAAAAAGATATAGGTAACTTTATTTTCACAAATAAATGCCATCATATAAAATCATTTACAGACATAAAAGGAGAATCTCAAGAAAGGCTGCAAAACTCTCCTTAAGAAGGATGGTCAGAATGTTCAGTCATATGGGTTAGGGGAAGTATAATATCTTTGCTTTGGAAAGAAAGCAGTGGTTTGTCTCCTATTGCTTGTTTTTTCACTTGCCCCAGGATGTACGTAAAACGACCCCCTAATTTTACAGTTAAAACATAGGTTTAGGCCTATATTCGCTGTATAAGACTACCCCCCCACTTCAAAGAAAAGACTTACTTTGCCATCAAGATCTGCAGGTAATTTTTGTGCAATTTTGGTCTTTTGCCCCTGATTTTCGGTTGATTTTTTTTCGTTTCAAAGGTCGTCTTATACACCAAAAAATACAGTATATATGTTTCAAAGTTTATATGTAACAATAAACTTTGTTAATCTGGTCATAGCATTTAGAATTCTTTTGGGAAGCCACCTGTTCCCACCTCAATCTACAAGGTTAAAAATGGACTGACCACCATCTGTGGCCTCTAGAAGTAGGCTCATGACCTAAGCATAGTTAATTACCACTGATGTCCAGGAGACTGTTCAGGGATAAACATGTGGTTCAAGTTAGGCCAATCAACCAGACCAAATACTTGTGCTAGAATTAAAAAAAACAAAGAGGGAATCGGGGGGTGGCGGGGGAGAGATAAACCGGGAATTTATATACATAGCCCATAGATACAGATCATAGTGTGAAGGTCTGGGAGAGGTGGGTTCAGGGTGGAGGGGATCAATGTGGGGAACAATAATCGAAGAGGACATCTGTTAATACTTCCAATAATAAAAATGAGCCTGGAAGTATCTGAGCCACTATATTGAGAAATTATGCCCATATATGAAGACAACAGAGAAGAAAAGAGTGAGTTAAAGTACAAGACTGACTTCTGATAATAACTGTGCCCAAAACCAGTTTATTCCTAGACTTAGCAGTTACATAAGCTAAATATGCCCATTTTCTTAAAAAAAAAAAAAAAAAAAAATCAAATTTAGGTTAAATGTACCCTTTCTAGAGCACAGTTCCATGAGTTTTAATGAACACACCCAGTTGTATAACCACCAGCACAATCAAGATTACAGTTCTATAATACCCCAAAAGTCCCTCAGGCCCCTCTGTACTCAATCCTTCATTGTACTTCCAACCCCTGCAACCACTGATCTGATTTCTGTTTCTTTAGTTTTGCTTTTCTCAGAATATCAAGATAAATGGAATAATATAACATACTAGAGGCCCAATGCACAAAATCTGTGCATGGGGTCCTTAGGGCTGGCCAGTGATCAGGGCCAATAAGGAACTTCTGGCTGCTAGCCGAGGCCTTCCTTTGTTCCACATTGCCCCCTGGAGGTCAGTGCATGTCATAGTGAGCAATCAAACTTCCAGTTTCCCAGTCGAACTCCCATGGGGACAATTTACATATTAGACTTTTATATATATAGATAGCCATTTAAAAAAAAAATATATATATATATATTTTTACTGATTTTTTCAGAGAGGAAGGGAGAGAGATAAAGAGTTAGAAACATCGATGAGAGTCATCAGCTGCCTCTTGCATGCCTCTTACTGGGGATGTGCCCGCAACCAAGGTACATGCCCTTGATGGGAATCGAACCTGGGACCCTTCAGTACATAGGCTGATGCTCTATCCACTGAGCCAAACCGGTTTTGGCTAGATAGCCTTTTGAATCTGGCCTCTTTCATCTCACTAATTAAAAAGTAAGATGCAAATTGATTGTACTTTCATGGCACCCATTAGCCAATCAGGAGTGACTATGCAAATTAACCCACCAAAGATGGAGGGTTAATCTGCATACACAGGCGCTGAACAACCGGGGGTGATGCCACTCTGGGTCAGCATGGGAAGGTGGGAAGGTGGCTCAGGCCAGAGCAAAGGTGGTGCCAGCAGCCTGGGGAAGGAAGGCCCATTCTTGCACGAATCTTTGTGCATCAGGCTTGTGCATCGGGCCTCCAGTTTAGTACAAAGTATTTGAGATCTGTCTACACTGGTGTATATATAAGCATTTCCTTTTATTCCCAAATAGTATTCCATTATATGGATATTCCATAGTTTATATATTCACTGAATGAAAGATATTTGGGTTGTTTCCACTTTGGGCAATTATAAAAAGCTAAACATCTGTGTACCAGTTGGTTTCTTTGTTTCTCTTGGGTAAATACTTAGCAGCAGTATTGCTTAAATGTATCGTTTTATTGTATAAGAAAATGAAAGACTATTTTTCAAAGTAGCTAGACCATTTTGCCTTCTCACCAGCACGAGAATTCCAATTGCTCCATACCCTTGGATTGTCAGTTTTTGAGATTAAATTAATAATAATGAAAAGCATACAACTTTATTTTTCTCAAAAAGAAACTTGATTGATATTTTACAATAATATGAAAAAAAAAGCTCTGAATTTTCAAAGGCCTAACATTAATTTCTCTAAAAATAATGTCAAGCAGAAACTGGTTTGGCTCAGTGGATAAAGCATCAGCCTGTGGACTGAAGGGTCCCAGGTTTGATTCCGGTCAAGGGCATGTATCTTGGTTGTGGGCACATCCTCAGCAGGGGGTGTGCAGGAGGCAGCTGATCGATGTTTCTCTCTCATCGATGTTTCTAGCTCTCTATCCTCTCCCTTCCTCTCTGTATGAAATCAATAAAATATATTATTTAAAAAAAAGAAAACATTAAAAAATAAATAAATAAAAATAATGCCAATAAGGATAGGGTAAATTGATAGACCAATGTTAATGAAATCCAAATCTCTGTATTTAATACTGGGAATATGGCTAAATGGATCAAAAGATCCAAGATTTGAGAGTAAATCCAGATTTCAAAGTTAAGCATTCTTTTGATTACCAGTATCTTCATACGTGGAATAAACATTTAGGTTCTCTTTTGACAAACAAAGAAAAGAAATTTCTTTAGGAATCTTAACCTTACCTCTAGATCAGTTTCCATAAAATCAAAGACAAGGCTAATATTAGATTTATGTCCAAAAGCATCAAGGAGCTGCAAAGCAAAATTTCAAAAAAATAAAAATGTGATTCTCTATGAAATACTTGACAGTATTACACCAACTAAGTAATTTTTTAAAAAATTTAAAGAAGCATTTGGACAGTTGATAATTCCCTGTAAAGTTTAAGTAATTTTAATAAATTTGACATTTATTTTGTTTTTGTTTGCTAGGAATTTGTACTTTGAGGCACAAAAATATTTATTATTTTTTAAAAAGTCACTAAATACTTACTAACCTCTCCCCCAAAATTTTGGAAGTTATAATAAAGAAATGAATTGATGAAAACCTCACCTCAATCTCTATTTCAGAAAAATTCCTACCTAAAAAATTTTTATAAACCACAGTAGCATCCATCATTTACTGAATGAGCACATTCTCTATGCCAGGCACTATTCCAGGTACTTTACATGTATTTAAGTAGCTGGTCACCACAACCCTCTAAGGTTGTGCTCAGGGTCTTACACATACTAGAGCTCTCTAAGCTTCAAAATGATTTCTGACAAAATTAGCCTGTATGCCAATATTTAATTTACTTCATCCGTTGCATAGTTTTAAAAGATAGGGCCTACAGGAACAATTAGGATAGGAAATACTAGCCTGATAAACTATTAAGTTTTTCTGCAAGGCTTGCTTATCACAATTCATTTTGCTGGGCTTTCAGTCAACATACCAGAAACAACTTAGATCATACTTACACCAATTATATTTGGATGACTTAGCTCCTGTAATAATTTTATTTCTCTTAAGGCTGTTCTATTTATACCTATATAAAAGCACAAAACAAAAAGTGAAAAATAATTCTCAAATCTTTATATAGTTTTTTTTTTTAAATTTTAAATGACTTTTAGAGAGGGGAAGGGAGAGAAAAGACACACATAAATGTGAGAGCAGAACACTGACTGGCTGCCTCCTACATGCCCCCTACCAGGGATCAAGCCTGTAACCAGGGCATGTGCCCTGACCAAGAATCAAATCAGCAACCTTTTGGTGCACAGGATGATGCTCAACCAACTGAGCTACACTGGCTGGGGCTTATGTTGCTTTATTTATTTATTTATTTTAAATATATTTTATTGATTTTGTACAGAGAGGAAGGGAGAGAGATAGCGAGTTAGAAACATCAACGAGAGAGAGTCATCGATCAGCTGCCTCTTGCACACCCCCTACTGGAGATGTGCTCGCAACCAAGGTACTTGCCCTTGACCGGAATCGAACCTGGGACCCTTCAGTCCCCAAGCCGACGCTCTATCCATTGAGCCAAACCGGTTTCGGCTGCTTTATTTGTTTTTAAATATGTGTTTTTATTGATGTTTAGATAGAGAGGAAGGGGGAGAAATAGAAACATCGATGAGAGAGACACACTGAATGGCTGCGTGCTGCACAGCCCCTATTGGGGATCAAGCCAGCAATTCAGGCATGCGCCCTGACTAGTAATCGAACTTGGGACCTCTTGCTCAATCCACTGAGCAATACAAACCGGGCTATATTGCTTTATTTTTAAAATAGTTTACATATGCCAAAACCGGTTTGGCTCAGTGATTAGTGTCAGCCTGCAGACTGAAAGGTCCCAGGTCCGATTCCAGTCAAGAGCATGTACCTTGGTTGCGGGAACAACCTCAGGAGGGGTTGTACAGGAGGTAGCTCATTGATGTTTCTAACTCTCTATCTCTCTCCCTTCCTCTCTGTAAAAAATCAATTAAAAAAATATTTAAAAATAATAAAATAGCTTACGGTACATAGACCATGATAAATGGTGAAAAAAACACTAATTTTATCTGTGGCATATCAGTGCTGGAATAACAATACACGTAAGTGTGTAGCATATAGACGCTAAGTTATATTAATAGCTTCATTTCTCTTGCCCTATAAATATTAGCAGCAGATTCTTTATGCTAATAGCAAACTAGTGATAAGACAGTATTTTTCCCAATGCAAAAGCTAGAACTCAAAATTAGCATTCTAGAAAACAAGGCTTTGGAAGGGAGTGAAGAGTTTCCATAATGAGCTTTGTGTACTTCCATGAAGGTATAGTCTGAATTTTCAAATTAGAAGCTCAGAAAAATGAAGAAACAATGGCTTGTAACAACACCTAAAACAGTAATGAAGACAACTAGATAAGCCACTAATAACTTTGCTGCCTTCCATTTTCTGAAGTGACTTGAACGTGCTTCTCTACACCCAAATGGTAGAAGTCACAAATTTCCTGCCTCTATCCTGAGTGTACCTTTATTCTCTTGGGACCCTGCAATGACTCTACCCAGACCATTGTGAACTCTAATTAATACTTTGCTCGTTCCTCAGTAGGAATAAAAACCTTTCCTGTTCTGTCAAATTAAATGAAATAACTTACCATCTTTAGCTTCTGATCTATGTCCAAGTTTGATCTGGTAGAGAGGAAAAAGAAAACATTAATAATATGTTAAGTTAGGCTTAATGAATGTTTGTGTAGGTAATACACACACATGCATACTCAAAAAACTTAGCTATATTGCCGAAACCGGTTTGGCTCAGTGGTAGAGCGTCGGTCTGCGGACTGAAAGGTCCTGGGTTCGATTCCAGTCAAGGGCATAGACCTGGGTTGCAGGCACATCCCCAGTAGGGGGTGTGCAAGAGGCAGCTGATCGATGATTCTCTCCCATAGATGTTTCTAACTCTCTATTCCTCTCTCTTCCTCTCTGTAAAAAAATCAATAAAATATATTTTAAAAAAACAACAAAAAACTTAGCTATAGCAAAATGACCTAAGGCACATTTAACAAATCATATGTTTTTAGTATTAGTAAGCAAGAAGGAAGTGGGTAATCATTAATTAGAAAGGCAAAAATAACACAATAAGAAAGAATCAAGTACCTACTATTCCTTGCCCTTTAAGTTTTTGAAGTACATATTCAAAGTCACTCAAGCCCTGGCCGGTGTGGCTAAGTTGGTTGAAGCTTTGTCTTATGCACTGAAAGATCATTGGTTCGATTTGCAGTCAGGGCACATGCCTGGGAGGCAGCCAATTGAAGTTTCTCTCTCACATTGATATTTCTCCCTCTCTCTCTCCCTCCCTCAAATCAATAAAAATTTTCTTTCTTTTTTTCTTTCTTTCTTTCTTTCTCTTTCTTTTTATAAAAAGAACTGCAGTGAAGAAAGACTATTTTATTATGAATGGCACCACCCAAGAGGGAGGGTAGCTAATACTCAAAAGCTCCATGATGGCATGTAGGTCACAGATTATATAGGGCAAAATGATAAGACCCCGTGGGTTAGGAGTTAAGGGTGGTGTTGGGAGCTGATTGGTTGGAGGGGAGGCAAGGGTTAATGAGTAATTTCTTCAGGTCTTGAGGAGAGCTCTGAGGTCTGCTCTGGCATCCCTCTAGTTTCATGGAAAGATAGCCAGGGGGTTGTTCCACCTTAGGCCTCAGCTAAACTATTTAGGTCAAGATACTATCTTCAGCTTACGGTAAAAGACACACATACCTTGTAACCCTTAATCAAGGTATGACCATAGTTTCTGGCTGCTTCAGAGGGTTAATGACTAGTAAGGAAAGGGCTAAGCTTATAGGGCACTCTATAAAGAAACTGAGTAGAATGCTGGCACCACATATTAGGACCCTTGGTTTCACTGAGTCACCTCGAAGGGGTAAAAGTCTATCACAGAGAAATAGGATGGATTTTACCCTAATTTATGTTAACAGCAAGCAAACTTGGACTTTCAGACAACGATAGAACTCAATATGCCAATAGTTTGAAGAGATTGTATCAGTCGGTTAAATGAATACATTTTTAATGAGTGTTTACAAATGTACTAGCCATACTGTCTAAGTGTGATTTGAGTGGAAGTAAACAGACAATAAACTCATAGATAAAAGCATTTCAGGTTTTGACAAATGCTATGAAGATATCAGAGAAATATGGTAAAGAACACCAGGGAGGAGGGAGGCATACCCGTTTTAGCTACAGTGTCCAGTAAAGGCCTCGGGGTGAAGAGGCATTTGAGTGTGATCTAAAGGATAAGGAACCCGCCAGGCCACGTTTTAGAAGAAAAATGTATTAGCCAGAAGGCAGAGCAAATGCAACAATCCTGGGGCTGGAATGAATTTCATGTGTTCAAGGAATAGAAAGTTCAATGTGGCTAGAGTATCGAAAAATAGAATTGAAAAGATAACTTTAGGAAGGGTCGGGAGAGTTAAAGGGTTTTACAAAGGAGCAGCTGGTGCTGGATTGTAGAACAAAAGCTGGAAAACAAGATGGGAGAAGTCAGAAAAGGTAAGGCGGAGGTCACTTGCCACATCAGCAGGTCTTGGGCAGTGAGAAAAACAGCCTCTCCTTGAGAGGGTTACTGAGTAGCATAGGAAAGAGCAATCAACCTGGCAGCAGGACACCTGGACTTGAAGCCTAGCTTTAGCCATTACTACCCACATCATCTTGACAAGCCAGCTAATCTCTCTCAGCTTCAAGAACCTCAAGTGTAAAATAAAGGCACTTAATTTAAGTATTTTACAAGACTATTTTGAGGGTTAAATGAAAAATGTTGGTGAAAGTGCCTGGCATATAGAAAGTTAGCTAAATGTAACCTAAATTTCTTGAGTGAATGCAAATAAAAAGATACTAAAATCAGTTTTAAAAACAAACGCACATCAATGTTGTTGATGTCGGTGAAAGCCTTTTATGGTAAATCTGTCCACAGAAAATAGATATGATGCATAGAGTGGATGCAGGTAGGCAGAAATAGTGATCCAGGAAATTAATGACATGAAATGGTTTGTTTTGAGGACCTAACAGACTGGCAGTTATTACCCTCTTTGCTAACTTCTGAGTTTATTTATAAAGCCGGCATATGGCTCCCTTTTCATTTCAATGTCAGTTAATGGCACAAAAATCTAGTTCAGCTCAATCTGTTGACTGGGCTTCCTCTGGTGCAGGGCAAGGTCGCCAGTGGGATCCCTGGTCAGGAGACAGGACGGGTTATGGGCTCCATCCCCGGGAGGGGGTCTGCAGGAGGCAGCCCATCCAAGTTTCTCCCATTGATGCTTCTCTTCCTCTCCCTTCTTCTTTCTAAAAATCAATAAAAACCAGTTCCACCCGAGTTCTATATCTCGGAACACAAGACACTAACAAATTCTGCTTCCTTTGAAAATAACCTAAGGCACTCCTTATTAGCAGAGCAAGGCCTGGACTGGTGAAATGGGCCAGCCACCAACTCATGCATCCTTACATCGTCCAAGCGACTCCAAGACAACAAAGTGCAACTCACCTTTTTAATGGCGACAATTTGGTTGGTGTTCTTGTCTCTGGCCTTGTAAACCGTGGCAAACTAGAGAGAGAAACAAAGACAACCTAAGCTTTGCGGGAAGGCTGTTTGATTGTGTTTGCCTTTTGACTTTAGATTTTGGGAAGCCAAGAATCAAGGGTTCTAGGAGGGGACTCCCGGCGGCTGGAAGCGTGGTGGGTCGGCCCACGGCCCGGTCCTGCCTGGGAGTAGTGAACAACCAAGTAAAACATATTATGGTTTTAAAAATGCTATGTGAGGGAGGGGTGGTGATGGGGGATGAGGACAAATATGTGATACCTTAATCAATAAAGAAATTTAAAAAAATAAATAAAAATGCTATGTGCCCGGAAGGGAGAGGGCCCTCGGCGGGGGGGACGGCGGGGCAGCGGCGTCCGGGAAGCCTGGGCCAGCAGCGGCCAGCCCCGGAGGGCGCGAGGAAACCGGAGGAGAGCGGAGGCGACTGGGCGCCCTGCCCGCGGGACGCCCCGAGCCCCGGGAGCCGCACCTGCCCCTCCCCGAGGAAGTCCAGCTTCTCATAGCGCTTCGCTCGCGACTTCACGTCCACAGCCATCCGTCACGCGAAGCCCGAGCACAGCCGCAAAGAGCGAGCTCCCAGGACAGAGGGGATTTAAAGCGACTTTAAAGCCTCCAACAGCCACTTCCGCTCGCCAGGCTCCGGCGCTTCATTCGCTCCGCCCCACTTCCGGGATGGGCGTGGCCCTGCCGAGCCGGTGCGGAGCCCTGAGGAAGCTGAGCACAGCAGGGCCTTTTGGGGCCGCCGGAAGCCGGGTGGTGTAGGGTGGTGGAGCCCACGTGGGTCACCTGGTTATGGTTTTAACTTAGGTTATGGTCTTCACTGCCGCGAAGGGTCGGCGTTCTGCTGCGGTTCCGAGTTGGGAATGTCACAGGTGTGTATGCGGGCGGCAGGCTCGGCCTTCTCTCCCCGTCTCCCTTTCTGGTTCTAGGCCTGGCTGTTCTGTCCCTGCGGTTACTATGGACGCCTGGCCCCGCGGTCCCAGGTTACTACTTAAGACGCCTGCCCACTTCTTCTTTTTTATTTTTATGTTTACTTTTAATATTTTATTGATTTTTTTTTACAGAGAGGAAGGGAGGGGATAGAAAGAAACCTCGATGAGAGAGAAATAACCATCAGCTGCCTCGTGCATACCCCTTACTGGGGAAATGCCCTGCAACCAAGGTACATGCCCTTGACCGGAATCAAACCTGGAACCCTTGAGTCCACAGGCCCACGCTCTATCCACTGAGCCAAACCGGTTAGGACGCCTGCGCACTTCTTAAGGGCTGGCTGGGCAAGAGGCATTCTTATTAGTCCAGTGCTTTCTACGAAGAGGCGCAGCCAGGGTAACAAAATACCAGCCAACGGAACAAAATACCATCCTTTTTCTACTCTGTGAAGTGGAAAGAATAGACTACATCACAGGTGGTTGTGAGGATTAAATGTGACAGGCAGAAAAGTTAGTCATAGTAAACGCCCAATTAAGTGTCAGCTGTGAGCAGTGCCCAATGACCACGCTCCGCACCAGTGACGCTCTCCCCTAAACCCCAGTCTATTATGAGGAAAACATCGGAGAATCCAAAAGACATCCTTCAAAACGGGGGACCAGCATTGTGCAACCAGACACAGCCCAGGGTGGCCCTGAGAGGGCGGAGGCCGAAAAGCTTGAAAAAGGCATAGAAGAGAATGAAACCTGGGTCTCGGTGGGATGCTGCTTGCTGAGAGACAGCACCCAAGCCCACAAGCCGAGTCTTTATTTTGTAGCAGAAGCCATGAGGCAAAGGAAGGGCTTGGTCAAGATGTTTACAGGATTCTCCAGGGTTTCCATCCTACTCCATTACATGCATCTGATCAAACTTGGTTCACCTGCAGCCTATTTATTATCACGCAGGCACGTGGGGCCACGTGTTCAGACCATAGGTTCAAGCTTACAAGTGCAGCGGTTGGATAGAATTGTGCTGGGAGGCTCTGCCTTCCTAGCTGGGACATGCACATGGCCAAGAGAGGACTGGACCTCTCATGACTCCCAGTTTGGAGCCAGCAACCCCAAAGCTCAGCAAGGTCATTCAAAACAAAGACGGCTGGGAGACAATGCACAGAGCGGGCTGAAAGCAGTGCGGGGTTCTGGGTAGATCCTCCAATAGAAAAAGGCTATTAGTGAAAGACTAGGGAGACACAAGTCTATAGTCCAGTACAAGCAGGGCAGCAGCGTTCAGCAGTTAGCTGTGTCAGGGCCGGGGTTGTGGAAGCTGTAAACAACAGGAGAGACTACCTATGTAGACCTGTTCGCAGGAACCCTGTACTCACTATGCAAGTGTGCGGTAAATCTACAATTATTCCAAAATAAAAATTAAAAAAACATTTTCTTTTTTAAAAAAAGAAGTAATAAAGTAATTAACAGCTCTGGCCAATTATGTTCAGTGGTAATAGCATCAGCCCAAGGACTGGTGTTTGGGTCCCACCCCTCAACAATCATTGGGTGAGTTTGGGAGTTGGACCCGCTCGTCACCTCCCATTGGGTGAGGTTAGGAGTGGAACCGGCCCCTCAACAACCATTGGGTGAGGTTCAAAATGGGTCACATCTCTCCACAACCATTGGGTGAGGTTGGAAGTCGGTTTACCCCTCAACAGCCATTGGTTGTGGTTGGGTGTGGGTCCTGCCTCTCAACAACCATTGGGTGAGGGTGGAAGTGGGTCCCACCCTTGAATCCAATTGATTGAGGTTGGAAGTGGGTCCCGCCCCTCAACAATTGTTGGGTGAGGTGAGCTTGAGGAATTATACATATCCATTCATTTATGCAGTGAATATTTATTGAATATGCCAGACTCTATTGTAGACCAGGAAATAAGCCTGAAAAAAAAGACAAAGATGCTTGCCTTCAAATGGGAGTAGTTAACAACCAAGTAAAATATGATTTTAATAATGCTATGATACGTAGTTATAAGTGCTATAGAAATAACACATAACTATGGAAATTATAAAGCATGGAAAAAGAGACTAGGGTTTTCAGTTTTAAATAGGGTGGGACAAGACAAACATCAGTTTTGAGCAGACAAATGATATCCATGTTTCTAAAGGTCCACTCTGGCTGTTGTGAGTGACCAAACTTGGGGTCAGGGAGGTGGCAAGGAAAAGCAAGAAGGCCAGGTAAGGAATTCCTGTGGTAATTCAGATGCCTGTATTAGATGGTACCAGATGACTTGTAGCCAGAAGGATTTGCTGACAAACTCATTGTTTTGGGTAAGGGAGTAAGGAAAGCATAATTCTAAGGTTTTGAATCGGAGCATTTGATAACGTTGAGAATCCTGATTTTCAGAGTTATGTTGCCAAAGGCAGCAGAATACCAAGGCTCATAATTTAGTAAAGATAATACGGTGTAAGGATTGACCCTTGCTGTGGGTATAGATTGTCCACATTGACTCCTGGGCTAAGTATTCAGTTGATATATAACTTAGGCAAATTATTTAACCTTTCTGTCCCTAGTTTTCTCCTCCATAATAGGAGCTAATCATTGGGTTGCTGCAAGGCTTAAATAATTTCACTCTCCAAAAACCCTTAGAAAAATGTCTGACAGTGCTCAATTTGTGTTATAGAACTCAACTTACGTTAACCATCTCATAACTATTGTTGGTCACCCCCCAGCTCTTGTCACTACTTGGGTCTTCATTGAGCTCTGCCATGTTCATGGGCAAACTTCTCATACATTGCAGAAAACACACCGTCTTTATCACTTAATTCTTTTTAAAAAATATATATTTTGATTTCTTAAAGAGAGGAAGAGAGAGGAATAGAGCTAGAAACATCAATGAGAGAGAAACATCGACCAGCTGCCTCCTACACACCCCCTACTGGGGATGTGCCCGCAACCAAGGTATGTACCCTTGACCAGAATCGAACCTGGGACCTTTCAGTCCTCAGGCCGATGCTCTATCCATTGAGCCAAACCGGTTTTGGCTATCACTTAATTCCTAATTTTTTTTACTTGTGGTAAGTCATGCCTGATGATCTATGGTGTTACATGACTTAGGCCAAAGTTCCTTTTGAAAGACATTACCGTAACAGCTAACCTCACTTTTAGTAAAAATAAGCTTAGTGAGCTAAATTTGATGGTACACCTGTGAGGCTATGGCATAAAAGCACTTTTACACATTGGTGGCAGCCATCTTCTAAAATGGCCCCAATGATTCTTGCTTTCCAGTGTTAATGAACTGAGTAGATTCCTCCAATAATGAAACAGGCTGTTATGTCTGACCAGTAGAATATGGCAGAAAATGTAACTTCTGAATTTAGGTCATAAAAAGCATTAATGCTTCGGTCTTTGGATGCTTGGATGATTTACTGTGGGGGGAAGTCAGCCAACATGCCACAAATTTGACCAGGCAGCCTTGTGGAGAGGAACTGAGTCCTCCTGTCAGCAGCTTCATTCGGCTTGCCAGCCATGCTAGTAAGCCACTTTGGAAACAGATCGTTCAGCCCCAGTCAAGCCTTCAGATAAGTGCAGCCCCAGGTAGCACCTGATTGCAACCTCATGAGAGACACTGACTGAGCAGAACTGCCCAGCCAACCTGCTCAGGAATTCCTGACCCAGAGAAAACATTAGTTATTGATTATTGTTGCTTTTATTTTTATTTTTTTAAATATATTAACTTTACACAGAGAGGAATTGAGAGGGATAGAATTGAGAGGGACAGAGAGTTAGAAACGTCGACCAGCTGCCTCCTGCACACCCCCACTGGGGATGTGCCCGCAACCAAGGTACATGCCCTTGACCGGAATCGAACCTGGGACCCTTCGGTCCGCAGGCTGACACTCTATCCACTGAGCCAACTGGTCTCGGCTGATTATTGTTGCTTTTAGACACTAAGTTTTGAGGTGACTTGTTACAAAGTAGTAGATAGTACTGGAAAGGAAAACCTCAAGGTGGCCCTCAGACAGATCCAGCATTACTGAAGCCACACTTTATTACCTGAACTTACTGTTTCTGAAAGTAAAAAAATTTGCCCTTTTATTGAAACACAGAAGTTAAGGGGGTGGGGAAAACTGGTAGTATTAAAGAAAAATTTCCAAATAAATGTAAATAACATAAAAAACCCATGAACTTTGTATTTTTGGTCATTAAAGCAGTGTATTGTTAGCCCCAAACCCCTATCTCAAATTTGAGTTAGGCAACATTTTTATTACACTACAACACAGAATTTGCAAGAGGAACAGATCAACTCTAGAATTGGGGGGTGGGGGGGAGCAAAGATTAACCCACAGGCAACTGGGCAATACTCAATTCTACTCATTATTGCTTACAAGCTATCTTTACTATTAGAGATGACTACTTTAAAGTATATTCTATAAATCTTTAAAGGTATGAAAGAGAATTTATTTAGCTTTGTGAGGCTTTACTTTCACAATAATAATATACCCTTGGCACAGGAAAACCCTTTAAAGTTTCATATATTGCTTTAACAAATATTTATGTTGATTTTATGAAGCTTTCAGACATTAAGTTTGAGAAAGTTAATGATTAGCACAATTTGCACACATTATACAATCAAAACAGTAAAGTAAACCAAAGAACAAGATTTTCTTAACACCCCTAGCAATTTCTATAATTTTTTAAAAAAATATATTTTATTGATTTTTGTACAGAGTGGAAGGGAGAGAGATAGAGAGTTCAAAACATCAATGAGAGAGAGTCATCAATCAGCTGCCTCTTGCACACCCCCTACAGGGGATATGACAGCAACCAAGGTACATGCCTTGACCGCAATCGAACCCAGGGCCCTTCAGTCCCAAAGCCGACGCTCTATCCACTGAGCCAAACCGGTCCCGGCCATAATAGCAATTTCTATTCAAACATAATACTTCTGCTATATTAATTTTGTTGTCTGATTTTATACTGGCTTATTTCCCGCCCCCTAAAAATAGATTACTAATAATATTTTATGTTAACTCTTAATACCCCAAAGTCACTGGATATGCCTTGGCTCTATTATTGTTTAGAGTAGGATGTGCTTATTAAGCCAGTTATACTCCAATAACTTTGTGAATGAAAATAAAAAAGAATTAAGAACAAATAATAGAGTTACTATTTCACCTATCCTCATCCTATTTCTTGAAAATCACTTCCAAAAAGCAATTCTGCCTGATAAATTGTTTAAACAGAAACTGAAAGAAAAGCGAAATTGTGGGAAATCTATGATGGTTTATTAGACATTGTGCGCTTTTAATAGTTCAACACTGGTAATACTTGTTAATCAAGAGTAAATTAATAGACTAACATTTTTAATAAGTATAAAGTATATAAACAATTAGGTAAGCTTGTGGAAAAGCTGCCAAGATACATAAATTAAGAAATACAAGTATCTATCTAAGTTTTCTATATTTCTTTTTTCTTTTTCTTTTTTTTAGAATATTAAAGTTGTTAGTGTACAATTTCTCATTAGTCATTTTGGAAGTCCTTTATTGTAAAGTCTGTTCTTTGTTTGATAACAAACAGCAGCCAGTGTCGTGATTATTCAGGACCTCCACGCTGAAAAATAAAAAATAAAAACAAGATTAGGTGTTAAATTTACAAAAAAAAAAAAAAAATGTTTTCATGGCCACTATACAAATTTATACTATTTTAAGTAAATGATCTTTAGGGTTTTTTTTTTTTCTGGTTAAACCAGATCAGTGGTCCTCAAATTTTGTGGTCTCAGAAACTCTTTACACTCTGAAAAATTGAGAACCCTAATTGAGCTTTTTTTATGCATTTATGTTGATTGATTCTCCACATCATACTTCTACATATATATTTACACACACATGTAACTGAGGGCTTGGACATGGTTTATTTCTCATAGTCATGGCCTATCAGACCATCTGTATCTTAGTTATGGACACACCATGACAGGACAATGGGGAAGGCATGTAAATTAGCATATGAAATTCCAAAAGCCAAATACATTAAGACATTTTGCATAATATTGTGATAAAGACCAACAACATACTTGGATATATTCCATTTCTTCTTGAGAGACAAGTTTTCTTCTGTATTTCTGAGGTAATGTTTTTATTATTTCTGCAGTGTCTGGTGGACCCTGATGCATCAGCCAATCTGACGATTTACTTCCCTTAGAATGCTGTGAAATTGAAGAAGAGTGAGAAGGTACTCCTGTTGCTTTCACAGCTTCTAATACTGAAATTTAAAAAAATGTAATTAGAGAAATTGTTCAGGTGTCTTAAAATACTATTTTGTATTCTCTATTATTGAAAAACCTAGTCATTCTTGAAATTAAGTATTATAATTCTGAGAAGTATTAGAGAGTAACTTAGTTGGGTAGCTATATATAATTTCATCAAGTTCTTTTTAAAAAAATATATTTTATTGATTTTTTTACAGAGAGGAAGAGAGAGGGATAGAGTGTTAGAAACATCAATGAGAGAGAATCATTGATCAGCTGCCTCTTGCACACCCCCTACAGGGGATGTGCCTGCAACCAAGGTACATGCCCTTGACCGGAATCGAACCCGGGACCTTTCAGTCCGCAGGCCAACGCTCTATCCACTGAGCCAAACCAGTTTTGGCTAATTTCATCAAGTTCTTAAAAAAAAGAGGTAATGTTAAATGAGTAAGTTACTAAATTGAACAAATTTATAAAATAATGAAATTTCTAGATAGTGGAATTCAACCCATATAGATAACCTACATTACTTAAGTTTTATCATATGGTGGAATTTACAGGTAATATCTTACAATGAGGAATAAGAATTTTGGTAACTATAGATGAGATTAGTTTTCTCAGTACTTCTTTAACACCTGTATCTTAATTCAAGAATTATAATAAGTTAAAAAACATCTGTATAAAATTAGTTAAATAAAATTCTCCCTGAATTAAGGATTGAATAGCTTATAATAAAGACAGAGACAGAGGATTTGGTAAAAAAAAAGTGAGGTCAGAAAAAAACAGTACGTCTTCAGAATCTTTAGTTACTTTATGATTACTGAGGTTTATAGCAATCAAAGAAACATTTACTGATTGAATGGATAAATGAGTGGGAAAGGTTAGCTGGGAGAGAAATATGGAAAAGATTATTATTCCTCACAATATCTGCAAATGTGTGGGAGATTATTCTAAAGGATAGAAGGAAAGAAAGGTAGAACAAAAATTCCCCTGTATAAACTCAATATTATTAAAAATTCAGAGACTTCTACTATTGAGTCATCCTTTTTAAATGGAAGTAATAAATTAATTTCTACTTGCATGGAACCTAAGGTATTTTCCATTTTCTTTCTTTCTTTTTTTTTTTTTTAATATATTTTTATTTCAGAAAGGAAGAGAGAGGAGTAATTTCAATGATGAGAGAGAATCACTGATTAGCTGTCTCCTGCATGCCCCTACGGGGATCCCACAACCTGGGCATGTAGCCTTGAACAGAATCAAACCTGGGACCCTTCAGTCTGCAGATTGATGCTCCATCCACTGAGCAAAACCAGGTAGGGCGGGTATGTACCATTTTCATCTAAGCTACCGAATCTACCTGATTTTAAAATGAAAATAGGATATTCATATATATATTTGGGTCAGGTAGCTCAGTTGGTTAGAGCACTAGAGTTTGATCCCAGTCAGGGCACATAAGAGAATCAACCAATCTATACTAATAAAAGCATAATATGCTGATTAGACCAAATGACCTTCTGGACAGCCTTCCGGACAAAGCCACGGTGGCAGAGGCTGAGGCCGAGGCAGTTAGAGGCAATCAGACTGGCAGTGGAGCAGTTAGGGGCAATCAGGCCAGCAGGGGAGCAGTTAGGGGGCAATCAGGCTGGCAGGGGAGCAGTTAGGGGTATTAGGCTGGCAGGCAGAGGTGGTTAGGGGTGATCAGGCAGCCAAGCAGGCGAGCAGTTAGGAGCCAGTGGTCCCGGATTGCGGAGGGATGTCCAACTGCTGGTTTAGGGCCTATCCCACAGGACATCCCTTGAGGGTCCCAGATTGGAGAGGGTGCAGGCCAGGCTGAGGGACCCCACCTCCTCTTCCTCCTACATTTGTGCATGAATTTCATGCACCAGGCCTCTAGTAAATACATAAATAAGTGGAAAACAGAATCAATGTGTTGTTTTTCTCCTCTTTTCTGCCCCTCCCTCTCTCTCCCTTTAAAGTCAATAAATGAAACATTTAAAAATCTAAAGTACAACTTACCATTTGGTTTAGGATTATCTCTTCTGTTAGGGAATCTTATTAATGGAGTATGTGGCTTGACTACCTAAGGAAAAAAAAATGCATAAAAAAGATGAAACACTAAAATAAACTCATTAACTATATATACAAGAAAAACTACTGAACCACATAGACACCTTCATTAAAATAAAATACCTTAGTATTTGACAGCAATTTTTATTTTGTTAGCAATTTAAAATTTTACTATTTTACTCTTTCCCAACCAGGAAAGCTGCTCTATGAATTATTAACTTGTTTATCTTATCTGCTTTTCATAATAACTTTGTACTTTATACATCACAAGACATTTTACTATACTCCCAACTGACCTTAAAGACAACCCTATGAAAAAGATGACATGGATTTTATTTTGTATGACTTAATATCAACCTCTTGATTGATAAGAATTGGAAGTTTCCTGACTTGAATTGAGTATTTTCCCCCTAATATGTTACTGTCTAACAGTTTAGATTAGGACAAAAAGCATATTGACAATTAGGTAATTAAAAAAAAAATACGTTTTCTGAGTAAAAAAGTAATGTGTTCTGTGTAAAAAATTTGGAAAAAATGCAGAAAGGCACAAAGAGGAAAACTATAATCCCCAAAATCCATACAAAACAGGTTTAAACATTTGATAATCCTTTTAGTCTTTTTCCTCTTTCAATAGAAATACATACTTTTCATTGCTCTAATTCATCATGCCATTTCCATACGCATTCAATCTCTGCCCAATCCCACCCATTTCCATGCCTTCCCTCTCATCTGACTGCTTATCTTTTTTTTTTTTTTTAAATATATTTTATTGATATTTTACAGAGAGGAGAAAGAGAGAGAGAGAGCTAGAAACGTCGATGAAAGAGAAACATCGACCAGCTGCCTCTTGCACACTCCCTACCGGGGATATGCCCGCAACCAACGTACATGCCCTTGAATGGAATCGAACCCGAGACCTTTCAGTCCACAGACCACCGCTCTACCACTGAGCTAAACCGGTTTCGGCTGACTGCTTATCTTTTAAAACAGCTCAAATATCACTCTGCTCTAAGAAACTTCCCCTGATTCCAAAATCTGATATTTCTACTTTGCGTTTCCAGGGTATTCTGAACATCTTAAGAATACTGTGCAGCAGACAGATAAATGAGCCAATGATGTACAGGAACGCTAAGCTCCTGGGAAGGTAGAGTCAGAGAGCTAAGCACTTCTGCAGCAGTGCCTGATACATTACATAATAAGTGCTCAAGAAACACCTGCCAAATGAGTGAATAGACTATTTGTATGGTAGTCCTAAGTATATAGGCATCCTACCTAATAAAAGAGTAATATTCAAATTAACCATCCCTCTGCTACACCCACTAGCCACGCCCACCAGCCAATCAGAAGAAGCCAAGCTTTCCACCTGCCCTAGCCAGCCTAAGCCTCTACTCAAAGCTACAAAGTTTCAGTTATAGAAGGTAAACAAATCCAAACAGAAATGGCAGCAGCCACAGAGCAAGCAGAAGGCTTGGCTCCATTCCAGGCTACAAAGTTTCAATTGTAGAATGTAAATAAATTCCAGATACCAGGGCCAGCAAGGGAGGGCAGTTAGGAGGCACCAAGCCTGCAAGGGAGGGCAGTTGGGGGTGATCAACACTGCAGGGGAGGGCAGTTAGGGGTGACCAGGCCGGCAGAGGGAAGTTGGGGACAAACAGGCTGGCAGGGGAGCAGTTAGACATCAAACAGGCTGGCAGGGGAGTGGTTAAGGGGTGATTAGGCTGGCAGGCAGAAGTGGTTACGGGCAATCAGAAAGGCAAGCAGGCGAGCAGTTGGGAGCCAGCAGTCCTGGACTGTGAGAGTGATGTCCGACACCCGTTTAGGTCAGATCCCGGTGGGCCTAAAAGGGCAGTGGGGCATTCCTCGAGGGGTCCCAGATTGGAGAGATGCAGGCTGGGCTGAGGGACACCTTACCCCCCCAACCCCACACGAAATTCGTGCACCGGGCCTCTAATGTAAGTATATAGACACACACTTAACAATACAGGGGTGGGCAAAAGTAGGTTTAAGTTGTAATACAAATACCTGATAAATACAAGAATAAATTGTATTTCCCATACTTACAACTGTAAACCTACTTTTATCCACCTCTGAGATACATCAGAGAGGAAGAATCCATTTCAACATTGCATTTGAATATGTAAAACTATAATGTAATATGCCCTATAGGTTATATTCCCACACTTTCTGGGATTCCCTTTTTTAGAAAATACATAGCAAGGCTGGTGTGGCTCAGTGGTTGAGCGTGGACCTATGAATCAGGAGGTCACAGTTCCATTCCTGGTCAGGGCACATGCCTGGGTTGTGGGCTCGATCCCCAGGGGGGGCTGTGCAGGAGGCAGCTAATTAGTGATTCTCACCATTGATATTTCTGTCTCCTGCTTCCTTTCTCTCTATGAAATCAATAAAAACATATTTTAAAAAATAATTAAAAATACATAAAAGTAGAGAGAGTAGGGTGATAAGCCCTGATAAACACATTACACAACTTCAACAGTAATACAGTCAATCTTATTTCATCACCCTTTCCCCTATAATGGGAAAAAATGTGATAATTTGGACTGCACTAAAAAGCAAATTAAGAACTTTAACACATCAAAAAAAAAAAATCCAAATTTAAAAATACCAACTAGTTAAAAAAATTTCATAACAGACCAAAGGTTAATAGCCATATAAGAACAGGCTTATTGCTCATTTAGATATCTTCTTTTGTGCAAAATCATTTTTTTACCCCATTTTAAAATTGGGAGATATATATATATATATATATATATATATATATATATATATATATATAAATGATACCAGTTCTTTGACAGATGTTTGCTGTATCCCAACAATCTTTAATTAGTTAATGCTCAATAACTATCCAATAAATGAGTAAATGAGGATCATTCGTTGCAAGGGACTAAAAGACTGGGATCTTGGATTATCTTTCAGGCTCTTTTTTTTTTGTAATCTTTACCTGAGGACATGCTAATTGATTTTAGAGAGAGAGGGACTTGAGGGGGTATGAAAGGAGAGAGAGAGATGTAAGAGAAGCACTGAGATGGGTTACACCTCCCGAGGGTTCCCACTGGGGATCAAACCAGCAACCCAGGCTGTGACCTGACCAGGAATGGAACAATCCAACCCACAACCTTTTGGTGCAACTGAGTCACACCGGCTAGGGCAGACTGACACAATTTTAAGAAATACACTTACCGTATGCAAAGAGAAAAGCACTTCTCATATCAAAGTTAATAATACAACAATACACTTTCAGAGCTGAAAAAGATCATGAACACCAACCACAAAAGTGGAGGTTACGTCCCTTTATATCCAATTTCACCTTTCCTAGTTAAGCTCGAGACCACAGCTGGAGAAGAAAAGCTACCAGGAGTTAATCAACGTGTGTGGGTTAATGTGTAGTTCCTCCAGCTGCCATCTAAACTCAAGAGGAAAAAAAAAAAAAGCTTGGGAAACCAACACTAAGACATGTATTACATGTATTTTTTTAATTTCCTCCCATCCGGCCTATAAGCAGACCTCTGAGTTGGTGGGGAGACCCAGTGCCGGTCTAGGGCACCACTCGCCCTCGGCCTGTTCCCAAGACCTTGAAGGGACAGCGGGGTCAGGACGGGGTTGGCTTCCTCGCACTCGCCGCTGCCGCCTCGCTTCGATTGGCTGGGCCGGGCCGTCGCCGACTATCCCGGGCACCGATTGGCCGGCGGCGGTCCGCAGCCCAGCCCGCCGGCTCCCGGGGGGCTGCAAGGTCCTCGCGGAGGACAGCGCGGGGGCCCAGAGCAGCCATGTGCCCACCTGCTGCGCCGCGCCATCCCCGCGGTCCGGCTCGAACCCTCCACTCCGGCCACCGGTCTGCTCCCCGACCCATCGGGCTCCAGGTCTGCTTCTCACCTCCCCAGCGGCGCCGCCGGCCCCGCTCACCGCCGCGGCCGCCGCACAGCCCCCGCCGCCGCTCTCCCTCCCGGCGCCTCCCCTCCACACAGTCAGCACCTCCCCGCCGCCCTCCGTGCGGGAAGGCGGCCGGCCCGCTTTACCTGCACGACCCTGCCGGCCGACGCCATCTTGCTGCCCATCGCGACCCCGAGCAGGGGCAGCTTCCGGGGCGCTCGCGAGCCGCGGCGATACCGGAGCCCCGGGCGGCCGGGGGGCGGGCCCTTTATGAGCGTCACGGAGGCGGGGCCAGCGGGCCGCTCCTCCGCCCCCTTCCCGACCGGAACCGTGTGTTTCCCGTCGCTTCCCTTTGCAGGCGAGGGTTGGTGATGTTAGGTTTATTTTGCTCGTTAGCTGTGAGTAATACAGGACCGTTTCCTCTCCAGAAAGCCAGTTTCTAATTCCAGTCTAGAGTTTAATCCAATTCTTCAGCCAGTTATTTCTGACTTGGACTTTCAGAGGGAACACACAGGATAATCCAATCCCAGGAAAATGCAGTTTTTCAGATGATACTGATAATCTCTTGATTTGGGAATCACTAATAGAATGATTTGCATCGGATTCATTTAATGCTGTAATTTTGGATCAGGAAGACATTTAACAGAATGTTTTTTTCTTTCCCTTAATGATAGAAACAGAAATCTTTTTAAATATTTTTATGGATTTCAGAGAGGAAGAAAGAGGGAGATAAACATCAATATGAGATAGAATCATTGATCGGATGTCTCCAGCACAACCCCTATTGGGTATGTGGTTTAATGTGTCTTTCCTCAGGCTGCTATTTAAATTCAAGAGGAAAAAAAAGCTTGGGAAACTAACACTAAAACATGTATTACAGTTAATCTTTTAAAAAAATTCCTTCCCACCTGCCTATAACCAGAATTGAACCTGGGACCTTTCAGTCCGCAGGCCTATGCTCTATCCATGGAACCAAACCAGCCAGGGACAGAGTCGTTTTTTTAAAAAAAAAAAAAATTTCTTTATTGATTTCAGGAGGCACAAACATCAATGATGAGAATCACTGATCAGCTGCCTCCTGCACATCCTTTAGGGATCAGTTGAAACCCATGCATCTGCCCTCATAGGTCCATGCTCAACTACTGAGCAACACCAGCTGGGCCAGAATGTTTTTCTAGAAGAAAAATACTGCTTTACAATTTATGTTGACAATTTCCAAGAATATGATGTGGCAAAAAGAACAAAATTACAAATAAATATGATTTATCAAAAGAAATGAAGTAACACTATACATATTCCAAATAAATGTTTAGTATACAACTGAAGGCAAATCTCTGTATTTTTATTATTGACCTAAAGAACAGATTTCAAATGCTGTTACACCTGCAGCACATCTTCTCAAGTTGTTCAGTCTTTTAAAGAATGCTAAAAACACATTGTCTATAAAAATGATCAACAACTCCAAATTAATAAAGAGCTCAAATCAGAATTTACAAAAGTTGGAATGGGATGAAAAGTGGCAAATTATGTTTTTGAATTAGAAAATCAACATTTGTTTTTTTAACTTATAGAAGTTATGCATGATAAACATAAATACAAAAGAAAAAAGTCACAATTCTTCTAAATATGTTTTTCTTCAAGGCTTTTTAAAGCTATAGATGGATTGGGGAATTGAGATGTTGGTCAAAGGGTACAAATTTACAGGTAGAATTTGAGTAAGTTTTGGATATATAATGCATAGCATTGTGATTACAGCTAACACAACTGTATTATACACTTCAAATTTGCTAAGATACTAGATTCTAAATATTTTCACAACAAAAAAAATGATGTGACATGATGGAGATGATAGCTAAACCCATGGTGGTTAATTCAACATGCTGTACACCTTAAGCTTACACAATGTTATATATCAATTTCTTCCCAATAAAAAAAGTTTCGGCTTGGCTTGACGGATAGAATGTCAGCCAGTGGACTGAAGGGTAGGCTCCATTCCAGCCAGGGGCACATGCCTGGGTTACAGGCTTGATCCCCAGTAGGGTGCGTGCAGGAGGCAGCCAATCAATGATTATCATCATTGATGTTTCTCTCCTTCTCCTTTCCTTTCTCAAATCAATAAAGAAATACATATTTTTAAAAAGTTTGTAGTGAGATAAAATAAGATTTACTTGAATAAAATACAACTGACAGCCATGAAAATAAAGTTGTGGGTATACTTTTCTAATTTTTCTAGTATTTTGGTTTACAAAGAAATGCATGGAGGAGTTGGAACTAATAGGGATGTAGGAAAAAATGTCCACATTGGTGGAAAGCTGGACTAGTTGTTGTCCTTCCAGACGCTTGCAAGGCTAAAATCTTCAGATTCTTTTTGAGGATGCCAGTCATTTTAATGATCATATTTAAAGCAATAGATTCCATATTATACTGGTAAGCTTTTTTTTTTTTTTTTAAAGCTGTGTTTAATAGTTACAAAAACACTGAAAATCACATATTTCACCTGAAATTTACTATTTAAATGACACATTAAAGACAGAAACAAGTAATGCCAAAACAGAATTCTTTTTAGATCATGGTGAGATTCTTCTCAAGCTGCAGAACGATTTCTTTAAAGGCAGACTCCTCTGCCCAATTGACTTTACTCCCCAAAATGAGGTTCTGTAATATAAAAAAAAAAAGTTTTTTAAATTAAAGTTTTAAGTATTTTTTAACTTTATTTTTGACAGTTATAGATGTCCCTATTTCTCCACAATTTTTGCACCTCCACCCAGCCCATGCCCTCGCCTTTCCCTCTAGCTATTACCACACTATTTTCTATGTCTATGGTTATGTATATAAGTTCTTTGGACTTTTAAAATGTTAACAAGCTTTGCCCAGCTGGTGTGGCTCAGTGGTTGAGCACTGACCCATGAATGACCCATGAACCAGGAAGTCAGCGTTTGATTCCCGATCATGGCACATGCCTGGGTTTCAGGCTCCATCCTCAGTAGGGGCATGTAGGAGGGAGCCAATTGGTGATTCTCATCATTGATGTTTTTAACTCTCCCTCTCCCTTTCTCTCTTTGAAATCAATAAAAATTTATTTTAAAAAATTTAACAAGCTTTTAAAAAATCCTCTTTCACTGATCTTATTACATAATTACCAAACTAGGTATGAAGATTTTCTCTTTGATCATGAGAAAAACTAGTAATATATTCTTTTTATTTATTTTTACTGTAGAAGGAGAGGTGGGGAGAGAGAAACACTGATGTGAGTGGAACATTCATCAGCTGCCTCCTGCAGGATTCCTATCAGGGATTGAGCCCAAAACTTGGCATGAGTCCTGCTTAGGAATCGAACCAGCAACCTTTTTCATTCATGGGACCATGTCCAACCAACTGAGCCACACCCAGGGCAAGTAATACATTCTTGTATACTCATTTGCTCTTTCAGCAAGGCTTCAACCTTGATTCCCATAATGCCAGAATTTATAATGCTAACAATTTATAATGCTAACAATGCTAACAAATGGATATGCTTTATCCATTTTTTGTGGGTAGTTTTTACCTATTAAAGATATTTGCCATGGCAGCCTACATTATGGGGAAAAGATAACAACTGTGGTTCAGAATTCACTTAATACTTCTATGATGAACAACAATTTAAGCCTAAGTAACATGTCCTATTTTTAAAAAGAAGTAAAAGAGCTTAGTTCTTAGTCTTTGTAAAGTTTCAAGACTCTGAAAAAGGTGAAGAACATTTTCTTGTGGTAGACAATGGAGGAAAGATTAGAAACATAATTAATGAAAATTCTGGTCATTATTCTTTTTTTTAAATTAAATATATTTTATTGATTTTTTACAGAGAGGAAGAGAGAGGGATAGAAAGTTAGAAACATCAATGAGAGAGAATCATTGATCAGCTGCCTCTTGTACACTCCCTATTGGGAATGTACCTGCAACCAAGGTACATGCCCTTGACCGGAATCAAATCTGGGACCTTTCAGTCTGCAGGCCGATGCTCTATCCACTGAGCCAAACTGGTTTCGGCTGGTCATTATTCTTTGAAACCTATGACTCAATGATACTAAGTTACTAAATGAAATATTGTTAAAATCAATTTTAGAGAGTAAGTGGTATATTATTACATATAAAATATATAAAACTTTGGCCTATGTAAGGCAAATTCTTGCTAGAAATGAATAAAAGAGCTTGTGTATATAAATTCAGTCAGATTTACTAAGGCAGATGGAAGAAAGCATTCAACATGACAACCCCGAAGGCTGATCTTCCTTTTGGAACCAAGAGCTCCCAAGTTGGCCAAATCTATGTTCTATTAAATACTGCAATAAATCCATTAAACCAAGATTAACATCAATTTTGAGAACATAAAAGTTAAGAAATGCAGAATAACAAGCTGCAAAGCAGTAAGAAGGAATATGTGCCGAAACCGGTTTGGCTCAATGGATAGAGCGTTGGCTTGGGGACTGAAGGGAGCCGGGTTCGATTCCGGTCAAGGGCATGTACCTTGGTTGCGGGCATATCCCCAGTGGGGGGTATGCAAGAGGCAGCTGATTGATGACTCTCCCTCATTGATGTTCCTAGCTCTCTATCTCTCTCCCTTCCTCTCTGTACAAAAACAATAAAATATATATTAAAAAAAAAAAAAGATCAAAGATTAACTGAAAGTAAGTCTGAAAGTAACAGAATCAATCACTTTTTTTTATTTTAATTTTTTTTAAATATATTTTATTGATTTTACACAGAGAGGAATTGAGAGGGATAGAGAGTTAGAAATGTCGATGAGAGAGAAACATCGACCAGCTGCCTCCTGCACAACCCCCACTGGGGATGTGCCCGCAACCAATGTACATGCCCCTGTCCGGAATCGAACCCAGGACCCTTCAGTCTCCAGGCCGACGCTCTTCCACTGAGCCAAACCGGCTTCGGCTCACTTTTTTTTTTTAAAGTTCTTACCCCACTTCCTAGTTTATATACATTTTACCTGGAAGACATGTTGAATAACTGTAGTAATTTGTATCTCCTTCTGTAGCTTTTGATGTAAAGTCTTCATCTTGTCTGAATTTTCCATATTGGCCAAATCATCATTCTGTTTGTTCTTTTCAGTCTGTATTTCTAAAAATTTACTTTCTGAAGCTCGTTTTAATTCTGTGAGGTTAAAAATAAAACAATATACTATATATGCTAACTCCTACAAACAAGAATCTTTAAAAATGATGGTTATTACAGTAAAGAAATTTTTTTAATGAGGAGCATATTAGGTTGCAGTTCTATTTTGATCTAAATATGGCTTCCTTGATAAAAAATACCAATACTGTAATTTTATATTTAGTAATGAAAATTTTCAAGATTTGTATGTATGACAATAATAGCTGTTGACAAGTATTTGAAATGCCATTGTGTCAAAGAGGATACCTTTTTGGCTCTCTACCCTTCTCTTTTCCTCTCTCTAAAAAAATCAATAAATTAAAAAAAAAAATTCTCAGTAGCCAAGAGATGTGCCCTCATCAATCTCCATAGTAAGTAAAAATGTGTTATACAAAAAACAAACGACCAAAATTATTCTACATACCAAATCTCTTCTTTTTAATATCAAGCAATTTTTCCTCCAAATCCCAAGATTCCTATGAATAGAAAAAAAAAAATTAAGAGGCGTTACCTAAGAACAAACCTGTAATACATTACTGAATTTTATTTTAGTTCATGTTTTCTAAAACTCCTGTTACTAATTCCTTCATTTCCACACATCAAGAGAGGAGACAGTTGCCGAAACCGGTTTGGCTCAGTGGTAGAGCGTTGGTCTTCGGACTGAAAGGTCCCAGGTTCGATTCTGGTCAAGGGCATGTACACTGGTTGCGGGCACATCCCCTGTAGGGGGTGTGCAGGAGGCAGCTGGTCGATGTTTCTCTCTCATCAACGTTTCTGGCTCTCTATCTCTCTCCCTTCCTCTCTGTAAAAAATCAATAAAATATATTAAAAAAAAAAAAAAAAAGAGAGAGAGAGAGAGAGAGAGAGAGAGAGAGAGAGAGAGAGAGAGGAGACAGTAGCTCAACACGTGAAGCGCCCAGCCTGTTTTGTCTTTCAGAAGGAAAGTATAGTGTCAGTCACCGGTGATCTACAGGGTGCTTACTGTGTTCAATTATAAATACTTAGTAATACTGCCGAAACCGGTTTGGCTCACTTAGCAATATTAGTGAAAAATAATAGAATTATGAAAAGAGAGAGAAAACTTAACAGTGAATTCCAACCATACCTGTCCTTCTAGGCTATTCTATTTAATCATACATAATGCAGTTACCAACAAGAAAGTATTACAGAAATCATGAGAATGCATTAGTAGCGTAAAGTTACCTGCTGTAATTTCATTATTATTTTATTTAGCTTTAATATGTGGTTCATGTTGTCCATGAGCTCACTGAAAAGAGATAAAAAATAGATTAACCTTAGTTAAAAGTAATAAATTTCATTAAGGAATCAAGTAGTACATATTTACTTTCATTAATATATTTCAATAGAAAGTCATCACTTGATATAAACTAAATTTTTGTTTAAAAGTAGAGAAGCAGCCCTAACTGGTTTGGCTCAGTGGATAGAACGTTGGCCTACAGACTGAAGGGTTCCAGGTTTGATTCCGGCCAAGGGCACATGACCAGGATGCAGGCTCAATCCCCAATGGCGTGTGTGCTGATCAATGGATTCTCTCATCATTGATGTTTCTATCTCTCTCTCCCTTATTTCCTCTATGAAATAAAATATATATATAATTTAAAAAAATTTTTTTAAAGTAAAGATGCATTTTCCTAGGAAAAAGTTTGGTCATGGACAATAAAAAAATGTCAAATTTAAGCATGTAAAAATATTTCTAAAAACGTCATTTTTAGGAAGGACAAAAAATTCCAAAAACTTGCTAATAAGTTGCTTTTTGTAAAAAAACACACTATTTTATTTTTTGTTAATCCCCACGTGAGCATGTTTTTTTCCACTGATTTTTATAGAAACAGTGGGAGGGAATGTTGTACTTTTTATGGGTTTGACAAATATGACATGACTCCACCACTACAGTATCATACAGAATAGTTCACTGAATAAGCTTCTTTTTATCCCCATTTCTTCAACAAATATTTCTTTTTAAAAAAATATATATATTTTATTGATTTTTTAGAGAGAGGAAGAGAGAAGGATAGAGAGTTAGAAACATCGAAGAGAGAGAATCATTGGTCAGTTGAATCAAACCTGGGACCTTTCAGTCCACAGGCTGACGCTCTATCCACTGAGCCAAACCAATTTTGGCAAAAAATATTTCTGAGTGCCTATAGCATATCAAGAACTGTGCCAGGCACTAGGAATGTAAAATAGAATAAAACACAATACTTGTTTTCAAAGAGCAAAGAACCTGGTGGGGGAGAAAAATAAATCTACAACTGTAGATGGTTTGACTACAACTGGTAATGGATATGAACCACTCTAAGAATTGTGCAAAGATTTGTAAATCTAAAAAAAAAAAAAAAAAAAAAAAGCCGAAGCCGGTTTGGTTTAGGGGTAGAGCGTCGGTCTGCAGACTGAAAGGTCCCGGGTTCGATTCCGGTCAGGGGCATGTATGTTGGCTGCGGGCACATCCCCAGTAGGGGGTGTGCAAGAGGCAGCTGGTCGATGTTTCTCTCTCATCGACGTTTCTAGCTCTCTCTCTCCCACCTCTCTGTAAAAAAAAAAAAAAAAAAAGAAAAAGACTTGTGCAGAGTGGAGCAAGAGACATCAATCTTAAAGGACATGAAGTAATTTAAGTCAAGTAGTTTAGAATGGCTAGAGCCAAAGGTGTGAAAAACAGTTTTACTTCAAAGTGCCACAACCCCTTGAGAGGCTTATTAAATGTAGACTGCCAGCTGCTCTCTCCACCAATCCCCACAGCTTGGTATGTATGTATGTATTTATTTATTTACTAACTAAATATATTTAATTGACTTTTTACAGAGAGAAAGGGAGAGAAATAGAGAGCTAGAAACATTGATGACAGAGAAACATTGATCAGCTGCATCCTGCACACTCCCCACTGTGGATGTGCCCACAACCAAGGTACATGCCCTTGACCGGAATCGAACCTGGGACCCTTGAGTCCGCAGGCTGATGCTGTATCCACTAAGCCAGACCGGTTAGGGCCACACCTTGGTTTTTAGATTCAGAGTCAGTAGATCTGAATGGGATCAGCAATGTGGTCACTGTGAAAGTACTAATTATTCTGATATTGTAGGAGTGTAATACAGAGGCTGAAAAAGGAATGTTTACACAGATGTGGAAGATCTGAACTAATTTTCTACTGGTTATATAACCATACTTGGTTTTAAAGTTTCTGATGAACCTATCCTATGTCCCTTTAACTCAAGAATTTTTTTTTTTTTTTAACACATTGCGGGCCAGTTGTTTTATTGCTACCTTTACCCAGTGTCCAGATAAATTTCTATTGTAAAGTACAAAAAACATTTTACATAAATGTTAAAGGCATGCCTTAAAATTAAATACCCATTGCATTTTGAAGTTATTTATTACATGTTCTTACAAGCTAATATCTTTTTAAAGTATAATACTTTGCTGAAACCAGTTTGGCTCAGTGGATAGAACATGGCCTGCGGACTGAAAGTCCCAGGTTCGATTCCAGACAAGGGCATGTACCTTGGTTGTGGGCACATCCCCAATTGGGGGTTTGTAGGAGGCAGCTGATCGATGTCTCTCTCATTGATGTTTCTAACTCTCTATCCCTCTACCTTCCTCTCTGTAAAAAATCAATAAAAATATATTTTAAAAAAATGATACTTTGCACAACACTGTGTAATATGAAAACATGAGAATCCTTGTGATTGTTCCGCAATTTAATATATATAGAGGTAATGTCAGAGAAAGTCATAGCATCCTGACACACGTGAGGAGTAAGCCTAAGTTGCTGTTGGATGTGTTATACACAGAGGAGCCTGCTCTCTTCACACCCAAGGAATGTTTTATCGATAAGTTCATTTATAGGGTAGCAATAGTTAATGAGCTCAAATTAAGATTTTAGGATCTATGTAACCCTAGATTTAAATGGAATATGGGGAGAATGTGTAGGAGTCTGAACTAAGATAGGAGAAGTGACCAGATCCTTCTTAGTATTTTTCTACTTTCATGGGAGGGGATTCTACATCAAAGAATTTTAGACCTTTGGGAGATAAGATCACAGGTAAGGCTCCTATGGCAAAATATTTAGGCCAGATTATAGAGTATCTTGACTGCCAGAGTCTTTACTATATATTCACTGGCAAATTAACATATACAAGCTCATTTCTGCCAATGAAAAATAAAGAGTATACTTTCTATCTATCATTGGGTTGCTATTGGATTAAATGAGATAGCACTGTTTTTGGTTTTCAGTAAATAGTGCACAAAACTAACTTTCAAATCCTTCTTAAAACCTAATTTGTTTCTTAGCATTGCATTATGAACAAGATGTCAGCAGGACTGTAAAAATTGTAATGCTGAGTGAGGAAGGTCCACAAAAATTCTGTTACTTTTCTTATTCCCCATATAAAAATGATTGGCAGTGATAGTTAATTTTTTAAAAAATCACGAGCCCTGGCTGGTGTGGTTCAGTTGGTTGGAGCATTGACCTATAGACTGAAAGGTCAAGTGTTTGGTTCCAGGTCAGGGTGCATATGGGAGCCAACCGATGGGTTTTTCTCTTTCTCCCCCCTCTCTCTTCCTTTCTCTCTAAAATCATTTTAAATAATCAAGAAACTAAACTCATTAGGCAGATGCCCTTTCTTATTCCCATCCTTCCCAAATACAGGAAAAAAAATAATACCTAGTCTGAATGTTACTGTCCTCCAGGTTTTTTCTAAGTGCCGTTGAAAGCTGCATCCTATGAAAAAGAAAAAGCTTGCCTTACAAAACATAGATAACATTTATGGCACACTGAAAAAGAAAATTTCAATATGTGACAAGTTAAAGATTGATTTCTGTTAAATATAATGTAAAACAAGTAGACTTAAAAACAGTATTATATGATAAATAAATCACAGAAATATGAAATAACACTAAGATAGTTGAAACTGTTGCATGTGGTTGTGCATTGACAGGCTGAGGGGCTGAATTATCCAGCCTGAGCTTTGTTCCCCAAGCCATCCACCTTGGTGCCAGGAGGAAGCAACACAGCATTATAGCACTGGAGATCAACAGGGCCTGCATGGAGAGCCAGGGAATACAAAGCCACACTGAACTGTGAATTTGACATATGCCTACATACCAACAAGCTACATAAATCACTTTCAGATTCAAACAGCTACTAACTAAAAAAAAAAAAAAAAAAAAAAAAGGCCATCAGCTCAGCAATATGAGAGCCCTTTCCTTATGTCACACACAAGAAAATTCAGTTCATTAAAAGGAGATCTCTTAATACCTCTGAAGTCATCTTAGTGAAAAAATACGATCTATATAACAAGCCAGCATGTCAGATGAGGGGAAAAGCTCACTGTTTGAAACAATGAAAAGTGCTTTAATTACTTTTCAATTAAATATATAAAAAAAATTCCTCTGCGAAGACCAAAAATATAAGATAGTAATTTTAAAAGTTATTCACTTATTTGAAATTAGTCAGATCACAAAATCTATAAGAAACCATGTTTATTTGATTAACAATGGTAGGCTGCCCTGGCCAGTTTGCCTCAGTGGATAGAGGGTCAGCCTGCAGATTGAAGGGTCCCAGGTTCGTGTCCGGTCAAGGGCATGTACCTTGGTTGTGAGCACATCCCCAGTAGGGGGTGTGTGCAGGAGGCAGCTGATCAATGTTTCTCTCTCAGCGATGTTTTTAACTCTCTATTCTCCCTTCCTCTCTGTAAAAAATCAATAAAATATATTTCAAAACAAAACAATGGTATACCAACACCTAGTGTAAAGCTTAGAACATAATAAGCACTCAAATATTTGTTGAATAAATTTTAAATATAGTCTCAAAACTTATAATTAAAAATATACTTTAAACTTGATGACAATTTTTTTACTCAATTAAGTTACTAGAATAATCAAATCCATGTAATCCTTTCAACATTGAGTGGGATTTAACCTCAAATTTCTATTGCCTTGATTAATATTTCCTTATTAACTCTCTATTATATAACTTTTTCAAATAAAGATATTAATGAATGATTTAACTTCTCTCAAGGATCAAAATTTGTGTGACCATTATCTAATTATCATTTTGCTCATTTAAACTAAATTCTTTTCTCTACCTCAAGCAATTTTTTTTTTAATAAATATATTTTATTGATTTTTTTACAGAGAGGAAGGGAGAAAGATAGAGAGCTAGAAACGTCAATGAGAGAGAAACATCGACCAGCTGCCTCCTGCACACCCCCTACCAGGGATGTACCCGCAACCAACGTACATGCCCCCGACCGGAATGGAACCCGGGACCCTTCAGTCCCCAAGCCGACGCTCTATCCATTGAGCCAAATCAGTCTCGGCTACCTCGAGCAATTTTGCTTTCAGTTCTCAATGCTTATACCTGAAATTTAAAAATTACCTGTCCAATGCAAGCTTTTTCATTTCAAAAGCAATTTTCACCTTTTCGATTTCATTTTCTAGGTCTTCAATTTTACTATCAAAGAAGCATAAACAAAAGAATTTCAGCAATATCAGTAAAAGGCATTATTGGAATAAATGTTCAAGTAAATCTTTGAAAAAAGTAAAATGCCTGTATCTAAATAAAAGTATTTTACTATAGACTTGCCACACCAATACACTTATAGATTTGGTAAACTGATGCCTCCTGAAATACTTTGATAAATATCTTAAGGGAAATGCCAAAAGTGCTAATAGGATCTCAGGATGAAATCCTGTGTCAACAAGTTCTCAATACATGCATGACAAATTACTTGGGAAAGGGGGAGGGGGAAGAAGGAGGGAAATAAAGTTACAGTATAAGACAGATATTATTAAATCTTGGTAAAAACCACAAAGTTACTTTTCAATTTGCTTTTCTGGAATGATTTCTTCGGGAGTTTTTTCTTCATCTACAAATAAATAATTATTCGAAGTTACTAACATTTTAAAACAGTGCTGTCCAGAAATATAATGTAAGTCACAAATACAAACCAAGTATGTAATTTTTATTTTCTAGTTTCCACATTACAAACGTAAACAAGTAAAAATAATTTTAATATACCTTACTTAACTGAATAGATGCAAAATAGTATCATTTCAACATGTAGTCAATTTAAAATTAATAATGAAATATTTCACAAGCTTTTCTTCTGTGCTTATTTTATTATTTAGAGGCTTTCTCAATGAGGACCAAAGACATTACAAGTGTTCAACAGTTACAGAGCAGGTGGTTACCATATTGGATGGAACAATGTTAGAATTATAGAAAATAAAAGGGAGTAAAAAAATGAACAAGAGCAATATTAAAAAATTAACTGCCTTGCCGAAGCTGGTTTGGCTCAGTGGATAGAGCATCGGTCTGGGGACTGAAAGGTCCCAGGTTCGATTCCGGTCAAGGGCATGTACCTTGGTTGCAGGCACATCCCCTGTAGGGGGTGTGCAAGAGGCAGCTGGTCGATGTTTCTCTCTCATCGACGTTTCTAGCTCTCTGTCTCTTCCCTTTCTCTCTGTTAAAAAATCAATAAAATATATTATAAATAAATAAATAAATAAATAAATAATTAACTGCCTTAACCGATTTGGCTCAGTGGATAGAGCACCAGCCTGTGGACTGAAAGGTCCCAGGTTCCATTCCCGTCAAGGTCATTTACCTTGGTTGCAGGTACATCCCCAGTAGGATGTGTGTAGGAGGCAGGTGGTCAAGGTTTCTCTCTCATCGATGTTTTTAACTCTCTATCCCTTTCCCTTCCTCTCTGTGAAAAATCAATAAAGTATGTTTTTAAAAAATTAACTATTTTTGTACAAATTAAAGTTTAAAAATACCATGGATAATTAAAAAACATGAAATAGTTAATAATCAGTTTAACAAAATATGTGTATGACCTCTACATTGAACACTACCAAATATTTTCATGGAAAGATATGGGAGAAATGTATCAATTTCCCCCATATGGATCTAAAGATACTAATCAAATTCCAGTTAAAATTCTATCAATTTAGCCCTGGCCAGTGTGGCTAAAAGGGTTGAGCACTGTCCCATGCATGGAGAGGTCACCTGTTCCATTCCTGGTCAAGGCACATGCTCAGGTTTTAGGCAGATAATCCATGTTTTCATCTCTCAAATCAATAAACACATTTTTAAAAAATCCCTATTATACAGTTCTTTTCAAAGTATAGGTCTTAAAAAAAAACAACAACAACAACCCCCCCGAAAAAAACAACCACAATAAACAAAGTATAGCTCTCAGAGCACTTGCTTTATAATTATCTTATCTGCTAATTCAATCTTCAAAGTTGTTGATGGCATGGCAAATTCTGATTTCTTAAGCCCACCAGGATTTCTCAATTCTTTGATCAACAGACCTTAATTGTCTTGTATTGTTATTTAATTGTTAAATATCTATTTCCCAAATTCCTAACTAATTCCGATGGGCAGGGCAAGCTGATTTTTGCCTTCTTACTGGTATAATATAGCATTATGATGTCACTCCTAGTGCCCAAGTAAATAATTTTTTGTAAAGTTGATTTTCTTTTCACTAGGGTACTGCTCATCATCAAACTCACAAAACTTTATCTGAAAATGCAAATACTTACTTGCATCAAGCATTGATTTATATTCCAAGAGTTGTTGTTTTGTCTGTGCTCTCAGCCTGAAAACGGATTAAAAAAAAGAGAAAGTCATATATTTATTGAGGTTTTACTCATTACTTTATGATAAAGCAACTCATTTTGGGGGGGCTAATGCAACAACTCGGCATTAAAGTCTCCTAGTTTGGCCTCATTTTATTTAAAATGGCATACAGAACTTTAGGGTCTTAGAGAAAAACAATAAAATGGAATATAGTGGTAAACAGCACCTGTGAAGAAAAGTTAAAAACTTGATATTTAAATTTATTTATTTTTCACTTTTTTAACATATTTATTGGGGTGACATTGGTTAATACAATTATATAGGTTTCAGGGGTACAATTCTAGAATGCATCATCTGTATTCTTCATTTTTATTTATTTATACTTTTGGTTCTTATCTGAGGATATTTTTCTTTTTTAAAAAAAATATATTTTATTGATTTTTTACTGAGAGGAAGGGAGAGAGATATAGAGTTAGAAACATTGATGAGAGTCATCGATCAGCTGCCTCTTGCACACCCCCTACTGGGGATATGCCCGCATCCAAGGTACATGCCCTTGACCGGAATCGAACCCGGGACCCTTCAGTCCCCAAGCCGACGCTCTATCCATTGAGCCAAACTGGTCCCGGCTGAGGATATTTTTCCACTGATTTTTAGAGAGTGAAAGGGAGAGGGGGAAATATCAGTGTGAAAGAGACACATGGATCGGTTGCCTCCCACACATCCCCAATCAGGGCAGAAATGGAGTCTGCAACTGAGGTAAGGTGTGCCCTTGATGGGAATTGAACCAAGACCCTCAGTGGATGGCGAAATGTATCGACTCACTATCCACTGAGCGAAAACTGGCTGGGCTTAATTTATTCTTTTTTTTTTTTTAAATACATTTTTTTATTGATTTTTTACAGAGAGGAAGAAAGGATAAAGTTAGAAACATCGATGAGAGAGAAACATCGAAGAGCCGCCTCCTGCACCCCCCCCAATGGGGATGCCCCGGCAACCAAGGTACATGCTCCTGACCTGAATCGAACCTGGGACCCTTCATTCTGCAGGCTGACACTCTATCCATTGAGCCAAACCAGTCAGGGCTTAATTTATTCTTAATGGGCCACAGTGAAGTGAGGGTTAATGAAAACTTCTATACTAAGAACTAGATCAAAACAGTGAAATCACAAATACTAATGAGTTACAACCAGATTGGAACATGCTTAGGAGATCCAGAAAAATAACAAGAATACTAACTTCAGGATAAATAAGTAATTCAAGGTTTCTTGTCTGGATTCTACTTAATTCAAAATCAGACTTAAAATAAGTAGAAAAGCTATTGGTAAATGGGAATTAGCTATTAAGTTGTACTTACAAGATGTTTCACACTTCATAGTAGTTTCATAAATCTGAAACTGTTGCTTTGTCTTTGAGTCACAAAGAAGCTAAGAAACATTAGACAAATTCCTAAAGCTCCATGCACAGTACCCACAGTACCTTATTTCAAAATCCCAAATGAAAAGAGCAATTTATTAGACGTTAATCAGGCTAGCATTTTTAAAATACACTGAATCATTTCTTTTTAGCTGAGATGGGAAAAGCTCTTATCTTTAATATTTTAGCATTTTACATTGCAAGTAGGAATTGTTAAAGTGAGCTTTATTAGCCAAAGCTTTTCAAAGCAGTGGTGAACATGAAAAAACAGTTACAGTGCTTATTTTTAAAAACCCGCTTGTTATCATTTAAAAGAATCTGCCAACTTCTTTTGTAAAGGACTAAGAAGCAAATATTTCAGGCTTTGTGAGTCATATGGTCTCTGTTGTAAATACTCTACTCAGCCCTTGTAGCAGAAAAGTTATCTATAATAATAAAAGGGTAATATGCTAATTATACCAGATGTCATTCCGGAAATCCTTCTGGATGAAGCTGGGGCCAGAGTGAAGCCTGGGTCCTGGGTGCTAGAGGGAAGCCAGTGTCGGCTGCCAGGGGAAGGAACTCCTATTCTTGCACGAATTTCCTGCATCGGGCCTCTAGTATTTCAGTAATACTTTCCTTAAGTTAGAGCAATAAAATTTGAATCCTATTTAACTTTCATGTTATTAAATATTATTCTTATAATTTAAAGAATAAAAACGATTCTTAGCTTGAGGGTTATCACACAAAAACAGGCAGTAAGGTGGACTTGGCTGTGGTTTGCCCACTAGTTTAGAGATTGCCGTCCCTTCTCATCAAACCTTCCCCTAATAAAGGCTCAGTGGAAAGCTATAAAAAATCACGCTGTTGTCCTTGGCCTGTGAGGCTCAATTGGCTGAACTTCCTGCAAGTCAGAGCATATACCCAGGCTGCAGGTTGGATCCCGGGTAGAGGTACCTACGGGAGGCAACCAATGTATGTTTCTCTCTCACATCAATGTTGTTGTTTTTTTCTCTCTCCCTCTCTCTAAAAAAATCAATAAAAACATTTAAAAATAAGTTAAATGATCACTGCTACATTATATAAAAAAACAAACACACACCCTATTTGGCAGAAAATACAAATGAAGCTTGTGGATCGAAAGGCTCATAGCTATAAAATAAAGGGGCGGACAACCTACCTCCAGTAGCTCAGGGCTTGGATGCACCCCTCAACCCTCTAGAAATCGGGGCACTAAGAGTGAGGGGGGATAAGAAAGGGAGGGAGCCGAGACCGGTTTGGTTCAATGGATAGAGCGCCGGCTTGGGGACTGAAGGGTCCCGGTTCGATTCCTCTCAAGGGCATGTACCTAGGTTGCGGGCATATTCCCGTGGGGGGTGTACAAGAGGCAGCTGATCGATGACTCTCTCTCATCGATGTTTCTCTCTCTCTCTCCCTTCTTCTCTGTACAAAATCAATAAAATATATTAAAAAAAAGAAAAGAAAAGAAAGGGAGGGGAACATTACAGCCTCGAAGGCTGAGTCTAGGGCCCTGAGCATCGTGTTGGACGCTTGTCGCTGACTTCTCACTTATCCCCCTTAGCAACCGCGATAGTAGGTGTCATTTGGTCTCCTTTTCGAAGACCAAGAGCTTAAGGAGCTTAACCTAACGATGCTGTCACGCAGCCCATCAGGGCCCAAGGCTGAATTTGACGAGATCGGGAGCGTTCAGGGTGGTATGGCCAAGGCTGAATTTGAAATCCTCGGGCCAGGTAGCGCGAAAGGCGGAGCCCCGGCCCCCGGGCCAGAGGGAACGACCTGAGCAGCAGCGGGATGGGGTCCTCCGCGGAGCCCTCGCGCTCGGCGGCGCCCGGCTCCTCGGGCTGCGGATCCATCCTGGCTCCCGCGAACAACCTCCTGCGTGGGGACCGGTTGACACCCTAGGAAGAGGTCCCTTTTCCCGCCACCAAACTGACGACCGGAAGAGGATGGAGCGCCGGCGCACACGCCCCGCCCTTTCCGCCCTAAGGACCGCCTCTTCCGTTTCGTCCTTCGGCGGCCACAGCTTCCGCTGTCCCTTTTCATCCTGGCCCTACCGCTGGCTTGAGATGGATACAAACCACTAGTTCAAAAGGTTCGAGGGCTTTTCTTGTCGGTTCTTCCGAGTGCCGGGCTAGAGGCGGGGCTGCAGCCGCTGGGGATGCCCCCACCGCAGCCTGGAGGGTAAGACCCCGACGGAAACGCTCCTTCAGCCTCGGCGCTGGACCGGGGCATTGGCGGCCGGCCGGCTTTGACCCGTGTTCGCACTCCCCTCCTAACCCCTGGTCCTGGGAAACGGGTGTGCCTGGTAGCTGGGGTTCGAGTTCCGCTCGAACCCCAGACTTCCAGCGTGAAACTCCGCTGTTGGTCCAGTTCGCACTCATGACAGGTGGGTGGCCTCCAAGTGTCAGCTTGTTGACTTGGCAGGTTACAATTGAGCTTTCTTAGTTAGGCAGTGAGCAGGAAATGCAGGACATATAAATGCCTGGTGGAGCTAGGTTTTCATTATGGACGGTAGAGTAAGAGACACTACCCGTGCAGCACAGGGCGCCAGGTCGAAGGAGCATTCCCTTCTGCAGCTAGTTTCCCCTGAGTTATACTTGATCACATAGCTCCCCTTCCTTCCTCTCCACTATCAAATACAGCTTCTGGTAAAAGATTCGAAAGGCACTGTAGGATATATTAATAAATGTTAGTTCCCCACTCCTACCCACAAACTCCTAGAAAAAGTTTCCCATTTTTTACACACAAGTGATCCCATTGTGCGTTTTTTTCCACTTTACCCTGGGGGTGTCTTGCAAAATCAATTCCATCCTTTAAAGCACTTGCCTATCAGGTGTCCACTGGCCAAATTAGGGACAAAGACAATACAATTCTTCAATTTGAGCATTCATCAGAATCAGGGAAGGGCTGGTTAAGTATTGCTAGGTGTCTAAATTACTGAGTTGCATTTCTAACAAGTTCCAGGTGATACTGATATTGTTGGTTGGGAACAACACTTTGAGAACCACTACAATGGATCTTAACAGAAACTTAAGTGAAGGTGTGTGGGGGGAACTATTCTATTTATTTTTATTGATTTCAGAGAGGAAGGGAGAGAGATAGTAACATCAATGATGAGAATCATTGATCAGCTGCCTCCTGCACCACCTCCCCTCCCCGCCCCAGGGAGTGAGCCTGCAATCCTGGGCATATGCTCTTGACCCGAATCAAACCCAGGCCCCTTTAGTTTTCAGGCAGAGGCACTATTCACTGAGCAAAACCAGCTTTGGCAATAAGGCCTATTCTTGCACGAATCTTTGTGCATTGGGCCTCTAGTCAGATATAAAATCCTAACATGGAAAACTACCAAACAATGGAATGACCTGTCACCATGACACACAATGACCACCAGGGGGCAGAAGCTGCACCCCGGAGGGACCTGCCACTTAGCCAGAAGCCAGGCTCACTGCTGTCCAGTGCAGCAGTGGTGGTAGGAGTTTCTCCTGCTGTGCTAAGGATCCCTCTGGGGATATCCAACTGCCAGCTTAGGCTCCCTGTGGGGAACAGGCCTAAGCCAGCAGGCTGACATCTCCAAAGGGGTCCTGGATTGTGAGGTGCAGGTCTGGCTGAGGGATCCTCCCACACCCCCCAGTGCATGAGTATTGTGCACCTGGCCTCTAGTTATATAATTAAATTCTAACACTTTAGTAACAACATACTAAAGTACATGTGTTTGAAAATAGCTCAACATATTTGAAAAATAGTGATAGGCTAGATTTGGTATTCTAAGTCTAGCTAATATAGTTTTACATTATCGCAGGAAAAAACAAGTAGATCAGGAAGCAATAGATGGTCATTGATGTTTCAGTTTAGTTAGACAGGATTTTAACCATATGGTAATGGCATGAATAGGAACCCATCTAACGATTCCTACCTCAGACCACAGTGATTAAAAATCTAAATGGGAAATCTTAAGTATTTATGGTTTGGGGATGGAATTGACCTTAACACTGAAAATCCAAAAGCAACAAGAAAAAAAAATAGATTTAATAATATAACTTTTAAGAGTGTAATGGCAGTTGACAAAATAAAGTTAAAGGGCAAATGACAAATTGGGAAAGCCTTACAATTTGACAAGTTAGTAGACAAAAATTTATTCAAGTAGCCTTTAGCAGTATAAATTAAAACAGTAAGCAAGATAGAATATTTTTTTGCCAACTTCACAGAAATTGAAGATGGTTACCTATAGTTCTGGCAAGACTGCAGAGAAAACACACTTTTGCACATTGCTGATGACATTGATTAAGTTCCCTGGCAGCACCCACTAGAAATGAGATTACACATACTCTTTGGAGAACCCAGTGTACATTAACAAAACATGGTATTTAATGACATTTAAACAACATTGCTTAGAGAGACAAAGAGAAAAAACAATCTGAATGTCAACAGAATGACTGAATACATTATAATATATGGAATATAATATGCAAATATAGGTAAGGCCTATACATGTTGAAAATTGCTGAGTATGTACAATAGTCCTATTTTTTAAAATAACAATTTACATGCATGATTATGTTTATAGAAATCATGTAAGGATACATTCCAACTGTTGACATCCTTCAGGTGGATGGACTGAGGTGTAGGAAAGTTGGGGGAGGGATAAATTAAAATTTTAAAGATACTTTTGTATGTTTTAGGAGCCCCATTTATTTTCTCAACCAATAAAACCAACAAACAAAAAGTCAAGTAGGTTAGGTTTAGAATATAAAGTTATTTTTTCCAGTTAAAAAGTTGACACTAAATTTGGTAATCTAAGAAATAGTGGTAAAAGTAGATTAGAATTATTGGAATCAACCACCAGAAGAAACAGAGAACAGGGGGACTAGGGATGAGGTGGCAGACTTTTAAGTAGAACCAGGCAGCAAGTAGATGCTCCATGATCACTGGGCTTACTTGCAGTATGCTCTATGGAAGTAAGAATTTTGAATGCCTTCATGATCTCAGTAACTTGTATTATTAAAGTAAAAACCAGGTACCAGATACATAAAACAAAAACCATATAAGCAATAGTTATATATATATTATTAGTTGTATCCCCAAGTTAATTGAAAGCACTTTTTATATTCTATATTCCCCACCATATCTTTAATACACCTTTTAAGGTACCCTAGAGTAGAAAGTAGCCACATTCAAATGAATTAAGATATAGGAAGTAAAAAGGACCACAGCTTTATTAAAAGTAAGTAAATGTAACATATCATATATACAGAAAGCACATGGTGCTAATTGTATTTGCAAGTTCACAAGTTACACCTTTGCCACAGCCTTGGCTAAATCTTTAACTAGTGCAGAATTTAGCTGTGCTAGAGTGCTGATCTTAGCATGCTTAGATGTGGCATACTTGTTCTTGATAGTCTGGAAGAGAAAAGCACAGTAATTAATGAAGGAAAAGAGAAAAACACAAAAAGAGTAGTGGTACAGGTATTCATGTAAAACGGGTGGGGAACCCTTTCTCTGCCAAGAGCCATTTGGATATTTATAACATCATTTGTGGGCCACACTAAATTACCAATTTAAAAACTAGCCTGTTGTATTTGGATGAACATTTAATTAACTCACCCCTAATGCCTTGGCAGGGCCAGACCAAATGATATTGTGGGCCCTTAAGGGCTCAATGGCTGGCATTCCTCATCATTGACATAAAACACCACGTCCTTAAAAATAAGCTATGCATTTATAGGCATGAAGTCTTTATTTTTTATTTTATTTAAAAATATACTTTTATTGTTTCAGAGAGAGAAACATTTATCTGCTGCCTCTTGCATGACCCTTACTGGAGGTGGAGCCTGCAACCTGGGCATGTACTCTGACAGGGAATCAAACCCTGTCCTCCTGGTTCATGGGTCAATGCTCAACCACTGAGCCACACTGTACAGGCTATGAAGTCTTATTTTCACTTTCCCCACAACATCCCAAAATGTCACTGATTGACTTACCATATGCTTTGTAAGCCCACAATTCACCATGACTATGTTCTTAGCGAGGTGTTGCATAACAAGGAGAAGGGATTCTTCAGTGTATGACAGGTAATGCTGTAGAACTGGTGTCTGTGACAATAGAGTTAATGTTAATAATGCTCATCAACAATGGTTTTCATCAAGTTTTTAGATATTATTCAAGAATAAGGTAGGAAGACTGCTTATCACTGAAATTTAAGACAAGCTTAAGACCCCTACTTCCCTAGGCATTCTTTTTTCATGCTTCTCTAAGATCCTGTCCGTAAACCTACCATACACTAATGTGCTCAGACTGATACACTTTTGTAATTGCTGACTTGTGCAATCCAAACCTAGAATTCAAACTCCTTGAGGCCCACCTTCTCATTCATAATTCTATCCTAGGCTGAGGGTAGCACATGGACATAGAAATACTTGTTGAATCAACCAATATGAATAAACTTCTAGTATGTCATTTTTTTGCTTGTACTTCTCCATCTATAAAGAGTAGCAGCTGGCCGAGACCGGTTTGGCTCAATGGAAAGAGCGTCGGCTTGGGGACTGAAGGGACCCGGGTTCGATTCCGGTCAAGGGCATGTACCTTAGTTGCGGGCATATCCCCAGTAGGGGGTGTGCAAGAGGCAGCTAGTCGATGTTTCTCTCTCATCGACATTTCTAACTCTCTATCTCTCTCTGTACAAAATCAATAAAATATATTAAAAAAAAAAAAAAAAAAAAAGAGCAGCTGTTCTGCTTTTCTCAAGGGGATACAGAAAGATGAAATTAGGTAATTAAATGAAAGCATTCTATGAAGACTTCACAAACAGGATATCATTTTTAATCATTCCTTCCATAGATGCCACATGTAGGAATCATCTGAATCGTCTTTTAATTAAAACAGTTCTGCATTCAGGCAAATACTAATTACAACGTAAAAGCTTAGGACAACCTAGGTCTGTGGGACAGAGCTTACCCATTCACCATTATTGAGAATTTTCAGTGCTAAACAAAAAGCTCCTGCTGCAATCTGAGAAGGAGGAAAATGCACCATATCATAGTCTAACATAGTGAGTTCCATCAGGTATTTGGCCAAGGTATGTTGCTCCACATCAACCTGGAATAAAATCCACACACAGATCACTGAGCTGCTGTCAAAAATTTGCCTTGTCAATACCAGTATGTCCATAACTGTAAGTACAAATATTTGCCTATAAACTCCTAAGTGCAATTGCCCAGGGAAGGCCTTAATAATATTAATATACAGCCCGACTAGAAATAAAGAATTGTTCCTTCCCCATGTAGTCAGGTATAAGTCAGTTGAATTAGATCTGCACAGCCAGCAATATATTCTCTAATATACCACACCAGAGATTTCTCAAGATATCTGTACCTCTCCGATCTTAGATGCTCTCCGAAGGAAATGCAGGGGTAGAGGGCGACCCAGGCAAAAATTTAAAGCTCTCAGAATCTTCATTTCCATTTGTCTGATTTGTAGCTTAGTGTAAGTGTTGTCAGTCACAAAGGCAAAGTCACCAATTTCTGGAGGGTACATTTCTTCATATTTGCTCGCAATAAACATGGCAGTGACGCCAACCAGCTGCAGCATCTTCTTGGGCACACAATTATTCTACAATGGGAATTTCAACTGGATGAATAAGTAATATGCATTTGAAAAGGAGACAGAGTTATGAAAAAGGTGGGGAAGACACCTTGAAGGAAGAATTCTCAAGTATTGCATTATGCTCACCTGCATGAACCGGTCAATAATGGAAACAGTCATGTACATGGTCTCCTGCAGTAACCTGAATTTCATCTGAACCTGAACCAGCCAATCAATTAGGATGGCTCTCATATTTCCAGTGACTTCACGACCCAGTAGGTATTTTGGTCTGACTGCTTGCTCTTCCTGCAAAAGAAATGCTGATTATTATTAAAAGCAAGACTCCAGAAATATTAGTCACCACATAATAGCTCTGGAGCATTTAGAATCTCAAGCAGTCCTTAGCTCAACCATTCATATCACTGAAGGGAAAAAGCACACAATCATTAAATAGAACAGTAACAATTTGTATTGGCAGATCTGAGTTCAACTCACCATTGTTGCCATTGGCCCACACCCTGTACCCACTTGTTCCCAACTAAAGATACTCTACTGTTATCTCCAGTCTTTTCACCTAAGACTCTAAAACCCAAACCTGAGCTTTATCAAGTAGAGAAAAACAGCAGCAGCTCTCAGATCAGCTGGAACCCTCGTGCTACTACCATTCTCCTGCCCCAGGGTTTAAATCCCCAAAACACCCATAGATAAGGTGAAGAATGAACCATCACGGAGCGGCACATCCGTCTGCTGAATCCTCTCCTCCAAAGTTAGAACACAAACTTTAAGAAGGGAGGATAAACCCAAGACAGAAAGCTGGCCCTAGCAAGGAAGTCATCTTGCAGGGCAATCATGTAGAAAATGGAGATGCCAGAAAGAAACAGGCGAGAATTAAGATGTTAATGATGGCAAGGGAAGAGTATGCATTACCAAAAATTGGGTGAATCTGATAACGCATAACTTATGTGAGCATACAGAATGTTTTCCCTTTTTGGGGTGGAGAAGGGATAAAGGTGACGCCACTAAAAGTTTCAGAAGTGGGATGAAATAAAAAACTTGAACACAAAATAATTTCCCTGATACCACATGCACATCAGCCACATTGACCCCAAAGGCCTTGTGTTGGAGGTAGCTATAGCTTTTCCAACATATTCTCTTTTACCATCTACCTCCTTAAACCCAGAGTTTGGGACTTGCCAGTTTCTAACTGTGACAGATAAATAAATATATCATCCAATCTGTGTAATTTGTTAGAACCATGGTAGTATCTACTTTTACTTCAAACTATCCCTGTTCAAAATAGCAGATACAGACTTCCTAAGTTGGTTTAGTGACTTTCTTTTTTTTTTTATTCAATGGAGAATTTGAAAGTGGGATTTATTGTTAAATGTTTTTCTCACATCCAACTTAAATTATTCTAAACTATTAATGGAAAATATCTAATAAATTTAGATGCAGTTTAGAAAAAAAACCCCACAAAGATTCAAAGATTCTAAAAATAATACTGACCTCAACTTGTCTCAGATAAGTATAGATATCTTTCACATATTCACTACAAAGGTTTGGATCAGCTCCATCTTCTGCATCCACATCATTCACTGCAAGCATTACATCAGAGAAAGCCTGACACAGATATTCTTCTGCAGGGGCACAGCCAGATGTTTCCATTGGGCTTGGAGAGGGAGTATCAACCTTGAAAGAGAGAGACTTTTAAAATTAATAGCAAAGAGCAATTTAAAATCTGGAAATAAAGAACAGATTATTGGTACCAATTCAAGAAATCGTTTGCTGATAGTTATGTATTTCATTCCTTAAAGAAAAAATACCTTCTTTTTACATTTATTCACTATCTTAAAAAAAAAAAAAAAGAAAGAAAGAAAGAAAAAAAAAATGTATTTTATTGGTTTTCTACAGAGGGGAAAGGAGAAGCATACTGAGTTAGAAATATCGATGAGAGAGAAACATTGATCAGCTGCCTCCCCTACACCCCTCACTGGGAAGTGACCGAAACCAAGGTACATGGTCTTGATCGGAATCGAACCTGGGACCCTTCAGTCCGCAGGCTGATGCTCTATCCACTGAGCCAAACTGGTTAGGGCTCTGAGATGTTTTGAAGGCTGAAAAGATTACTAGCTAAATGAAAGGCAATGGGAAAGTCAAGAATCAGTATGAGACTTTCAAGGAAACCTCAGGCAGTGTGGTACGGCCAATTAAAGATTATGCATGAGCTAGGTCCAGAAGGTCAATACTAAAGCAGGAGCCTTAAATCTTAAACCCTTCCATATAAGAAGTCAGGCTGAATGACATTTACAGATTTTTCCCAATTGGCTTTACTAATTTTTAAAAAATAAGAGCTTCAGAATACAGTTCATTGTAATTTCAGCAAAACAGCTTCTTCCAGATGACCTATTTTTCCTTCACAATAAATACATTAATTCTTGGTTTTTGAAGCTAACTCATCTTTTTACTTATTTTCGGAGAGTTCCATTTTCTTTCTGCCTTACACCATTATATATTACAGGCTTATTAATTATTAATTAGCGAGTAAAAAAAAAGATTCAAGAGAACAATCTGTGTTTCAGTCAATAAATTCTGGTCAGAAATGACTTGTATCAAAGACAACTCAATCTTTGGTCCAGACATTTACTATTCAACACCAAACCCATTAAAAGCATTAGGTTGTACCCTAGCAGGTTTGGCTCAGTGGATAGAGCACCAGCCTGCAGATTGAAGTGTTAACGGTTTGATTCTGGTCAAGGGCACATATGCCTGGGCTGATTCCCAGTGTGGGGTGTGCAGGAGGCAGCCAATCTGTGGTTCTCTCTTATCATCGATGTTTCTCTCTCTGAAATCAATAAAAACATTTATATTAAAAAGCATAGGTTGTGCCTTGGCCGGATGCTCATTAGTTAGAGAGTGGGAGGGGTTGCAGTTGGATTCAATGGCAGGTATCTGGATTGCAAGTTTGATCCTGGCATGTTCAGGTGCATCTCTTTCACATCAATGATCAATGTTTGTTTCTCTCTCTTTTCCCACTTCTCTCTCCCTCTCTCCTTCCTTTCTACTCTCTAAAAATGGAAAAAAATATCCTATGGTGAGGATTAACAGCAATAAAAAAGCACAAGTTGTGAAGCCAGACATGCTTGAGTTTGAATCCAATATATGCCACTGATTAGACCTGACTCTAGATCAAATGCTATTCCATGCATTGGAATATAAAATGAGGTTCGTAAAGAAACAATCAACAGACTCTAAAATAGTAAAGTAAGTTTACCAAAATAGGCTCAGGCGAAAGTTTTTCTTCTTTAACAGGTTCAGGCTCCTGTGCTCGTTCCAGCACAGGCACAGGCACAGGCACAGGCACAGGAGCATGAGCAGGGACAGATGCAGGCTCCAGAGCCTTCTCCACAGGTTTTGGTAGTTTTTTAGCAATAATTTTTCCAGCAGCTAATGTTTTTGCCTCCTGTAAATGAATGGGAGAGAATGAAATGTTTTTCTATCCAGGGTCACATTTGGAAAGTGGACGTTTAGATACGTCTGGAGGAGACTGGGAAGATAGTTACCTTTTTAAGAGGCAGTTTAGCCTGTGGCTGTTCACTGACATTGTTAGCGATGTCGCCAAGGGCTGTTCTGGGCCTCAGCCCGGCCTTGGAGGTTGCAGTGGTGGCCACAGGCACGCGCTTTGCGCCTGCTATACTGATCTTCGCCTTATTTTCAGCATTCATTTTCGTGTTCTGAAAGAAGCAAGACAATTTGAGCTGGCCGAAACGAGGGGATAGGGAGAGGGGGGTTTAAGATGACCCAAAAGAGAGGCTTTTAGGACGGAATTCGGCTGAGAACCAGAGGGTCTAGCTAAGACTGTGACAAGCCAGTTTCCTTCCATAATCCCTTCGCTCTCGTATAGAGGGATTGCCGATTAGTCCCGGCTGGCCCTAAAATACCACGAATTTACGTTTAAAAGGAAATAAAGGTCTCCAATTGCCGGAGACCTTCGGCTCTAAAATAAATAAATAAATAAATTTAAAAAAATAATAAAACAGGCTTTAAAGATAATAAATTAAAAAATATTTATCTAATTGTTGGTAGTATTCCCCCCTCTATCACCTCCAACAGCCGCCCCTTCCCCAGTATTTATCCAAGGCCCATCCAGATCTCTTTGTCACCTTCCTCTCTAGGCCGGTCACATCTCCAAGCTCCTCACCAGGGGCCCACCAACACCCGTGTCCTCCTCCCCAAATCTCCGTCGGGGTCCGCTCCCGCCAGGGCGGGGGGTGGGGGGACGAGATAGGAAGAGCATGGAGCGAGGAAGGCAGCCCCTCTCCCGTCCGCAGCAGCTCACCCTGGTGACCCGGAGCGCCATGGCTTCCTCTTCCCCAGGCAGCAGCTCAGCGGAGAAGCAGAGAACGGGAGAGCCCCCGGGAGCGGGGGATAAACCCGACCAGACCGACAACCGTCCGCCGCAGCACGCCGGGACGCCGGCCGGGCCGCAGGTTTAAACTCCGCGCCGCGCTCTCCCCATTGGCCTGTTCGCGGCACTCGCTCCCTTCCCATTGGCGGCTGCCGATTCCCGAGAATGCGATCCCGCGACGGAATTCGAGACGGGGCGGGGCCAGAGCGAGGCGGGGCGGGGCCAGAGCGAGCCGGCGGCGTCCCTGCGCCGGGCTCTGCGCCTGCGCTCTCGGGCCCGGTCCGGTGAGGCGGGTCGGTGTGCCACCAGGTGTGGCGGAGGGCCTGGCCGGGTGTGGCCTTGGAAAGCGACAGTGGAGCAGCCGCAGTTTGAGAAGCAAGAGAAACAGTATGTTTCTAATCCTACTTATTAACACACTTTCAATATAACCTAGACCGTCCCTCTCTCTCTCAGGTGTACTGTATGTATAGTGGTATGTAGCAGTGCATATGCGATGAAAGAAATTGGAAAGGGCAAAATTATACAAGTCCAGTAAACCAAGATAAGGAATCTGGACTATATGTGAAGTGAAAGCTTTTAGAGTTTTTTTTTTTTTTTTTTTTTAATTGGCATACATTTGTTTAAATGTTTTTACTGATGTGTTTTGTTTTGTTTTTAAAGAAAGGAAGGGAGAAGGATAGTGGCGGGGAAAAAAATCAATGAGAGAGAAACCAATGGGCTGCCCTACACACTCCCCACTGGGGACCAGCCCACCACCCGAGCATGTGCCCTGACTGGGAATTGAACCATGACCTCCTGGTTGATAGGTGGATGCTTAACCATTGAGCCACCGAGGCCAGGCTGGAGGGTTTTAAACCAAGGTGTGGCATAATCCAGCTTTCAAAAAGATAACCTTAATCACTGTAAGGTTATATAAGTGAAGGGGAGGAGGAGAAACAAGAGAAAGTGAAGCTAGGGGAGCCACGAAGAGGCTCTTGTAAGAGGTCAGGCAAAAGATGATGGCTTAGATGATTCTGGCAGCGCTGGACAGAAGGATTCTAGAAATATTTTATAGAAAGACTTGCCGGGTCCTGATGGCTTGCATGGTTTGAGTAGAAGAAAAGGAATCAAGGATGACTCAGGTTTTGACCTGAGTAACTGAAACAAAGAAGACTAAAAGATGAACAGCTTTTAAGGGATAGCAGGTTTGGGATAGGAGATTAAGATAACAACCAATTAGATTAAAGCAGTAACCAAAACATTAATTAAAAAATACACCATTCAACATGATTTACAATAGCCAAGCTACGGAAGCAACCTAAGTGTCCATCTTCTACCGATAGACAAATGGATAAAGATGTGGTATACATGTATACAATGGGGTATTACTCAGCCATAAAAAAGAATGAAATCTCGTCACTTGCAACAGCAAGGATGGATCAAGAGGGTATTATGCTAAGTGAAATAAGTCAGACAGAGAAACACATGATTTTTCTTAAATGTGGAAGCTAAAAAAACACACATAACCCCCCCCCCCAAATAAATGAAATAAAATAGGAACAAGCTTATAGATTCAGAGACTAAATCAATGGTTGCCAAATGGGAGTGGAGGGGAAGAATGAAAAGGGAAAAGGGACTAAGATGTACAAATTGCCAAAACCGGTTTGGCTCAGTGATAGAGTGTAGGTCTGCGAACTGAAAGGTCCCAGGTTCAATTCCGGTTAAGGGCATGTACATTGGTTGCGGGTGCATCCCCAGTAGGGGGTGTGCAAGAGGCAGATGGTCGATGTTTCTCTCTCATCGATGTTTCTAGCTTTCTATTTCTCTCCCTTCCTCTCTGTAAAAAATCAATAAAATACATTTTTAAAAAAAGATGTACAAATTGCTAGTTATAAAAAAGTTACTGAGATGCAAAAAAAGTAGGGATTACAGTTAATATTTTAATAACTATGTATGGTCTCAGAAGGGTACTAGATTTAAGGGGTGATAATTTTGTAAGTTATATAAAGGTCTATCCACTATGTTGTTCAATGTCAACTGTAATTAAAAAATAAAAAAAATATTAAAATGAAAATAAGAGAGAGAAAAAGATTGAGAAAATACAGGGAGGAAGTTATAGAAATAAACAAGAGAGGACATGAATTTCATTAATCGATGTCTGAGTGCCCTGTATAATAAGTAACAAAAAACTTATTCCTTGGCACACTGTGCTGGCATATAATATTAAGAATAGCCAGGCAGGTGTGGGTCAGTGGTTGAGCGTCGACCTATAAACCAGGAAGTCACAGTTTGATTCCCTGGTCAGAGCATATACCCAGCTTGTGGGCTCAATCCCCAGTGTGAGGCACGCAGGAGGTAGCCAATCAGTGAGTCTCTCTCATCATTGATGTTTTTCTCTCTCCCCTTCCCTTCCTCCCTGAAATCAAATAAAATGTTTTTTTAAAAAATGTTCTTGCCCTAATGTCTAGACCTGTGAATATGAAAAGACCAGACTAATTTACCCGACAAAAGAGGCTCGGAAGACCTTGAGATAGGAATTACCCTGATTGCCTGGGTGGATCCACTGCCACCACGTGAGGCCTTGAGGGTAGAGGAGGATGGGGGAAGAGGTGGTCAGAGAAAGATGCTATAGTGGAAGAAGAGTTAAGAGATACCAGAAATGGGAGAAGCATATGTCCAGCTGTTGCTGACCCTGTAGCTAGAGGAAGGAGTCACACGCCAAGAATGTAGGTGGCCTGTAGAAGCTGGAAGCACCAGCAAACTACGTCCACAAGGACTGAATCCAGTTAGCCTGAATGAACCAGGAAATGGCTTCTCCCATAGAACCTCTAGAAGGAAATGCAGCTCTGCAAGCACCTTGATTTTAGCCCTGTGAGACCCGTACTGGATGTTTGACCTTCAGAACTGTAAGTTTGTGGTAATTTGTTATGATAGTAATCGTTAATACAAACCATTTTCTGTGCTTGATTACCATAGTCTTCTCTGCTTTTGGAGTTCATATACAAGGAATCATACAGTATGAATTCTTGCGTTTGTTTGGTGCCTTTTTATTTTAAAAATCTTGTTGAAAGTATTACATATGTCCCTTTTCCCTCCTCCCCCCATCAACGTCATCCAGCCCACCCCAACCCCCTGCCCCAAGCCCTCACCACCCCATTGTCTATGTCCATGGATTATATATGTGCATACCAGGTCTTTGGTTGATTACTTCCCACACACCTACCCTCTTGTCGTCCCTCTGAGATTCTGCACTCTCCCATGCTTCCATGTCTCTGGATCCACTCCATTCATCAAGTTTATTTTGTTAATTAGATTCCACATATGAATGAGAGCATGTGATACTTGTCTTTCTCTGACTTATTTCATTTAGAATGCTACTCTCCAGGTCCCTTCCATGCTGCTGGCTTCTTTCATTTAATATGTTTTTGGTTTTTAAAAGATGTATTGTTATTGATTTCAGAGAGGAAGGAAGAGAAATAGAATCATTGATCTGCCTCCTGCACACCCCCTACTGGGGATTGAGGCCCCAAACCAGGCATGTGCCCTTGACCAGAGTCAAACCCAGGCCCCTCAATCCACAGGCCAATGCCCAAACCAGGCATGTGCCCTTGACCAGAGTCAAACCCAGGCCCCTCAATCCACAGGCCAATGCTCTATCCACCGAGCCATGTGGAAGGGCCACTTAACATGTTTTTGAGAATCACCTTTATTGTTTGTAACTAATTAAAAAAGCAATTGTTGAGTAGTATTCCATTATGAATAAAGTACACCACAATTTATCCATTCTCCTGATGGACATTGGATTGTTTCCAGTTTTTAGCTATCATGAGTACAAGGTTTTTTTTTTTTTTTTTTTTTTTTTAATATATAGATTTCAGAGAGGGAGAGGGAGAGATAAAAACATCAATGATGAAAGAGAATCATTGATTGGATGCCTCCTGCATGATGGGGGATCAAGCATGTGCCCTGACTGGTAATTAAACCGTCATCTCTTAGTTCATAGGTCTATGCTCTACCACTGAGCCACACCGACCTGGACATCTCTGAATTAATATAGTGAATATTTTAGGGGAGAACAATAATCTAAATTTAAAGTAAAGCCAGAATCCTTTAGGGATATCTAACTATATAATAGTGTAGCCTCATTCTTCTGCTGTAGTGAGAAAAGTGTCAAGTTTGATCAATTATCATGTACTAGAAACAATCTGTACTTTAACAGATGTAATGTTTATTCTAAGTGGAAATCACCATTGCCTAAACTGTAAGAAGGGAAAACAATAGCTGGAAAGAAAGGAAAAGGAGAGAATTGGGAAGAGATGAAAGAGAAATCAATAGGTTTGTTCACCACCACCACCACCACCACCACCCTTCTTGGGGCAAACAAACTATAAACAGGCTTCTGTTTGGGGTATTATTTTAAGCTTGTTTGTTCACTTAATATAATATTAATCTCTCAGATGCTGATTTCAATAGAAAAAAGTGACAAATTAATAAAAGCAACCTCTGAAGTCAAGTTTAAAATATTAAAAATCCTTTAACTTTATTTAGCCCTTTTCATCTTTCAATTTCTTTTTACATTATTCCTTTTGTTCCTCATAACCCTATGAATTTGAGATTGAATTTTGATTTTATGTACGAGAGAGAAAAAAAATACTCGGAGAAGCTGATTTGTCTAAAGTCACATGGTTTGTATGAGCTGGAACCAGTACCTAGGTGCTCTTCAATGTGGAGTTTCCCTGCTTTCTACCGGGACCTCCCTTAATCTTCAGCCCTGCCTTCTTCTCTCAGTCACATTAATTTTATTTTCCTGTTGTTTATATGCCTTCTAAGGGAAATGATAAGCTTAATAATGGTGTAATATTCATTGTACCTATATACGGTACCTAAACATTTTTAATGTACAAAAGTTGCATTGAAACGCCAATATGCATTTATTTTCCCACCATTCATAAATTTTTAATTTTGAAGATTCTGGACCAGATAATGTGTAAAGAGAAGACAAGGATTATTCAAATAAGTTATAACAAATTTCTAAACCTCTCACATATTAAAATTAGTAAGACAAAAATATGATTTACATTACATATTTGCCATTATGTTAGATAAGAAAATAGTACCCATACTAAAATTAATTCATCCTACTTATCAAAATTTCTAGTCTAAGAATGAAAATATTTAGATTCTTATAAATAGACAGATATTCAAAAGTTTCTTTTGGACAATGTTCTTTGGTGTTTATAAAACTGCATATATTATTATATATCTATTATACAGTTTTTTCAGAATGTATATGCCTTTTAAATTGGAAATTAAAAAATATATAAATTAGATATTTTTATAGAAAATAGTTATAGGATATTTTGATTTCATGGTGCCCAAGTGATTACAGACTTTAAATGACTACCTATATTTTGATATTTCTTATATATCTACATGTACCAAAAAAAGAACATTTAATTTATGGGCAGAAAATTAAACCGAGTTCACAATTATTTATGACTTTCAAATGGCTATTCCACAACGTGTGAAACTAAATGAAAAGATGAAAAGCCTAACGTTGCTTGGATACCAGCTTGATAAACAACTAGGAATGCCAGATGCATAATAAGATATGTAGTATTCTAATACTTTAGAGGGAGAAGTGAGTGAATAACATGGACACAACTTAGTATTAAGTTCTTCACACAACTTAGTATTAAGTTCTTCACCTTAATAAAGTAGTATTCATTTGCAAATATTACCAAAAGTAAAAAAAAATTTATTTTACAGAGTGGTTGGTTTTTGTAATACATCAAAAACTGTAATTATACTTCCCTATTCTCACTGCATGTCTCATTATCAGTGGTTGAAGTTTCTCCCAAATAAATTACTTTACATTTAAAGTGGCAATACAGATTTTACTTAATGGATTTAAGTTTTAATTAGAAACTAGTTTTATATACAGAAAATCCATAAATATAGAACTTTCATTCTTTTTTTATCCTAGAGCTATGCAAAAAAATCGACTAAAATTTTTCATTTGGGGTTTGTAATAAACATGTATATACATTATTTACAATGGAGATGCTTTCTGGCACAAAGTAAACACAGAATAATTTTGGTCTTCACTTGATTCCGTCATTTTATGTTCATCTTCAAAAATGATGTGATATATCATATTCACTCAAATTTTTAGATTCTTGTTATACACATAATTCAAATAATGATTTTACTTGAATAATGTTCCATTTTGTATTTAAGTTTTCTTTAAGATTCCTTGATTCAATAGTAGGGAACTTTAATTTTTTTTTTTTTTTTCAAATATGGCAAAATGTTTCTGTACAAGTGTGTTCAATTTTCTTCCTTCTGGCATTTAATCTTCATTGTTTACATTCCAGAGGTAATTCCCGGTTATCTCACATGATGTAAGTACCATCTTTGTAGTATTTCATGGACTCCATTTGTTTTGTCATAGCCAGGACATCATGAAATCCAGTACTTAGGCCAGACATATGTTGAAAGTATGCCTCTTTTTCCACTTGAATTGTTAAATTGTTTACTCCAGCATCTTTAAGTATTCCTGTAACCTGTTATAAAAAAAAATCCATATATTTTAAAGCATTTAGGTTAATGCATTTAATGCACATGTCTTAAATAACTGATATTTCATTTTTTATACCTACAGATAGTCAAAGATACATCCTCAAAATAATGTTTATTATTTATTTGGGCAAATGTTAGATAGGATTTTGTTTTTGTTTAAAATATGGAACACTTGGACAAATCTGCATGTCATTCTTGTGCAGGGGCCATGCTAATCTTCTCTGTGTATGTGCTGCCGAAGGGAGCACAAAATAGAATTTTAAACAAGGAGTAAATTCTGATCTCACTTTCAAAGTAGTAAAAGAAACAGCTATTGCTTCCAATTCAATATGTCCAGATAGGGATACAAGAACTGTGTTTGATCCCTATCTTCAACCATAGCATATACCCTGCCAATGTTAATATTATAATTAATTTAGGGCTACATTTATAATAATTTATTTCTTGATCATCTATTGGGAATTAAGGTGGATCATAAATAATTTTATTTTACATTAATTTAACTGATCCTCTAAATACTAAAACTTGATTTTATTTTAACCAGTTTTGGATATAAAGAAAACCTAGGATACAAAATTTTGTTATCTTCAGATGAAAGACTGATATTTTCAAAGTCCAGAGTGCTAACCATTACACTATGGGACCTGCAAGACTGATATTTTCAAACAGTTAAATTACTATTGAACTATATAAATTATAATGTATGCAATTTTATGCAAGAATTACAATTGAAATTACTTTAAAAACAAAAGATTATTACCTGCTGTACTATTCTTTGTTCCAGCACATCAGATGTCACTTGTATATGAATTGTTCCTGCCACAATATTGGCAGAATGACGCCAAAAATGAGGGTCTCGGTATGATATTAATCCTTCAATTTTTTGTATCTGTCAAATAAAAGCTGAAGTGATATAAATGGACTTAAAGGTTATAATTTACTTAACACAAAGCAATCTTTTTGGTCCAGCAACCACTATTAAACTGATTATTAAAAAAGAAAGGTAAAAAGGCGAGTCCAGAGTGAAAAGGGAATAGGAGAGCCAACTAGCATAAAATAAAAGTGCCAGCCAAAACCGGTTTGGCTCAGTGGATAGAGTGTCGGCCTGCGAACTGAAGGGTCCCGGGTTCGATTCCGGTCAAGGGCATGTATCTTGGTTGCGGGCACATCCCCAGTCGGGGGTGAGCAGGAAGCAGCTGATGGATGTTTCTCTCCTGATGTTTCTGACTCTCTATCTCTCACCCTTCCTCTCTGTAAAAAATCAATAAAATATATATTAAAAAATAAAATAAAAGTGCCAAAAATGTTTGACTTAGGAATGATGTCATGAAAGGTAGCTCTGAAGAAGAAATTAATAAGGTACAGGTGTCTTTATACTCAACAATTGCACACCAATTTTCATTTATGTATGATGTACTTTGCCTATTCTAAACAGTGGATACATTCAATAAACTATACAGTTTCTTTTAAACTGATACACACATTTGCATATTGTTTGTTATTACACATTCAAAAAATATCTTCTAGCCCTAGCTCGTTTGGATCCGTGTATAGAGCATCGGCCTACGGACCAAAGAGTCCTGGGTTCGGTCAAGGACACGTACCTGGTTGCAGGCTCCTGCCTGGCCTGGGCCCTGGGGGGCTTGTGCAGAAGGCAACCAATTGATGTGTTTCTCTCACATCGTTGTTTCTTTCTCTCTGTCTTTCTCTCTCTCTTCCACTCTCCTTAAAAATCAATGGGAAAATATCCTTGGGTGAGAATTAACAAAAAATATCGTCCATATGCAGCAATTGAGGGCTATTTAAATAAATTAAAGACTATCTATACATTACCACTACATTGTCATTAACAGTGTATTACAATATAGCTCTAGCAGGTGTTGCTCAGTGGTCAGACTGAAGGTCTCAGATTTGATTCCTGGTCCTGGTTGGGTGTGTGTGGGAAGCAACCAATCCATGTGTCTCCTCTCCTCCCTTCCACTCTCTCTAAACATCAATGGAAAAATATCCTTGGGTGGGGATTTAAAAAAATGTTATTAGAATATTTATCAACATGACATAATTAAATGAGGAAAAAATTAAAAAGCAGGCTTTTTTTTGCTACTTTTATTTAAAAAAATATTTCTATATAGAAAAACAACTTTTAAAAGTGTTTCTTTCCAGGTAGTGTATTATATGTGGTCCCTTCACTTTTGTACTTTTCAGTACTTGGATATTTTCTGTAATAGACATGTTACTTTGACATGAAAAATTTTTGTTTTTAGTAGGATGTAGTATTCACTAATGAGAAGATGAGAAAACCAGACTAATATTATTTATGGAAATAGTGGGTAAGATGCTATATTTTAAATATTCAAGATGCTAAAATTTCATCAGCAGATCCTAATTACTTTAATATGATATGGCAAGCTATAGCTGAAAGTCTATTTTTCTAATTTATAGCAAAAATTATAAACTGCCTGTTTATGTTATCAAAGACTGTCTTTTTCTTGATTTAAAGAATTATAAATAGTATAATTTATACTATTTATATACTTTTCCTGTTTTATGTGCTGCAAATATTTCCTCCTGGCCTGACTTTTGATTTTCATATTTGTTATGGAATCTTTTGACAATGGATAATTTTCAATTGGTCCAATATGTAGATTTCCCCCCCTTTTTGGCTTCTGGTTTTACTTCCATCATATTAAGAAGGCGTTCCTTTCCCTACCTCTCTGCTATATTCTTCTATTTTATTTTAGCAGTTTTATCATTTTGTCATATAATATTTTCACTCACTGGAAATGATATGGTATAGATATACATATAGCTTTGCTTTTCCACCAAGTGAAAAATGAAAATTAGGCCAATTCTTTTTTCCTCACTGACCTGAAATGTCATCTTTGGTATATACTGAAGTTCGAAAGCTCCTGAGCCTATTTCTGATTTTTAAAATCAGAATTAATTTATGTGCTTATTCTTGTGCAAGAACAAAATTGTTAGTTCTGTTAGTAAATTCTGCAGTTTTATAATAACAGCATAGAATCCTTTTAATTAATAGTTAATTCTGTAAATTTATGTGTGTTTTGTTTATTCTCAAGCATTAACTATTTCCAATAAGCTTCCCAATAATATTGGATTATCTATGCTCTACCAAAACAAAAACAAACAAATCTTAATGAGAGGCAACTACATTGGGATTTAAATGAAAGAAAATCAGCATCTTCATAATATAGTTTACCATCCAAGGAAATATCTCCATTTATTGAGTTCCTCTTTTATGTCCTTTAAATTAAAACTGTATTTTGTTCATTTGTATCTTGCATATTTCTTGTTAGATCAATTTCAAATGCTACTTTAAAAGGAAAAAAATAGTGAAGAAATTACACACAGTACCTTTTCTAAAGCAAGATGTAATTCTTTTTCATATTCTGGTGGCAGTCTCAGAAGTAGAACCTGACAGGCATCTTTAATCAGTGGAATAACACTGAGAAATATTAATATAGCAATAAAAAGAGAACAGAGGGGATCAGCAATAAACCATCCAAACTGCTCTATAAGAATTGTGGATACAATCACACCAACACTGCCAAGTGTGTCTGCCAAAACATGTAGAAATACACCTGTAAGTAAAACATATAAAAACATTAAAAATTAAATCACATCTAATTTAGTTCTCTTATCCATAAAATATCTATAAATATTATTGAATACCTACTATTCACCTGTCACTTTAAATGACTAAAATATAGTCACTACCCTCAAGGAATTTACAACACAAGAGTAAGAAGGTATGGACGTGGGCTACTATACCACAGTAGTGATGAGTTTTATGATGGTGTTGTTTACCCTGGGAAGGCTTCCTAGAAATCGTGTATGAGCCAAGTCTTAACATTACCCAAATAACTTATATTAAACATTTAGAACACTTCAATATAGTGCTAAATACTACTCAATTTTCTTTATAGTACAGTAAAAATCTGTTTGTGATTTTTTGTTTTGTTTTTGTAGTGGAAATTCACAATGGCATACTCAGTATTTCCCCTAGCAATAATATATATGCAATTGTCACTATGAAAAGAACTCTATAATTATACAGTAATTAACTTGAACCTTTTTTTAGCCACAGATTGTTTTTCCAAAATAAGACTGTACCAGAGCCCAATAAAATAAAGTGGCAAATCACAACATGGTTGAAAAGTAGGTCAATATTTGGCAAGGACTCACCCCTCATGTTAGCATTCATGCCTCCGCCTGCAGATCCATGGCTGTGACCGTGCCCATGGTCACTGTGGCTGTGCGTATGGTGTGAATGGCTGTGATCAGATGAGTGACAGCTTCCTTGAGAAACTCCATGGGTATGGTTATGGGCATGGCTAAAGGCACAGATACCAATAAGGTTTACTATCAGTCCTCCAACTGAGACTGGCTAGCAAGAGGGAGAAAAGAAAACTTTTAAATTTGTAATTTAAAAAATTAGCTTGCTGCTCAAAAGTTAGTATACAGCTATATATGTATTCTATTTATAGTTTTGAAAATATTCATAGCAAAACTTCATTATATTCATTAAGTAAATCCAAATTTTAAGTGATTAAGAATATGTATTTGGTTCATGACTTATGGATAAATAAATGATACTCAAGTTTTCTTTTATTTAAATAAACAATTTGAAAATGCTACTTATAAGAGTAAGTATACACTATACCTGAAATCTTGTTCACATTACTAGGTAAATTTCAACAGTATGTATTTATAGGTATAACTCATTCTTTTAAAAAAAATAAATCTTCATTGTTCAGATTACAGATGTTCCTCTTTTTTCCCCTCCATAGCCCCCTCCACCCAGTTCCCACCCCACCCTTTGCCCTTACCCCCACCCCCTGTCCTCATCTATAGGTGTACGATTTTTGTCCAGTCTCTTCCCGCACTCCCTCTCTTCACCACCCCCCCCCCCGCCCCCCGAGAATTGTCAGTCCACTCCCTGTCTATGCCCCTGATTCTATTATATTCACCAGTTTATTCTGCTCATCAGATTTTTTATTCACTTGATTTTTAGATTGTTGATAGAGATGTATTTGTTATTCATAGTTTTTATCTTCACCTTTTTCTTCTTTGTCCTCTTCTTAAAGAATACCTTTCAGCATTTCATGTAATACTGGTTTGGTGGTGATAAACTCCTTTAGCTTTTTCTTATCTGTGAAGCTCTTTATCTGACCTTCAATTCTGAATGATAGCTTTCCTGGGTAGAGTAATCTTGGTTGTAGGTTCTTGCTATTCATTACTTTGAATATTTCTTGCCACTCCCTTTCGGCCTGCATAGTTTCTGTTGAGAAATCAGCTGACAATCATATGGGTGCTCCTTTGTAGGTAACTAACTGTATTTCTCTTGCTGCTTTTAATATTCTCTCTTTGTCTTTTGCTCTTGGCATTTTAATTATGATGTGTCTTGGGGTGGTCCTCTTTGGATTCCTCTCATTTGGAGTTCTGTGCGATTCCTGGACTTGTAAGTCTATTTCTTTCACCAGGTGGGGAAATTTTTCTGACATTATTTCTTCATATAGTTTTTTAGTATCTTGCTCTCTCTTCTTCTGGCACCCCCATAATTTGGATGCTGGTATGCTTGAAGTTGTCCCAGAGGCTCCTTACACTATCTTCATATTTTTGGATTCATTTTCTTTTAGCTTTTCCGGTTGAGTGTTTTTCTTCTTCTTTGTATTTCAGATCTTTAACTTGATTCTTGCGATCCTCTAATCTGTTGTTGGATCCGAGTATTATTTTTTATTTCAGTCAGTGTATGCTTAATTTCTAGTTGATCCTTTTTTATATCCTTGAGTGTCTCACTAAATCAGTGTTTTCTAGAAGATTCTTGAGTAACCTTATAACCGTGGTTTTGAACTCTATATCCAGTAGTTTGCTTCCCTCTATTTATGTCAATTGTGATCTGTCACATTTTGGCTGCTTCTCTATGTTGATAAAGTGGCTTTGTGTGCTAGGTGTCCTATAGGGCCCAGTAGCTTAGCCTCCCCAATTACCTGAAGTGGACACTCTTGGTGCACCCCTTTGTGGGCTGTGTGCACAGTCTTATTGTAGTTAAGCCTTGATTGTTGGTGGTATCATTGGGAGGAATTGATCTCCAGGCCAGTTAGCTGTGAGGATCAGCTGTGTCTGCAATGGGAGAACTTCTGTGCTGGAGACACCCTTGTGAGACAAGCCTTGCTTCAGTGGGGCTTTGGTGCTCACTGAGTCTGCCCCTTGAGTGTGGCCCTATGGATCGAGGAGTTGTAAGCCCACACTCTGACCACTGGGTAGACTGGATTTTGGATCTCCAAGGAGGTGCAAATTTAGCCTCTGCCTGAGGCCACCCAGCAGGAGCTATGGAGAGATCTGCAGATTCCTCTTCTTTGTTTGGGTTTGGAAGTGCCCAGATGAGGCCCAGCTGAAGCAATGCAAGCTGCTCTGGGGTCTTGGGCCTTCTTCTGGAAGTTCTGGTGCTCTCTGACCCAGCTGCAGTTAGGTAATTTTAGATTGCAAAGGGCCAGGCCATTCATATGCAAAAATCTTTGCACACAGCGTGGGTGGGGCTGGGTCAAGGTAATCAACAGGACAGAGCAAACAGCTATGGCTGATCCTCAGTCCTGCCCAAAGAGGTCCCCAGGTTCTCAGGTCCCACGGTAATCGGTAATTGTTGCAAGCACCTCTGAGAGGAAGCCATCCTTGAGTTCCATCTGATGCCAGAGAGCCCAATTTCTCCCCATATGAGTCTGGGTCCCCAGAGTCTTGCCCGGAACTGGAGTTCAGAGGAGTCAGGAGTTTGTGTCTCCCTCCCGACTGAAAAAGACAACAGCATCCTCAGTTGCCAGCCCTTTCCACGCGCATGCCTCCGTACCTCTGCACTTTACTTCCGCAGCTCCTCTGAGTCTCAGAGTGCTTTTCTCTTTCCTTTTAGTTGTCGAATTTCCACTCAACCACCCTTCCTGTAGTTCTGGATGATGTCCATTTTGTCTTTCAGTTGTAGTTTTGAAGTGATTGTGCGAGGCAGCAACTTCAAGTGTTTATGCCATCATCTTGTTTCTCTACTCATTCTTTTCAATAGCTGTATAGTATTCTATGAGTGACAAATTTAACTAGTCCTTTCATTAGTGGCCATTCTCTCCCCTCGACATTATCTAGCTATCTATATAATAGAGGAATATGCAAATTAGCCAGGATGCCATAATGTCATGACTGAATAGCAGGGACCTGAGGGTACTTGGAGCCTGGCTGGATTGAGGGACTCAGGCCATATCCCCTGCCCCGCAGGGTTTTACAGGTGACCTCAGGCTGTGACCCTCATCCAACGGGGCTTGATGAGGGACCTTGGGCCAAGGCCCTCCCCCACCTCACTGCTGGGCCAGAGGACCTAGGGCTGTGCCCCTCCACCCAGTGGGGCTTGACAGGGGACCTGAGACTGCACCCCCCCCAACACCTGTCATCGGGCTGGGGAACCTGAGTCTGTGCCCCCCCCCCCCCCCCGAGGACTTGATGGGTGTAGGGCCGGCCGATTCTGGGTCTCATCCAATGGGGGTGGAGCCGACTGGGTCTGGGTTTCCTGCATTTTTGAAGCGTGTGTGGGTGGTGAGCGGGGACTTGACTCTAGGTCCTGCAGCGCACCCCCGACTCCGACATGAGGGAGATTTTCATATACATTTTACTAATTTTCTTTCATCTCTGACACTTCTACTACAGAGAAAGGGCAGATAGCAATATTAAATTATTTTCTCTAATTAATCCCCTTTAAATGTGCACAAATTTCATGTACTGGGCCACAAGTACATAATACTAAAAGCGTAATATGCTAATTAGACTGGATGTCCTTCTGGACATCCTTCCTTCTGGACAAAGCCACAGCAGGTGGGGGCTGAGGCAGAGGCAGCAGAGGCCCTTGGCCATGGCAGTGGCCAGGGCCCAGGCCCTTGTGCAAATTTTGTGCATCGGGCCTTTAGTTACAAATAATGATATAATGAATCATGCATCTCTACCACTTGTGGAATATTTCTGTATTAAATATTAAAGATCAAAGGATATGAGCACTTAAAATTCAAGATATATTTCCAAACTGTAATCCAAAAACATTTTACTAATATATGCTTCTACCAACAAGACTCATAATTGTTTTTAATCATTCATCAATTAATTGCTGAGTTCCTACAAGCCAGGTGCTACAATTTAAGAGTTAATGATACATAATTCAGGTCCTGAAAACACTTCACTACATCTTAATTGTGAGATAATGACAAATTAAACAATAGTTATAACTCAACACTGCTATAGGAATATTGAAAAGGGATATCTAACAAACTTTCCAGAGAAAAGAGAGAATTTAAAGGAAGGTATTCCACCAGAGGAGACATATAGCAAAGTCTTAAGGAAGTCTGAATGTCAGAAGTAAGGGAAGAGCTGGCCAACTATAAGAAATAGCACATATAAAGGTAGGTGTTTAGGTATAGGTAGAACATTAAAAATTGCTATAGTATTACTATAATCTATGGGATAAAATTAATATTTTTCTGTCCAACCAGTGTGGTTCAATGGTTGAGCACTGACCTATGAACCAGGAGGTCACGGTTCAATTTCTGGTCAGAGCATATGCTGGGTTGCAGGCTTGATCTTCAGTGGTGGGCATGCAGGAAGCAGCCAATCAATAATTCTCTCTCATTATTGATATTTCTATCTATCTTTCCCTTTCCCTTCCTCTCTGAAATCAATACAAACATATTTGAGAAAAAAATTTTTTTCCCCCTTCTGATTCTATCTCTAACAAATTTCTTTAGGTACTTAAAAACACACTTTCAAATAAAAACATTTTTTATTTCTTAAAGGAAGTTGTATCAGCTTTTAATATTGGAAGGCATTTTATTTTATTTATTTATTTTGGTTAATCCTCACTGGAGTATATTTTTTCCATTTATTTTAGAGAGAGTAGAGGGAGTGGGGTGGGGGGAGAGAAGAGAGAGAAACATCATGTGAGAGCTTCATCAACTGGCGGCCTCTCACACATCACAACTGGGGCAGGAAACCTGCAACCCAGGTACATACCCTTGATTGGAATCGAACCCGTGACCCTTGGGTTCTGGTGCTGACACTCTAACTACTGAGAACACCAGCCAGGGTCAAACAAAAACATTTATTAAGTCCAAAAGAAATCTCTATGTTTTAGAATGTCATCTAATATTTTGCCTACTAAAATATTAGAGAAAAGGATTAATTCTACCAGAAAAAAACTTTAAAAAAAGAAAATAAGAATTATATTTAAAAATTTTTCTCTCAACACCAGTGAGGTGTCTGGGCACTGGTGGATGGAAAGAGGAGGATTAAGGGTAAGGGGAAGGCTCATTCCAAAAAAGATGGAGCCCAGAAGAGTATTTCAGCAGCCTAGGAGGGAGGGCCAAAGATAGGATCTTCCCTAGGGCAGTGGAGGGAAGGGTGGCAGCGTATTTATCAGGGATTGGTGACTTTGCTAAGAATCTGCCAGGCTCCTGGAACTCTAGCACAGCCTGAGGGGGAAAATTTTTTGTAAGAGTCAGCAGTGTAAATAACAAGATAGGAAGTTACATTGATTTAAATAAAAAATGAAATAAAATCTTTTTAGATCAGTAACTACAAATAGTTATACTTTAGCATTAAAGAACTATATGAATATGAGCAGTAATTCCAATAGAAAAATAAAGACTTACTGTTAACATGTGTGTGTCTAGTTCCGGAGGATCAATTAATCTAGCCACTGACTCCATAAACACAAAGAAAGCTATTACCATTAGAAAAAGTCCATTAATAAAGCCAGAAAGAATTTCTATTCGGCCATACCTAAAAATGTAGAATATATTTTTAGAAAAGGAAATGACAAATAGTTTAAAAGTATAACATTATTACTTTCCAAATGAGAAAACAAGTCCAAATTTTCAACTACATAAAAAGTAATATTAGAAAGTTACCAAGATTTTAAACATCATACTAATACGTTCCAAGGTACTTTCTGGACATATATCTGTTGAAATTTTATATATTTATCAATATATAAATGTTCCCTCTTTTACACAAAGCCTTTCCTAATTTCTTAGCAAGAAGTTATTTTTCCTTTAAGCCCCTAATGTGCTCTATATCTCTGTCTGAGCACATAGATTCTGCTTTATACCAAAATCATTTGTATTTTTGGCTCATTTATCTTTCAAAATATAAACAGTTGAAAATAAGAGCTGAATTTATTAATCTATTTAGAGTAGGTCTCACCAAAATACCTTGTACCAACAGGGGATTCTAATATTTGTTGAACTGACTTATTCATTTAATGAAAGGACATTTAATGTATAGCCCCTTCATTTTTAATTCTCTTAACTGCAAAGATGTGGATGATCATGTACATTCCATTGCCTCAAAGAAACATGTTGAGCAGAGAGCTCAATATTTAACTATTTGCTCTCTGCCTATAAGAGGGATTTGCCAGGGATTACCATCTTGAGCTTACTGTTAACTAGTATTTATTAAATGTTTGGTTCATTTCCCCTTACATAATTCAAATTAAAGAAAAACAAAACTTTGAAAAATTATTTGTATTAAGTAATAAAATTTCATGTCCCTTAGATGGAATTTGCACTTAAGACTTTCATTGTACTACATCACCTTGATAGTGTACCTACCCATAGGAGAAAATCCGAGTTGCTTTCCATCTACTCATTAGGGCAGCAAAAAGTCCCATGACCAAAGCAGAGCAGTCAAAGAGCATGTGAAATCCATCTGAGATCAGACCCAGACTATTGGTCAACACGCCATAAAATAATTCCACAAAGGTAAAAAGCTAAAATATTAAAAAAAAATAAAATATATATATATATATATATATATAGGGGTGTTGGGAAATACTGTTTCAAGAGAGAGTCACCAGAATTTAGTCATGAGAATTTTACCCCAATTAACCCACATTATAACCTTAATTGTACCCAATCTTTACTTGAAGATATAACTGCCTCTAGTTATTTAACTTGTATTTCTACTAAAATTGCATGTCATATAAATTGTAAGAAACTACACTAATCAGATATGTCCATCTCATAAATTATTTGAAAGGAGATGGTTTTATAGTTTTATTTATAGGTCCGTAGAATGCAATAAACTAAGCTTTAACATGTTAGCATCTGGTCTGTAGTGAGATCCTACAAAGAATAGATAACATCTTTAAAAGCTACTATATTTATTGATTTGAAACACTACACTAAACCGTTTCTAAAATGCCTCAAAAACTGTTTACTTAAGTAATCTGAATATAACTCTGTAGCATTCCTACTACTTAAGAGAAAATGTAATTTTAACTCATTTGTAATTACCAGAATTTTGGGAATTACTAAAATTATACCAGAATTGTCAGAATTAAAAGATTGAGCTTTTAAGATATACCACTTACATTTTAAAATCTTACCAGATTCAAACACAAGAAGTAAAAGATCTGCCTAGAGTCATTCTCCTCGAGAATCTGTTTTAGTGATTCCTTAATAAACCTAGGAATGGATTGGGAGGTATGCTGAAAAGCATCGCCCATGAAGTTATAAAGAGGTGTTCCTTCAGGAGAGTATCCAATTAGGGTACCTTTCTGTCCTCTCTTAGAGGGAGATGATAAGATGTTAGCAGCTAAAAAGAGAAAAAAATATAGAAGTTTAAAAGTTTAAGCTATCAAAACCCAACACAGTATCTGTCAGCACTAAATGCAAGCACTGAATAAATTTCCTAATTGAGTAAATGATGTAATCATCAGAAGCCAAGAAGAAATTTGCTAAGGAGAAAAACGCTTACACAAAATGAAGAATATAGCGCTCACTACCACTCCTCCAGACAGGACATGCTCCGTGCTCTCCTGGTGTGCTGCTCTGTTCATAGCCCGAAGCTGATCTGTTATTGGATGCGTCCAAAAATTTCCAAAAAGTAGAGCACTAATGAAAATGGTGAAGGATCCATAGCGGGCACATTTGTTAACTTCTATTTTGACTGAACAAATGGCATCGACATAGAAATCCAGGATCATGACAAAAAAGATAACCGTTGTGAAAGGTGTAACGAGAGAAAACCAAGACTCGACTTTACTCTAGAAATTAAAAAAAAAATTTGGGAGGGTGTGTATCAATATTATATCGTATAAAGTTCACACCTTTTAAGATGTTTAAGTTAATCCCTTTATGTATAACTAATGTTCTCATGATTCAATATGATTTGTAAAATGCCCAAATAAAGATCTATAAGATACTGGCACAATATTCCCCAAAATATTAAAAACTACGGCAGTTGGGTTCAATGTTTTTTAAAATAATAGGTGATCCATAATCCTTGTGCCTAACATGTGGTGGGTATTAAATTAAATTAAATTAGATTAAATTAAATTATTAAATCAAATAAAATATTTCCGTTGAGCCATAGGCATGGGAAAGTATATAAATGGTACTTGATTTGATTTCTCTATAAACAATAAAATTAAAAAGTTTTCAAAAATTACAAAGAAAAAGCAAAGATAATTTAAGGCACTTGCAACCTCAAATTGAAATAAATTACAATGTACCAAACTAAAATTTATAAGTAATAGCAATCCATTTTATTTATTACCAATAAATTCCTGATCTTACCTCAGTTGTCACAGAAAGAACAATGACCCATGGACACAAGAGAAGCACAGAAACAAGATGGGATAAAGCTTGAAGACGTTTGGCTCCACCAACATCTAGAGAGAGCTTTCTGGAAGCTGTATGAAAACCAACTTTACAACACAAAGCCAGAACTAGCAATAATACTCCACCCTATGAGCAAAATTAGATAATTCTCATTAGAAATATACACAGTCCAATATTCAGGCTTTAAATACATAATATTTGAAGAGATGAACTAGTTTTTACATATCCCAAATTTCTGAACTACTTAAATGGCATGCATTAATATAAACTACTGGTAACTTATTTTAAACACCTTTAAAGTTATAGTTGCTGTAACTTTTCAGAATCTTAGGTCATATTAGCAACAAAGAAAAGAACATACCTTGTGATCTGCCACACCTAAGAAGGCAATGGCTGTGTAAAGCATATGAGTTAGAGCACTGTCATGATGTCCTTCAGCTAAGTGAATTGGAGTAAAGGAAAAAAATTTCAAATATTAACTCACTGCCCTGAAGTTCTCCTGGAATTTTTGGTACATTATTTTAGGTTGACTATAGACTAGTCTGGTGCCCCAAACCTGACTACCCTCAATAGTTTCCCTTAAAAATAATTTAAAAATTAATTTTGGAATATGACTAATAAGTTTGCTGATCTGTATTCCTTTTGTTGTCTCCAAAACAATTATAATAGTGCCTGAGATATAGCTGTTAAATTTTAGTTCTTAACCTCCAGGAGACATATACATATATACTGTAAGTGGAACAAAAGGACAAGAGCAGGGACCCTCCCTGGACAACTCCTATCCATGGACTTGCTCTTTTAGAATGACTTTATTTATTATATACATTTTTATTGATTTCAGAGAGGAAGGGAGAGGGAGAGAGAGAGAAACATCAATGAGAGAGAATCACTGATCAGCTATTTCCTGCATACCCCCTATTAAAGATTGAGCCTGCAACCCAGGCATGTGCCCAGACCAGGAATCGAACTGTGACTTCATGGTCATGGGTTGACACTCAGCCACTGAGTCACACCAGTAGGGCTAGAATGACCTTTAAAATCAGTCCTAAATCTGTTTCTAAGTCATTGACCAAATAGCCCTCATCAAAGCAAGCAAAAAACAAATGAGGTTGTATGGAGACACTTGTATTGCAAACTTTTCAAAGTCAGTGCACCCTCTTTTATTGTAACAAGGTAAAATGATATAACTAAGAAGTTTTTGGGCAGTGAGTAGCTGTAATCAGAAGACTAAAAAAATGGTGTTCTAAGTTCTGAATAATGGAGTAGGCAAAAAAAAAAAAAATATGGATATGAAATAAAACAAATTATACCTGTAGAGGAAAGTGAACAGATATACTTGACTCAAAAGTTGGGTTTACATAAGAGAGAATTGGGGGCTGAATCAGAGATAATAATTTAGAGCAAGAGAGTGAATATCTAATTTAAAAACTTCCTTGTTTCCATGCCTGTGGGTTCAGCATATGCCCCCTAGTGGTCAGTGTGTGTCATAGCTACTGGTCGAACAGTTGCTTAGGCTTTTATATATCTACACTAATAAGAGAGAAAGATGCAAATTGACAGTACCTCCATGACACCCAGCAGCCAATCAGGAGATAGTATGCAAATTAACCCAATAAAGATGGCAGGTTAATTTGCATACACAGTTGCAGAGTAGACTGAATACTCCGGCCTTGCTTTCTCTGTTTTGGCCTGAGTGAAGGCCTGGACCCGGGTGCCAGAGGAAAACCAGTGCCCGCCAGCCAGGGGAAGGAAGGCCTACTGCACAAATCATGCAACGGGCCTGTAGTATATAGATAATTGCCACTGACTTTTAAAACAACCATTTAAATTATTAAATTACAAGGGAGCAAACTGATTTTGTTGAGTCTCAAATCATTTAGTTAGCATGAGGTCAACGTAAAATACTTTTACTGTCCCTAAATTTCTAACAGTTTAATTCAGTCACTCCATTTCCCATTCTGTCAGTCTTTTATTTTTCTATAACAATAAATAAATCTTATCTGTTACAAAAGGATACGGTGTTCAGCCATTTTAGCCATGAGATCATCATTGTCGAAAAGCAATAGGCAGATCACAGCAATAATAAAAAAAGCAGCCCCCCTTGTCTGGAAATGAAGAGAAAAATCTTAAGAATGGCTTTTTAAAGAATTGATTTTTAAGACCATGATTACACAAATGCTAAAAATTTTTTTTTGCAAATAAACATTTAAGGTAAATAACACCTGACATTAGAGCCCTTAACTGCACAATATAAATTTACAGTATTAACAGTAAGGTAAAAGTAAAGAGTTCTAATAAATTCTGCAGGATATTTTAAGGGCACTTAAGACACATAGTAATGATAACTTCAATTGTTTAAAAAGCTATAAGAAAACTAGCAAAGTTATTTTTAATATCTAGTAAAGGTATAAGGCACTTAAAAGCTGACAGACATTTTATGTTCTCATTCCAGGGAAAGGATTTTGACAAAAGAAAATTATAAAGGACATACTAACTTAGTTTTTACAAATACTCAATTATACAAAAGCAATTTAAATAGCATTATTATATAGTCTATATTTACAAATTAACAGATTTAATACCAGATACTTTCATTAAATAAAAATTTAAAATGAAAAGTGAGGATCCTATTATACTTGTTATGTGTTACTACCCTGTTTCCCCGAAAATAAGACAGTATCTTATATTAATTTTGCTCCCAAAGATGTGCTAGGTTTTATTTTCAGGGGATGTCTTATTTTTCCATGAAGAAGAATATGGTAAACATTTATTGTTAAATGAAAATAAAGGAAATTTATTACCTGTATACGGTACAGTAGTACGGTAGTTGTCAACACAAACCAGACAAACTGTGAATCCTACAGTATCAAGAATTTACTCATTTATTCAATGACAATCATGTCATCATCTTTTGGAACATCATCATAACAATCAATTCCTGAATTTCCTGGTGAATTTCTTGTGACTCCATTTCTTTCAGAATCAGTGGACCAAATCTCTCATGTTTAGCCTAGGGGGGGCCTTATTTTCGGGGGGATGCCTTATATTTCACTCAGAAGGAAAACTGTAAGTAGGTCTTATTTTGGGGGAAACACGGTACTACACTTGATAAATTATTACTGTGGTAGATATTTTAACAAAAGTCAGTATACATAAACCATACAATTTAGAAATTTAAAAAAATATATATATTTTATTGATTTTTTACAGAGAGGAAGGGAGATAGAGAGCTAGAAACGTCCATGAGAGAGAAACATCAACCAGCTGCCTCTTGCACACCCCCTACCGTGGATGTGCCCGCAACCAACGTACATGCCCTTGACCGGAATCGAACCTGGGACCTTTCAGTCCGCAGACCGACGCTCTACCGCTGAGCCAAACCGGTTTCGGCCAATTTAGAATTTTATAATTTTTATAGAATCAATATGGCAACATCAACAACACTCAAATATGGAGCATGTAATCTAATCTTTTATTAACAAAGAGGGCAATAGAATTTTGTAGTGCTTTAGTCATAGCTAAGGAAAAAACCCACTGAGTCCTGGATAAATGCTGAGATTCATTACTGACATGAATGAGATGATATGCAAGATCTATACTCATTTCTGATTATTGGTGCAGCAAAAATTTTTTTGTTTTAAATGTTTTGAGTCCTTTATATTCTTTTGTTAGTTGTTGTTCTCTGCTCATTTCTGTTGAGGATTTTAAGCATTTTTCTTAATTGACTTATATTTTAAACAAGTGTAAAGCTTTTTTTTTTTTTTGGTGGCAATTTGCTGCTGTTAGTTTGTTGTTTGCACAATGATTTCTGTTATATAAAAGCCTGTAATTATTATAAAGTTAAATGTATTGAATTTTCCCTTTGTGGTTTTTTAAAATTATTTATTTTGAAATTTATTTTTCAATTACAGTTGATATGAAGTATTATATAGTTTCAGGTGTACAACATAGTGATTAGATATTTATATACCTTACAAAGTGACTTTGTGATATTTTCTCTACTAATTTTATGCTTTTACAAATATCTTCCACCAAACTCTTCAATTCACTTGACATTTATTTTGGAGTACTAGAAGATAAGCTTATACAATGACATATGCTTTAATATTAATGATCCAATGTGGAATGTACAGTCTCTCACTCTGTACATGGCACAATTACTTTGTTTATTTTATTTTATTCATCTTGTCTCCATTACTTAGCCTGAAAGTCTAAGGGGATTATTATACTTTATTTTTCCTTTCCCCTATAACTAGAATAGTGTATCATGCATAGGAAACATTTAATTTGGTAAATAGAAATATTGCAGTTGTAAGAATTGGAATTACAGATGGATGACTCATTTACTAAAAACAAATAATATTTAAATTAAGTTGAATAGGAATGCCTAGTTGGCAAAATGTTGTATAAATATTCATAAAAAATGTTCATCAAACTTTAAATAAAGCTCTTAGGTATTTCCAAAAATGTCTGGGGATTAAAAACGAGGTGGGAAAGGGTTCAGGTACAGCATAAAGGAGATGTTTGTGGTGATCAATCAGTTCTGTATCTTGATTGTGGCAGTAGTTACCTGAATCGACATTTACAAACCCACATATGAGTGTATTTAAAATTGGTGAAAACTGAATAAGGTCTATGGATTGTACCAATTTCAATTTCCTGGTTTTGACTGTATAATTGAGTGGGGAAAGAAGTTACTATTGAAACTGAGTGAAGGGCACAAGAATGCTCTACTATTTATGCAACTCCCTAGGAATATATAATGACAAAAAAGTTGTAAGAAAAATGTAAAATTAATAGAAAAAGCCCCTGCATTCTTTCAGATCTTAAAAGATACTATTTTGTTGTTTTGGATAACATTTCAAATGTATACTTTCAATTTTCAAGTAGCTAATAATGGAAAGTTTTACCTTTGCTGGTCCTCCTCCAGAACCAGTGAACAAAACACTGAGTAGGGAGATGACAACAATATCACTGTGTTCAAATAGCAGCAAAGTCCTACAAAAATAAAACATATCATCGTGAAATATATCTGATCTTTATAAAAAAGCATTAATTCAACTAGATTGAAAAAAAGAAATATTTCCCCTTGATTCATAACACATCATGAGAAAAATAGGTACAGCAGTTCTGGAAAATATTTTGGCATTATCTACCATAGAAAAGATGAAGCTATAAATACTCAACACTACTCTGCATGATATAGAATTTTATCATGCAGATTTCTTGTATTTGTATACTTGGGAACATTTATATAGATACCAACATTGTTTGCAGTAACAAAATATTGGAAACAACCTAAATGCCCACTGATAAGATAGGTGATAGTAAATTAGATTATATCCATTTAGTGGACTATATTATACAGCAGTAAGAATGAAATTCCATGAATATACTAATAGAGAATTGTACACTTTAAAAGTCCTATAGACTGAATGTTTATGTGTCCTCCCCCAACCTATTCATATGTTGAACCCAATCCCTAAAGTACCCGCAAGGGAGAGTCCTCATGCATGTGGTCCCTTATAGAAGAGACCACAGAGAGCTCCCTTGCTCCTTCTACCACATATTGACTATATCTCACCTTGATCTTGAATTTTTCAGTTTCCAGAACTATGAGAAATCAATGTGTTGTTTATAAGACACTAAATCTATGGCATTTGGTTATAGCAGCCCAATGGGAAAAGCATGCTGCAGAAAAACACATGCAAGTAAAAAACTTGCAAAGTTAACCATTAAAAAGAAAAAGAAATACATACATATGGTAAAACTATAAAGAAAACCAAGCCCTATATATTTGTTGAATTGAACCCAATGCTATAGAAGTTATAGAAGTATTTGTATATATTTTGACACAAATATGTATTTTTTTCATTTTAATTTCTTTATTGGTTAAGGTATTACATATTTGTCCTCACCCCCCATTCCTATATTCACCCCTGTTTGACACAAATATTTGACATAAAATCTAACGGGATAAAACTAATATTCAAAATGAAGAGCTATAAACAAGCATTCAAAATATATATTTTTATTTACCTTAGTGGTCCACAAAGAGTGAGGCCAAAAAACCACAAGAGTGAAATGATACACCCAGCAACTGCATGTTTAAATATTTTGATCCACTATAAATGGAAATAAAATATAAAAAATTTCAGTCATAAATATCTGAAAATCTTAATACACATAGGGAAATATAATAATGGCAATGCAAATACTTTAAAAGCTAAATAATTACATTATTTTGAAATTAAATAGAAAATGTTAAGATCCTTTAACTAAATTTGAATTTGAACACAGTATTCTGGTTTCCAGGAGTCTATTGGATCTTGAAATCTTTTTGTCTCTTTCCCCCCTCCCCTCAAATTAGTTTATCACTAATGTACTAGGAACATTTAATATTTTAGTCTTTAAATTCTTTTCCATCAGAAATAGTAAGTGCTTCAATAATTTGAAGAGAGAAAAAAAGTTAAGATGTGGTTTAAAATATTAATACTATTTTTAAAAACAATCTTGGTCTCTAAAACAGGTACTTAAATTTGCCATTCTAATAAAAAATCATGGCACAGATTTCCAAAAGTAAACAGGTAATAGGGGATAACTACTATTTAAACAGGTGATGATATGAGAAGATTATGCAGAACGAAGGACATTTCTGGTATGCATTTTGAACCTCAGATGACTAAAGGGAATAATGATGATAATGATGAGGGTGACATAGTATGTATTGCAGGAACTGTTTATAGAATCTATATGTTAGGCATTGTTTTAAGAATTTATATTATATGTACAAACTCATTTATTCCTATGGAAGTGAGGTATTATTATTTCCATTTAACAAGTCAAATGACATTTGTAATAGGTTCTGGGTCATGTCTCCATGTCTGACTTGTAAACCTTTCAGAATAAAGATCCTGTACTAAAAAAAAATAATTATATGAATGTTTTAAAAATGTTCTACCCTCTTCTGCATTTAAAAAGAAATATATATTTTATTGTTTTTTTACAGAGAGGAAGAGAGAGGGATAGAGAGTCAGAAACATCGATGAGAGAGAAACATCGATCAGCTGCCTTCCGCACAACCACTACTGGGGATGTGCCCGCAACCAAAGTACATGCCTTTGACCAGAATTGGACCCGGAACCCTTGAGTCTGCAAGCCGACTCTCTATCCACTGAGCCCAACAGGTTTCGGCTACCCTCTTTTAACGGCATTTTTAAAAATTCTGTTATCTTAGTACTTCATAGTTTATTCTTGATGCTCCAATTCTGAATAGATAAGCTAACTGTGGGAATGTTCTGCTTTGTACTTAAATTACTCGTTAAGTAACCCTGATTGAGGAAAAAGCACTGTCATCTGGCCCAGTGACTGGAAAGCAGCTAGGGAAAAAGGATTCAGCAAAAAACTCACCTGGTGTCTGGTAATACTTTTTCCAGAAGAAAATGGCTTTTGAAACAAAACCAAAATAAATGCAGTCCTGTGGATATTGAAACATTAATTAATCTTAAATACAAGATTTGGTTTTAAGTAAAAACACTTATTTTAGATAAATACATACACTATAACTTGAAAAGTATGTTAACCTCTGAAGAAATTACACTAAAGGACAATACTTATTGTGTGTGTGTGTGTGTGTGTATGTGTGTGTGTTTAATTTCAGAGAGAGGAAGAGAGAGAGAAAAACATCAATGATTAGAGAGAATCATCAAGAAGCTGCTTCCTATAGGCCTGCTACTTGGTTTCAAGCCTGAAACCCAGGCCTGTTTCCTGACCCAGAGTTGACTCCTGGTTCATGCTCAGCTATTGAGCCAGACTGGCCAGACAATATTTTAATAAGGTAGCCACTGCAACATTTTGGGAACTCTTTTTTTGCACTTGCCTTCTGAACCAGTTCAAAAGCCACAAAAGAAAAGGGTACTTTTTAATACTTGGAATACCAAAGAAAAGAATTCCAATCTTATCCAAAATTTAGTAATAATAAATCTTAATAAAAATGAAGTACTAATTGTATGTCCTTACTTTTTACTTTCCCAAAATAGTTACATAAAAATGCATACAAGCCAAAACCGGTTTGGCTCAGTGGTAGAGCATCAGTTTGCGGACTGAAAGGTCCCAGGTTCGATTCCGGTCAAGGGCATGTATGTTGGTTGTGGGCACATCCCCAGTAGGGGGTGTGCAAGAGGCAGTTGGTTGATGTTTCTTTCTCATCGACGTTTCTAGCTCTCTATCTCTCTCTCTTCCTCTCTGTAAAATATCAATAAAATATATTTTAAAAAATGCATACAAATATTGCTTAAAATTTCCTAGTCAAGTATCACTTTCCATAAATATTACAAAATTATACCTCCAGGAGTTTTTAACATATTTTTATTAACACAGAGGGTAATCACTATCATTCAAGTTCCAGAGAATCTTTATTTAGAGAATTTCTTATTATATGCAGAATAATGTTAAGTTTATACTATATAAAGACCTTGGACTTTGAAAAAAACATGTAGAGAACACAGTCCAGAATGGTTTATCTTAGGAAATAAGGAACATCCATGCCAAGACAAGTCTCAGGTAACATTCTACGCCTGCTGGATTGGACTATACCGGTGCTATAGCTTGGGAATCACTAGGGACCCCAAGACCCTTTTAGAAATACTATCTCTATACAAACTAATACATTATTTGTTTGCCTCTTATTCCCTCAGGGGTGTACAGGGAGCTTTTAGAGGCTAGCTGACATTAAGATACTGCAACAGATTGTTGTTTAAACAGAATGAGAATCTAGCTGTCTTCAATTAAGCAGAAAGTTGCCAAACCCTCCTTAACACAATTGAAGGTAAAAGTCTATGTTTTTGGCAAGCTATTACAGTACAACAATCCCTTTTGTAAAAAAAATTTCACCTAGGGATATGCTTATTGATTGTAGAGAGAGGGGGAGGAAGGGAAGGGGGAGAAGGAGAGAGAGAGAGAGAGAGAGAGAGAGAGAGAGAGAGAGAGAGAGAGAGGAACATCCATGTGCTCTGACTGGAGATGGAACCTGGAAACCAGGTATGTGCCCAGCCTGGGAATTGAGCAGGAAACCTTTTAGTATTCAGGATGATGCTTTAACCAATGAAGCCACACTGGCCAGGGTTATTTATTTATTTATTTATTTAAAAAATCAATCTCTTTGTACTACTAACCTTAGGTGTTCTATTTCAAAATATTCCACATAAAATTTCCTAAATATACTTAGTTAAAACAGGATTTTCAAAGAAATAAAAAACATTAAGGAAAAAAAGAACCATACACACTCACCCAAGCTTTAATATAAAAATGAACTGAACAATGTGAACTGCTTTTAGGAGATCATATGATTCAAAAAGTCCCACTGCCTTCAAGAATTTAGTGAAACATAGTAACACAATATATTTCGTGAATCTGAAAAATAAAAGCAGAAACAAGTTTCAATATCACTGAAATCACAAGGAACTCTGTAATCTTTGCTTTTTCTTATTAGATAGGTAGCAGGAATCATTATAAAAAATGAAACAAACAAAAATCCAAAAAAGGGAAGCTAAAGTCCACAGAGTTAGCTAGGGTCAAGCCCATGTCACTGTTAAGTATGCTCTTTTTAATATGTCACACAGAAAATCAAAGTTCATCCAAAAGATTTTGAAAGTTCCTATCCTCTAAACTGTTCTAATTACACATTCACACTGGTCCACATGAACAATAAAATCATCTTACATATGAAATAAAATGCATATTAGAATCTAAGATTAATTTAGTAATATTAACCCATTTAAGTTAGAGGGGAAAAATCAGAGAGGTAAGTAAATTAACTATATTAATGGTATTTAAATACTCTTGTTGTGGTAGCAATCAAAATTAGCCAATAAAAATAATCGTTGAGCTAGAAATCTTTTGTTTATTCAGCTCCTAACACAGGAACTTGCATAACATGTGTTCAGTATACATTTGCCAAATGAAAAAGTGCTAACTCTAAATTAAATTTATGTGAAACAGTAATATTTAGTACAGTAATATATATAGTGCAGTAATATAGTACATAAGAGGCATTCAAGCTTCTGGCAATTTAAACTACCAGCAACTCAGCCATCAATTCATAATAAAGAAAAGGATGGAATCAAATAGAGGAAAGGTCTTAACTAGGTGTAAAAATAAGGCAATAGGATAGAATCACATACATAAGGAACAACTGTTGATAAAATAGGAGAGAGAAAACAAAGAGCCCAGCTGGTGGCATTTCCATTCCCATCAGGGCACATGCCTGGTTGTTGGCTCAATCCTCTACCCTGAAGGAGGCAGCTGATGGATGTTTCTCTCTCATCATTGATGTTTCCAACTATCTCTCCTCTCCTTTCCTCTCTTCTGAAATCAATAAAAAAATATTTAAAAGAAAAAAGTTTCCTTGCATTATAGTGTTATTAGTTTTTAAGAGCTTGTTTATGACTAAAGATGTTAACCATTTCTCATACATTGCAAATGAAATGCCTTTTGTTATTATTTTACTCTGGTGTTTCACTTTTTGGTTGTATCAAACTTATACATTAAATATAATTAAATATGATCATGTTCTATTTAAAAGAAAAAACAAAATACCCCAAAGACTAGGGAAAACAGTTACATTAAAAACCACAGCAGTCTGGGAAATATTGATGTCAGCCAAGAGTCTTGTACATTGTTCATGTGCTATTTAGCCATTCTTCAGATATTCCTCTCGTCCTTTACTATATGCTAGATGCCAATGAGACCCATGAGAAACCTGACAGGGTGGCTTTGGGTACAACCTGTTCTCTTCCTGATAAAAGGGCAAGATATAGCTAGAAATCCTTTTTCCTGCCTGCAAGGGAGGGCTTCTGTCTAAAACTTACCTTTAAAATGTTACACATTTTACAAGCCTGAATATGAAAGTCACACTTAGGAAGGCAGAGAGCAAAGACAAAGAATCTGGTTCCAAGGTTTCTTTAAAAAAAAAAAAATCCTCACCAAAGGATAAGTTTTTATTGATGAGAGAGAGTGGGGAGAGGAAACATCAATCAGTTGCCTCCCGTAAGTGCCCGACCTCAGAACCTTTTTGGTGCCCAGGACACCAGAACCAACTGAGCTACCCTGCCAGGCAACCAATGGCTTCTTAGACGTAAGGTTATGTCTCTATTTGTTCAGAAAGCTCTTACTTTGGTTACTTACATCTAAACACATTTCTAGTTATTATCCAAGACACTAAATACATAAAAGAGACCCTGTCCTCCAGGAGTTAAGATCTTAGGTTAACCCAAGAAATTATAGAATTTAAAGGGCTAGATGTGGAAGCAATTATGTAATTGTTAACAAGGAAAGCAAAGATCATCTTCAGAGTTTGAAATGTATAAATGCGCACACGAGGGCAAAAGAGGAATCCTGAATCAAGAAAAAGGGAAGAGTACTTCAAAGTACAGAGAACAACATACACAAAACGCTGGCACTACGAAGTAGCCATTGAAGAAATGACTGTATTTAAGCCCAGTTCACCAGATTATGCTCAAAATGACCTGAAGTCACTAAGGACAAAGTAAATTATATTTAAATACTAGTTTTAAGAAGATGGGAGCAAAAATTATTTCTAAATAATTTTTGTTCAATGTATTAACAAAATGTAAAAATATTGGCATTTTTAGCCAGGCTGGCATGGCTCAGTGTTTGAGCATCGACGTATGAACCAAGTCACAGTTTGATTCCTGGTAGGGGTACATGCCCAGGTTGAGGCTCGGTTCTGAGTGTGGGGTGTGCAGGTGGCAACCGATCAATGATTCTCTCTCATCATTGATGTTTCTATTTCTCTCTCCCTCTCCCTTCCTCTTTGAAATCAAGAAGAACATATTTTTTAAAAATAAAAATAAAATTTGGCACTTTAACAGCAAGATTTAGTCATATGGAACATTAAATACTTCTTGATGTTACTATTATGATCTTTCTGATACTAATTTTCTTTATTCCATTTTTAATTCCCTTTTTAATAAAAAACAAAAGCACACCTGAGAAGCTGGTTGTTATAAAAATTTTAAAGAAAGTCATTCCTAATTTCCTTCTCATAGCTGACCAACTGGGTTCGTACATCCTTCTAAACCTTTTACTTTGCATCTCCATGAATTAATATACATCTTTTAGATACACAAAGCTCAGGCAGCAGAGCGCACCTACTGCTGTGAGGCCCAAGGCTCAGGCAGCCATGGTGGCCGCCAGTAGCAGCAGCAGCAGTGGGTGATGGGATAGTGCCTTCCCATGACTGGCAAAGGGAGGCCAGACTGCAACTTAGGCTGAGGGCTGAGGTAGAGGCGGTCAGGTACGATGAGGCTGGCAGGGGAGCAAGATAGGGGTGAACAGGCCGGCAGGCAGGCAGAGGCAGTTAGGGGTGATTAGGCAGGCAGGAAGGCAGGCAGAGGGATTAGGTGCCATCAGGCAGGCAGGCAGGTAGGTAGGAGCCAGTGGTCCTGGATTGCGAGAGAGGGATGTCTGACTGCCGGACAATAGGAGATCCCCCGAGGGGTCCGAGATTGGAGAGATGCAGGCCAAACTGAGGGCCCCCCCACTTCCCTGCACTAATTTCGTGCACCGGGCCTCTAGTGTATATTTCAAAATAAAACAAAACACACACAAAAAAACCCCCAAAAAACCTGTGTAATTCAAACACAATTCACTCAGGAAATGAATATTCAAGTGTCTACATAGAAGCACTATGCATGGGATTTGGATAACTGACTCCCTGTTCAGTTATTAGGTGTGTGACGTTGGGAAACTTACCTTTTCTACATCTTTGTTTCCTGACCTGTCAAACAAGGACTTAGCTACTCAGTCTGCAGCACTGTGGTAAGGGCTAAGTTAGAGGCTGTACTCAAAGCATTTGGAACATAGGAGTAGCTAAACAAATGTTGGCTGTCACTCTCTGCACATTTCTATAAAGGACTTATACATGCCAAAATAGAAATATTTCAAATAATTTATATTTGTGAATTCATGCATTAAAAAATCCACAATTAGCCCTAACTATTTGGCTCAGTGGATAGAGCATGGGCCTGTGGACTGAAGGGTCTGGGTTCCATTCCAGGTAAGGGTACATGCCTGGATTGCAGGCTCCATCCCCAGTGGGGAGAAAGGGGGGTGTGGTGCAGGAGGCAGCCTATTGATGATTCTCTCATCATTGATGTTTGTATCTCTTTCCCTTTTCCTTCCTTTTTAAAATCAATTATATATATATATCTCCACCATTAAAGGATTTGTCAATTAGTTTTTGTTGCAGATTATAACCAGTATTTTTATTTTTTAGTTTTTATCAAGAAAAACTCTTGAAACCTGGAATCTATTCAAAATTCAACCAGTCCTGAGTTGAATTTGATTATGTTACAATAGGAGGGCAGCTTGCTAAGTAAATAATGCAAATGAAGCAAAGGACTGTTTCCAACATCAACCTAAGGCAATAAGCTCTTGAGTAACAACTTTAAACTGTTTATTTAAAAATAACTTCAGCCAGGACCGGTTTGGCTCAGTGGATAGAGCGTAGGCTTGGGGACTGAAAGGTCCCAGGTTCGATTCTGGGCAAGGGCATGTACCTTGGTTGCGGGCATATCCCCAGTAGGGGGTGCGCAAGAGGCAGCTGATCGATGACTCTCTCATCGATGTTTCTGACTCTCTATCTCTCTCCCTCCCTCTCTGTACAAAATCAATAAAATATATTAAAAAAAATAAAAAATAAAAATAACTTCAAATTTACAGAAAAGCTGCAAGAATAGTACACCCTTTACCTAGAATCTCTAATTATTAATGTATTGTACCATTTGTCTTATCTCTCTCCCTAAATACAGGCTTAATTTTTTTCTGAAGTATTTAATTTAAGTTACATACATTATGCTCCTTTACCCCTAAATACCTGTATTTCCTAAGCATATAGCCAATCTCTGATAAAACCAGCAGTTATTAGCTTCAGGAAACTTAAACATTAATACGATAATTTGATCTATCGTCCATAGTCCAATTTTGTCAATTGACCTAATGCTGTCCTTTTCAGCATTTTTCCTGACTACTAAATCCAGACCGGAATCACCTATTGCATTTTGTTGAAATGTCAGAGTAAACACCTAATATCTGTTATTTATAAAATGAGTTGCTCAAAATAGATGAAAAAATTAAACTCGAACTACAAAAGTGCAGTTGATTTAAGTTGTTTCAGCATTTTGTGTTCTTTCATTTTTACAAAAAATAGTAATACTATTTCTATGATGTCAAGGCATTTATCAAACCAACTTTTAAGCCTCAAAGAACGAGAAAACCTTAAAGTCATTAAAAATGAAGGCAATGCACACCAGTTCCAACCAAATCGTTGGGCCATGGTCCATGCATCTTGGACACTCAGGACTCAGGACAGGTCAAGGACACGCCCCAAAGTGTCACTGCCCGTGCCTCCTGGGGTCACTGGGAGTACTGGCGGGAGGGTACGGAGGAGTTTTCACTTTTTACTCTGAATCTCTGTACTTAACTTTTGACAATGAGCACACACATCTCTTCTTTAACAATACAATACACCATGGAAGGAAAAGGAAACCAGATGGATTCTTGACGTGTGGAGTCACTGAGCTTCGAAGTTCAACCTGTTTGTACTTTGATTCCTTCCCCGGGAGCTAAGACGGTGACAACTTCCCCTGATTTACACTGGGAAGATGTCAGGGAGGCTAAGAAGTCACTAAACTACTATTTTAGGGAGAAACCAACAAAAACACGTCTCTTGGATCAGAAAAACTCGTCCCTGAGCTGATGGGCAAGTTCTCCGGTGAACGGTCTGCCCGAAAGCCTCCCTGACTTCGGACCATTCATTCGGCAGCGCAGCGGGGCCGGAGGAGCCCGGGGAGCGATGAGCGGGGAGCGGGGGGCTCGGGCCGCGCGCCCAGCGCAGGGGCGCCCCGGGCTGCCAGGGGTCGGCAGGGGCGCCGGTGCCCGCGCGCCCGGGGAGGCAGGGCAGCGGCGGGGAAGGTGTGTCCGGGCGGCCAGGCTGCCGTCCGGGGCCGCGGTGAGCGCCCGCGAGCGCAGGCACGTGGAGTGGGCCGATCCCTTACCGAGCGCTGGGCACGTCCACCGGCCCGAGGCGGCCGCCGCCGCCGCCGCCGCCGGGGCCGGCGAGCACGTCCCCGCCGTATTTCTCCTCCATCCCGGGCTCAGGAGCCGCCGCCGCCGCTGCCCCCGCCGCGCGGTCTCCTCATGCCGCACCGCTTCCGCGGAACAGCGGGCGCCGCGCGTCACTCCCCCATGGCAGCGGCCTCGTGGGTTCCCGCAGGCCGGGCCGCCGCCGCCCCGGAGCCGCCTCACCAGCGCGATCGCGTCGGGACTAGGCCGCGGGCAGTTCCGGCGGCGCCGGGGTCCCGGGAGGTGCACCGGCACGGACGTTGCCAGGCCACGTCATCGGGCCCAGCAGCCTCCACTCCCGGGGGAGTGCCCGGCCCCGCGCCTGCGCACAGCGTCCTCGCTGCCCGGCCCTTCCCTAGGCCCCGCCCACTACGGAGTGCGGCCCCGCCCACTGCGGGGTGAGGCTCCGCCTCTCCCGTCGCCCCCCGCGGGCGCGCTTACCTAGTCCTGCAGCGCCGCCTATGGGCCGTCGGGGATACGGCGGAGACTTGTAGCGCAGAGGGAGGGAGGACCAGGCCTTATTTGGGTTCTTTTTCTGTTGCTAAAATATTAGGAACGTGGTTTCCTGCGTCTTGGTTTGTATCCCAGTCCTACCACTTAATAGTTGTGTCCCTTGGGCTTTCTGTACCTCGATTTTTTAAAAAATCTTTATTCAGATTATTACAATTGTTTCTCCTCCCCCACCACAGCTCTCCTCCACCCAGTCCCCATCCCACCCTCTGCCCTTACCTCCCCCCTAACCCCCTCTGTCTTCATCCATAGGTATATGATTTTTAGATTTATTTATTTATTTATTTAATTGGCTTCCAAAGGGGAGTTTAAGGTCAAAAGGAGTTTCGGGTATGCCCAGATCCTATTCATCAAAATCTGGGTAAGCTCCTTATTTTTGGTACAAGATTTAGCATATTGAGACCTGGGTGAGTCAAGGTCCTATTTGTTCCTCATTCCAAGCACATGGATTAAGAAATCAGTATACCTCGATTTTCTTATCTGTAAAATAGACATAGTAATACCTGTATCATAGGTTTGTTGGGAGGATTGTATGTGTTGATAGGTGAAGACTGTCTAGAGCAGTGAATCAAATATAGTTATCAATACATTATTATTGCTCAGGGAAATCTGAGGGGAAATGGGGGCTCGGAGCGGTGTAAATTATGATTAGTTCACAATCCTCTTCTTAATTTGCATATACATGACGAGTCTTAGTAACATACAAAAGAATGAGAATCACAGTCTCTACCTGGTGGAACTTCATAACTTAGTCTGGGACATTTAGCCATTTGAGAGCAAGGCCTGGGTGGCAACATTTCATGTTATTGGCTTTTCATGTGGAAGGTTTCCCAAATAATGTGTGATATGGGTATAACCAGAAAAGACTCACTGATGGGTAGAACAGGGCCTGGAACTGGCAAAATGTTTTGGATACGGCACCGTGGAAAGCCGGACGCTGTGGAGAACACAGAGGAAGGACTGGCTTTTAAAGCTAACGATGCCTATTTTCCCATGTGAGGCAAATGAGAAAGCAAACATACAATACCCCTCAGCTGTACTGAGGTTTTAACTTCAGAATGTTTCATAGCATTGTTGGTTTATTGGATTTGTACAACAATGTCCATATCTTTTACAGGCACCAGGGTGGGATAGATCAAGCAAAGGCCACCAAAGAGTAGCATTCTTTTTTATTTCTGTCCAAAATGTATTTATTGGGACAGTTCCCCACTCTCCTTGATTCCAGTGTTTTTAGTGCTGCTTCCTTCTGAAGTAGCGTCTCTGGAAGTCTTGCTTTTCCTCCTGTCGGCTGAGTAGGACACAGAACTACTGTTTGTGCATGGCTAAGGACGGTAGTGGCATTTCACATTCATGAAGTAGGAAATGGGGCTCTGCACTCGGTACCTGTTCTTCTCTTCTGGAGAGGATTGAAGGAGATTCTTAGCCAGAGGTATGTGGTCCTGGGGAGTTCATCTCACCAGAAAGGGAGTGTCATTTTGCTTTACTGTCTCACAAAGTGGCTTTTTTGGTAGCAATTTTTTGGTAGAATTTTTATTTTCTAATTTGAATGACAGTAGCAACAACTATCACGTTTTTCTAGAGCTAGTTCTATTCCTAGAGAGAAGTAGGTAAAATGACATGTGTAAATTGAAGTTAAATTTCATCCCAAGTGGAGCTTGAACTCACTTAATATTTCTGATTTGGTTAGAATTATGACACTATTTTTTTATGCCAATATAAGTACATTTGCTATAACTAAGGTGTGTGTGTTGGAAAAGTGTCTCTGGTTTTCTTATTCCTACTCACTTATCAACCCATTCCAGCTTAGCTTCTGCATTCATCACCCCCCTGAAGCAACTCTGCCTTGGAGATTTTTCAGCAGTATGCTATCTCATCTCTCTATAGCTTTCAACATAGTTAATCTCTCCTTCCTTCTTGGAACCTTCTCTTTCCTTGGTTTCTAGAACCCCACATTTGCTTGTGTAAAAGAAAGCTCAGGTTCTTTTTTTAATATTTAAAAATATTTAAATATATTTTATTGATTTTTTACAGAGAGGAAGAGAGGAATAGACAGTTAGAAACATCAATGAGAGAGAATCATCGATCAGCTGCCTTTTGCATGCCCCTTCCTGGAGATGTGACCGCAACCAATGTACATGCCCTTGACCGGAATCGAACCTGGGACCTTTCAGTCTGCAAGCTGATGTTCTATCCATTGAGCTAAACCGGTTTCGGCCATATATATGTTTTTAAAATATATTTTATTGATTCATTACAGAGAGGGATAGAGAGAAACATCGATGAGAGAAAATCATCCATCAGCTGCTTCTTTTAAAAAAATATGTTTTATTAATTTTTTACAGAGAGGAAGAGAGAGGGATAGAGAGAAACATCGATGAGAGAGAATCATCGATCAGCTGCCTTTTGCACACCCCCTACTGAGGATGTGCCCGCAACCAAGGTACATGTCCTTGACTGGAATTGAACCCAGGACCTTTCAGTCTGCAGGCTGATGCTCTATCCACTGAGCCAAACCGGTTTCCGCTTTTTAAAAAAATATATATTTTATTAATTTTTTACAGAGAGGAAGAGAGAGGGATAGAGAGTTAGAAACATCGATGAAAGAGAACATCAGCTGCCTCTTGCACACTCCCTACTGGGGATGTGCCGTAACCAAGGTACATGCCCTTGACCAGAACTGAACCTGGGACCTTCCAGTCTGCAGGCCAAAGCTCTATCCTCTGAGCCAAACCAGTTTTGGCTCAGGTTCTTTATATCCAAAAATATATGCATGATCTTTCCCCTAAATCTGATCCTCTTCGCACCATTTATTTAGTTAAGCAAACCAAAAATATAGGCAGCATCCTTAACACCTCCCTTTCCTTATGCTATATATCCAGCCCATCATCAAGTCACGTCAATTTTTTTACCTTATCAATATTTCTTAAATCCAAATTTTCTCATCTCCATCACCACCATAAATTCGAGGTGACTGTCATCTTTGGTTTAGACCTCTTCAGTAACTTCCTTACTGGTTTTCCCAAGTTCACCAGAAAGAGAGTGACAATCTTGCTTCATTGTGTCAACAAGTAATTTTTTTGTAGCAATTTTTGGGTAGCAATATGTGTTTCACATGTGCAACAGTAATAACGATATTTTCCAAATACAAATCTTAGAATGCACCACAGTCTACCCTCCAGCCTTCCAGTGGCTTTCCATTACATTTAAGACAAACTCAAATCATTAACATGGTCAACAACATCTCACATCAAACTGCCTTCTGATCTCTGGGTTCCAGCACTCTTCCCCCCACCCAGTTGTTCTGCTTATCCTCTAATAAAAATAATTTGCTTAGACTATTTTTCATGCCCAGAATACACTACCTCTGTCTTCACTTGTTAAAATTCTATTCAACCCTGGCTGGTTTGGCTCAGTGGATCAGCCCGTGGACTGAAGGATCCCGGATTCCATTCTGGTCAGGCTCAATCCCTAGCAGGGGGCATGCAGGAGTCAGCCAATCAATTCTCTCTTATCATTGATGTTCCCATCTCTCTCTCCCTCTCCCTTCCTCTCTGAAATCAATAAAAAAAATATTTTTAAAAATCTTATTCACTCCTTTTGTTACAGGTTGAGTTCTCCAAGAAGCAGACTCTGAGATGAAGGTCAGTATGCAGGATGTTTATTAAGCAGTATTTCTGAGACCAACAACTGTGAAGGGGAGGGAAAAAACAACCGGGCCACAGGAGGAGTTGAGAAGTGGTTAGTCCAACTGAAGCCTCTGTGGACCTCATGGAGATCTCTGGAGCTACAATGGTCCTTGAGAAATATCTTACATGTATTCCCAATAAAGTCTTTTATAGCTCCAGGATCCAGTCCCGGATGACGTGTTGCATTTAATTATCATGTCTTATTGGTTTTCTTTTATTCGAAGCAGTCCTAGTCTCTCTCTTTTTCATGATCTTGACGTATTTGCAGAGGACAGGACACTTACTTTGCAGAATGTTCCTCAGTTTGGATTTGTCTGATGTTTCCTCCCGATTGCTTTAGGATATGCTTTTTTGGTAGGAATACCACAGAAGTGACTCTGTGTTTATCTCAGTGCATCACATCAGGAGACCATGATGCTGATTTTATTGCTGGTGAAGTTAACTTTTTATTATTTGGTAAGATAATATCAATCAGATATTGTAATCTAATGTTAATAAATAAATATTTTGTCTGGAGATACTTTGAGATTCTAAAGATACTAAAGATTCTTTTCCTGACCTCACTTTAATTCATTTATATTATTACTCATTCTGCACCTTGACTAAAATAATTATTATAAAGGTTTTCAAATGGTAGTCATCCTTTTTACATTTATTTATTCATTTTTGTTAATCCTCAACCAAGGATATTTACCCCATTAATTTTATTTTATTTTTATTTTTTATTTATTTTTTTTTTTTTAAAAAAAATATATTTTATTGATTTTTGTACAGAGAGGAAGGGAGAGAGATAGAGAGCTAGAAACATCGATGAGAGAGAGTCATCGAT